AAGCCACGAAATAACCTCAAGCTATGTTTCTTTTTATCAAGCTACGTTTGATTTTTTAAAGCTCTTTCCTTAGAATATGTAATTTGCTCCAATGACAAAGTAACATTATCGAAGAATTTGGTTGCAAACTGTACCGTTCCAAAATTTTGAAGATTTTTTAAGCTGAGGCAAACTACGCACAGAGCATGAAATTGCAGCTTCCCCTTTCTGTAGATACTATAGATGTGTATAGTCTGACGCCTTGTTTTCCCTCAACCACTCAGAGGACAAATCGTTGGCGATTTGCAAGTCATTACGTGCCACCAGAAGATCACATGATACTTCTTTCATGTCTGCTATATCGCTTTTCTCCAGGGCTTGCTGACGTCAAACCAGGCTTTTCCGTGCCATTTTTTGTTCCATGTTTTATCACCTTGGCCGAGTGGTGTTTCCAGAAGAATTCTGTGAATTCAAAGGGATTTGTTTGCGCTTTCGATTTCTGGCACATAAATAGAGAGCTGCTCGTGCATGCGCCTCAGTTTATGGTGGATCGATGTAGATGGTGGCTACCGTAGCAGTCTTCAGCAGTCAATCGTATCTTTTGCAAGACGTTCACATCACAGGAAGGGTAAGAGGTCATCACCAGCAGGCTTATTTTGGTTAAGTCTCGTGTTTTTGGTCAGTGCTAAGTTAAATACGTTTTTCATCTGTGCATCCCTCAACAATGGTGATTGCTTGGGCTGGCACAACAAGGGTTGATTACTACAGCACTGCTGTTGTTCTTATCAAGAGCTTGTATGAGATTGGCAGAAAGGTTAGATTTTATTAGTTGCCTTTTTAGTATTTTAGTTGCATATTTGTGTTTGTGGGTATTGGTAAAGCAGAAAATACTATTGAATTCTGCAAATATTCACAACGTTAGAAGAGCGAAAATCTACTGCAAAGTTTATATCCACCAAGAAGCGAAAGAATTCATGATGTCTCTTAAAGAACTTCTGGTATCTCTTAATATGCAAATCTCTGTTATGCAATCTTTGGTGAATTATTTCGTTGCAGTAGCTAGGTGTCTTGTTTTTGGATGCTTTAGATTCAGGGGTTATGGGAGACATCTTGCCTTAGGCTGAAGTAAACTTTGGATTATTCAGTGGTTGTTTTCAATCTGTGTTGGCACTATCTTATTAATGGTGTCAAATCACTTTTCTTTTAATGGTAGATATTCTTTTAATTATTGATTTTGGTAATCGTTTACTTTCCTCTCCTTGGCTTTGAGCTTCAAACTTAAAGCTATTTAGCAACCAACCTAGGAACGTTATTATCAGAGCCTTTTCCAAGAAAAATGAGAAACAATGATTAAACAAATGCGTTCCAAAGTCTTACTTATGACTTGTTTTCTGACACCGGCCGATGTCACAAATTTTATATTCACTTTTACATCATAAACCTCCTGTTTGTGCAGTTCCCGGCCGCATCTGCATTTTGACTGGAAATCATGAACCTGAGAATTGTCCATCTAAATTTCACAACGTTTTATTTAATGAAATTAAATTGTCTTGTCGTAATTGTGTCTGTCGTGAACCGTACTGTGAATTTCCTACCCTTTTACCTTTGAAAACATCTTTCTCTCTGCAATCGGCTTTTAAACCAACAGCATATTAAGATTTCGCTACAACGTATAAAGTTTACTACATTAAAGTTGTTGAACTCTGCTTGGTCAAGCTGTGTAAATTTATTGACGATATCCTTCCTTGTTTATGTTAAAAAGAAAGGGTGATGTGGAAGATGTATGGCGTTGTTCTGTTCGGGGATAGTCATTTGTATTTGTGTCAATTATTGAACCAAACAGCGTAGTTTTAAAGAGCGCAGCTTAGAATTCGTCGTTGCAGTTATACTTCGCGACAGGAGACTCCACTCCTTAAAAGTATCAGAAATTTCTTGGTTGAAGAAAAATTCTTTAAAAGTGAGAGCCCTGCAGGAGAGACACTCTCCTTAAATGCTCTCCTCACTGCCGAACTTTGATTGGCATCTTGAATAACGCATGCGCTGTGTTCTTTCTTTGCTGACGCAACTCGCCACGAAACTGTTTGATGGTGGCCATCTTTCAAAGACTCATTGCTAACAATGAACCATTGCGCTATGCAAGCATCCCATAATGCATTTTTAGACTGTCTGAAATCAATTTTGGTTAATCCGTAGAAGTTTACTGCCATTGTTTGGACCGTCGCCACGCTCGCAAAGGCCTATTGTTAGCAATGAGTCTTTAAGAAGAACTTTGGAAGTTTCAAACTTTCAGAATTTAACTTAAATTAAAAATTTCTTCAATATATTACTTGAGCTGGTTGATCCTACCAAAAAAGTGAAATACTACAATGTCCTACCAGAAACTGGATGACATCACTTAACTTTTAAAGATGGCGTGTATTTAGCTATAAGCCAATTTACCGTTTCCATAAACATATGTTTCTCTTATCAGAGACGAATCAAAGATACTTGCCGATACTGTGCTGTAAAACATTATTTAAGGTAACTTAAGGACTATTGTGAAACTAATTGGAAATTAATATCACAGCTGAAACTAATAACATGAATATACTTCAATTGATTAATCGACATTTCAATTTCCAATTAGAGAAAGTAAGCAATCAAATTGTGTGAAAACATGATATTTTTCTGTACAAAATTAACAGAACTGTTTTTAGTCAAAAATATGTTTACACATGATATCCAAAAGTTGCTGTAAAAGAAAGTGGCGTTATTCTTTTGGATACCACCAATCTCATTATGTAGGATCCAGACTCTTTCCACTTTGAATGTCTCGCCACTTTGACGTGTTTCCGCCCCTACTAGTGCCCAGATCTCTTTCTGGTTAGTTTCCCAGAAATGATTCCGTAGGCTTTGGTACAAGTCAATGAAATGCTTGCTAAATGCTAAAACTATTAGCCTCTGAGTCGTGATAAATTTGGTTCTTGTCTAGTAAGAACTTGTTTTTCATCATAAACTTAACTAGGGTTCTGCAAGTTTCTTTCAAGATCCCAGTTCCAACTTTCCGAACGGGGCAAAAGCTTGGGTCTTTGGTATCCTAGCAAAGTAGGAGTTTCTGTATCCAAACAATGTTGTTTTGCTGTTTTCAAATTTGAAGTTTAAGCCAAGACTAGGGCTACAAATAACAAATATTTTTGGCGAAATATGACCTCTAGTGGCACCAACTTTCAATGCGAACAATTAAACGTTTCAAAATCACTGATGGCAAGAGAAAAACTGCTTTAAGGAGTGAGAGAGCCTATTTTAGAAAATTGGTTTCGCCTCTTCGATAAGTTAGCGGACCTTCTACAGCCCGATAACTTGCGCCTCTGACCAAAGCGCATGCGTCACCCTGTCGCGTACAAACCCTGAATATAACCCTAGGTTGGCTCACTCAAAAATTGACTTTTAAGATAGGTACCAGAAATACGCTATTTGGTATGCAGCCATTTTTAAATCAAAGCGATCCGAAAAGCAAACATTTTTACATTAAGTTTGTTTGAATGGAGAGCAATATAGTAATTCTTAATTGAAAAGTAAACAAATGAAAGTAGTTGAAAAGTTTCCAAATTCTTAAACATGTCTCTCTTGTCACTGTTACTTGTTTCGCTTGTTATTGCCAAGGTGATCAAAGACAACTCTATGGTGGAACTATGTAGCAATAGAGTCGTGTTCTAAAATGGGACAAGGCTTTGCCATTTACATTCTTCAGCGAACTAATAAACATTTCTCAAGAACTTTCGATGATTGTATTATTATGGCACTATGTCAAACTCATATCGAGATTGGTTTCATAGTTTGAATAGTTTGTGCAAGCATGAGTGCGTGCATTGCAGAAAGCAAAATGTTTAAACATAGATCGAGTGTATTACCCTTCATCAAGATACTTGAATTAATCCTTCTTTCGCGACGTCTATTCAAATTTTCTATGACCACATCTCCACATCTACGTCATCTCTATTCCTGAACTGTTTTTATTTCTCCCCGAATGAGAAAAGATCATTTTTCTCGATTTAAATGGGTTAGGATCCCCTAAGCGATCGGTCAGAGTTCGAAGCTGACGCATGGACCAATATTTTGATACCGCCTCTTATTCATTACCTCTTTTATAAACCTGATGATAGAAATGTTTCAGACTCGACAAAAGATGACTCTGGGATTAAAGGCAATCTGTCTCGTTGTGGATTGGTTAACGAGAACAATAGCTGGAACAATTGCCTAAAAACGATTCCAGCGCTCCGCCATATTTTTTACAATGCGATAAATTAACGGAGGACTGGAAACAATAAAAAATCCCTTTGTTCTTATAATCAATCAACGTCGTGACAGATTGCCTTTAATCAGATACGCTTCTTTCGTCAAATTCATCTCTTCAAACTTCAGTGTAGCAGCAGCCTTCTCTAAACATCAATTTTATATTCACAAACATTGTTTAGAAAATGTTGGAAAATAAGTAAAAAGCAATTAAGGATGAGTTCTAAAGGCGTATCTAAAACCTTGTCAACCATCGAGTCTCCTGTGTCTGCTTCCCGTTTGATATTTGCAGAACTTATCAAGCTCATTTTTTCTTTGTCTTTCTAATTGCACAATTTTGTCATCTTTGTAATTTCTTTAATTTTGTAATTATATAAATTTGTAATCTTGTAATTTGTCATGAAAATTTGAATACAATACAACACAATACAATGCAATAAAATACAATACAATGCAATGCAATATTATGCAATAGAATGCAATACAAAAAATACAAAAATACAAACATCTTATGGTTTTCCAAAATAAATGATTGTGTGTAAAACTGCAAATCTTGCATTTTGAAACGTTTCTTATCAAATCATAATTCAGTGAGTGGGATTGTAAGAAATCATTTTCGGAATTGTGTTTTGGACCTTTTCTATTTAATCTTATTTAAGCATGAGAGAGAGTTTCGTACATTGCAAGTGGAAGCAATCTCTAAGAGACTCGTTTTCATAGGTTACCAACTACCCTTTCCTTTTTTGCAGGATTTTGTAAAGCAGTATCGAAACCTCCTTCCAAAAGGGGATCTTACTTCAAACGATGAAGTGCCCCTTTGCCTCCAAAGTCTTGGTTTGGACCCAAATCACTACCAAGTGGGCAAAAACAAGGTAACCTAGACGATTTTTATGATATGTTGTTTTAAACTGTAGCATAGCGATTTTTGATTGTTCATAGACTTTGGTATTTCTAGGGTATGTAAATGACTGTAAGGGGAGCATAAAAGTTTAGTTTATTGTTAGAAAACATCTTTCAATCAGCAAGGAGCGCCTTTTATTCAAGTCGGGAAAGCCCATCTCTTCCTTTTTGGTACGTGAAGGAAGTTCTGTAAAATCATAGAATTGCATCACAACGAGCACTATCTAAAAGTATCATCCCTTCTATAGCATTTTTTTATGGAGTTTAGACACAATCGACCGACTCAAGACGATCATTGCATACTTTCTTACCAGATGGCACGTGATCTTGTTCGTGTTAAGAAGCTGTAAAATGGCCTTGGCTTTCTAAATACTGATTTCTAATTGCTGGCTAAGTGTTTGATCTCTATTTGCGCATAATTTTGGAATGATTTCACTTACTTCTATCGTGAAGACACCAGAAATAGAACATATGGTTTTTCGTCATGATTTGATTGATAAGTTTAATCTAACAAATAGCCCTCCAACTGATTATCAGTTAGGCCGCGAAGTTGGCACTCGATTTTCCCCGACCATATTCTGAATTCATCAGAGGACTTGGATATCATCTTGTTTTTTGCACATTCTCATCGAAAATAGCTGTGTATGTAGCCGAGAGCAGTCTTGAATTAGTGCATCAAAACGACTGCTAATATCATACAAGGTCATTAGCAGGATTTTTTACCATAAATGAATAACGCCTCTATCTTTTAAAGACATTAGCTTAGAGAATTTCCCTTGTTCAATTATTTTTAAACTCTGTACAAACTCTTATTAAAACTCGGCTCTTAATGCTTCGCCTTGGTTGCAGAGCACTGACGTATGCTCACCCCTGGTCTAGCCTCCTTTTTTCTCTCTCAATCAATAGGCTTATCATTTTCTCTGCTCTTAGGTTTTTATGAGGGAGAGCCAGTACAAAATTCTCCGTGAAAAGCTACAAAGCAAACTGGACCATGCTGCAAGAACTATTCAACGATGGGTTCGGGCAAAACTGGATAGAAAGAGATTTTTACAGATTAAGAAAGCAGCCATTACAATTCAGGTACGTTTATTATCATGTGTTTTTGCATGAAGTTTCTTTCGTGCCAGCAAAGTGTACAGTGCGAAAGGAAAGGACTTTGTTGCAATTTTCCCCATACTTTACTTCCATGCAAGAAACGTTCGTGATAATGAAATGAATCGTCTTCTAACCCTTAACAAATATGTTTGTTTCGGATGTCTTCAAGTATTTGGCGAATTCCCTGTAATATGAAACACCCTCTAGTTTGTTTTCTCGCTATTTCACGAACACTTGGGGAATTCACTTGAAGTAGCTTCCTGTAAACACTTTGACAAACAGGAACCCGTGACTATGACGTCATACAGCCAACCAGTACTTTCGATTCTCTACCACAGATAATTTCTAATGTTCTTATCACAGTTCCTTAAACAAATAGCAAAATGCATGTAACAAGGCATCAAGGTAGCAATGTTTTCATCTGATTTTATTTACAAATACTTACGGGAAACATGTATAATGTGAATACGAAACCATTATGAGAAATAGTTTATGGATATGCCTCCTGATTTTGTCACATGGGCGTGTAAGCTTGTGTAATTCGCTTATTGTAATCCCCAGTTTTCTATTTTTACCACTTTGTCTTTTCTGTGTAGGCCAAGTGGCGTTCCTATGTTGTCAGCAAAAAGCTACTGGCCCTGCAAAGAAGGCTAGCTGTCAAACGCATCGAAGAAGCATGGCTGGCGTACTTGGGAACGAGAAAGATGCGAAGCATCAAAACAATTCAGGCAAACTGGAGGGGATATCTGGCACGAAAGAAGTAGGTCACACAAGATGTCATTTAGTTGACTCCTTAATTATTTTCCGTCCTGCTCGTCTTCTACTCTGCAGTTAAAAGTTCATTGTTTAAATATTTCTTCATCTTAGCACCAAGGAATGTTAAATCTTGATTTGCTTGTGGATCAGGATCGCTTTATAATTTCTCGTGCTTGTTAGATGTTTTTTTTACTGAAATTTTAAATGTTTCTTAAGGTTCAAAAGTTTGGAGAAAGAGATAAGCAGGTCCAAGGAGGAGACAAGGTTTGTTTTAAAGCTGCATGCAAAGCTATCATTGCTTGTAATTTATTCCTGCACATGTTGTAATGTATTATAATGCTATATTGGTGCTATTTGTCCGTTTGCATGCTTAAGACAAGCAATGACAGGATGCACGAGATCACTTAGAAGGAGCACTAGTTGAAGTGTGGCCTAATCGAGTATTGTTTACTAAAGGTTATAGGTTAATGGATAATTTAAAGCTTATCAAAAAGCTGTTAAGAATGTTTTTATTAAAGTACCCATCTGAATGCAAATGTAAACTAAATTTAATGTGATAAATTGATGCCTAACCAAAAGAATTTTGATGAGCCTTGTCAGGATTATTCCTTGTTAACGGGCAAATATTTGACAACAATTGAACAGTATTGCACAAGAAAATGAAGTGGTTTAAAATTGTCAATTTTTTGTAAGATTAAAGATTGTTAATCTTTAGTAGTTTAACATATTAAGAAACAATTAAAAAGCAATTAATATAATTTTTAAGTGCAAATGATCTATAAACATTGTTATGTTGATATGTACTTTTAAAGTAATTGATAAATGAATTGTAAACATGTAAAACTGATTCGAAGTCAATCTAAGTACATACTTATTATAAACTAACTCGTAAATTCACTTATAAACTTGAATGTTACAGTCAGAGTGACACATCCTTCGATTCAACATGGCATTCAAGTAAGGCCTCTTGTTTACACTGCACATGCCCTCTCCTGACGCGGAGGAGAAAGAAATTCAAAGTCATCGTTGATGTCGTTCGGCATAGCTCTTTTAGCTCGAAATACGTCAAGCGAAACAGCTCGTTTCGAAGCGATTCGTTTCGAGTCAGTAATGACAAATCAAAGCTTTGTCCTAAAACTGTCGATATAATGCGAAGCAGCTCGTTACGAAGTCAGGCCGAAATAAATCGGAGAAGGCGAATGGATATCGTAAAGAATGACTCCTTTCGACTCTGGAATGAAGTCGCTAAAAAGAGAAAAATCTTCAAGAAGTAAGATTGGTCATATCCTGATTGTTTCGCCTTTACACTTAAAAACTAAACCAAAATTCAAGCTCATATTTTTGCCTTGATATTGATTTGAGTTCAAGTCACAACTTTCCCATTCCTTCCAGTGAATCTTTTTTCGAATTTGTTTTAAAAAATAAAAGTTTTGTTTCCATGAAATATTAAGTTACAAATTGGATCTGTTTTTCAGTTTGCCTTAAGAGTTGAATTTTAGATAAAATGATAGATGTTTTAATGGTTAAACTGGGGGTATCATAAAGCTGAATTGTAGTAAAAAATATAAAAAACCATATTTGATTGAATAAACACGAACTGAGCTTTAATAATCTCGAATAAACACAGGTAAACCTGAGCTAGGTGATAAATTTTGTAAAAGCATTGTTTAGCTCTTTCTTAAACATTTATGCATTGCTATAAGACTCGTAAGCAAGTTATGTATTTGGGGTTTGTATCACTGTTGATTGAAAAACTACTTTACCAAGAGTTGGGCTCTTATAAAAGATTAATTTTTCATAAGCTCTATGGCTGACTCATTTGTATTGAAACAAGCTCTGCTACTTCACCTACAAAAGTTCTTTTAACCATTTGCTTGATTATTGCAGGAAAAAGGCGGAAGAAAAAGCTCAAGAGAAGAAGGAAGAAGAGCTGGCAAAGGTTAGCAAAGAGGAACGAGAAGAAACCAAAAACAGGGCCGGTAGCCTGCCGTCAATCGAAACGAGAAACGATATCCGGAATTTAGAAATACCTGAACCGGTTGCATTGAAAAATAAAGCTTTGTCTACAGGTTAGTTGAGCATTTATGATGCTAAAGGTGGAAACTATAGAGGTAGCTTAAACCATTTAGTCAATGTTTTTTCCCGTTATGAGATTCTCCAGTCTCAAAATCTGGATTTGCACGGAAACTTTTAAGCTGTCTTTCTCTGTTCAGCATATGCTTGAAGGATTATATGAGAAAGTACCGGACTATTTCACCGATGTTTTCATTTTTAATTGCAGGAAATTTGGGCTTTGCTCGAGACTCTCATCTATATGAAAGTTTAATGGATGTACAAGAAAAGTTAAACGTTATCACTGGTGATGGGTTTGTCTCTCCATCACCAAGATCAAGTGGAATTTACGACGAAATTGATGAACTACCAACGAAGGAAAGAACAATGTCCACTGAATCAACTGGCTCAAACTCTTCCTTAGGAAAAAAACGTTCACGTGATCGTGCCAACAAAGAAGCTGTGAAGTCAAATGTGGAGCGTAGACGGTCATTTTTCCGGGAGAAGCAGACAATTACAGCTAAGTCTTCGTTAGGCCCAGTGACATCTGTTGGTTTTGCCATTGTGCCACCCCGTGATTCGGTATCAGAGAGGCCGGACTATAAAGATTCACTACCTGTAAACGAGAATAAAAGCTCTTTGCTGAAAATGGTACGAAATCTGACCAACAGAAACAAGACTATTAAGCGGGGCACACAACCGAAGCCAAGAAGTAAGTTGAATATGTGATTGTCATCAATAACACTCAATGACTGGTTGATTTTGTAGTCCTATGTATTTTATTAATAGAAAAAAGTATTAATAGATAATAATTTCTGATTATTTCTTTCTGTTTACTTTGCTATAGCACAAAGTCCCATGTCCTCCGGTGGCAAAGAATGGAAACCAACCAAAGAGTTTGTGGTCGATGGTGATGCTGATTTGAAAGCATTCAACGATTTTCTCTTCAAAAGGGTATGTGTGCTTCTTGTGGATAGATGTAAATTCATTGATATGCAATATAAACTACAATTTCTTTGCAGTGGGCATCATTCTTCAGAAACATAAAAAACGTCTTTGTATTGCTTAAGGGAACAAGATACGATATGAAACTAACCGAAAGAACCGTTGGTATCATATTTTCTACCACTCAATGGTCGATTATCTCATATCAACCCCACATATCAACAATCTCCAGTTTAAATTTTGGTTTATTGACGATTTCATGAAGGCTTCAGTATTTATTGTGAAAAATCTGTTTTTGAATATCTAAGCATTTTATACCAAACTGACACTGCATGATTAAAGGAAGAAGCTGAACAATGTAACATACTGGTTCTAATGCAATCTTTTGATACATTTTTGTACTAGAGAGTGTATAAAAAACATCCAAAAACAATCATCAATTCTCTTTGTTATATGTATTTTTGTTGCTTTGGTATTATTTGTACTGTAAAGTAAGAGAAAAGCAAACTCGAGTTTATTGTTGCCATGGAAGGAAATTATAACTAACTTGAGAATGCTGCAATTAAATCGAGCCCTCTTAATTGTATTCCCGTTGCTATGGCAACTTCCTCAACCCAACACACTTTTATAATAACCTAACTGTGTCAGCAGTGGAATTGGTGATATTCCTTGTATTTTGTAAGTGGTTCTTCTTTGTTTCTAGATAGCCGATATGGATCCTATGCACAAGGGAGATGACACCGTAGCTGTTGTCATGTTCAAAAAGGCTTTAAGCCAGTTCCACTCCAATCTTCTTAAAACCTATGCAGTCGTTAAAAATGTAAGTTGACCAACTCCTTTTGTATAGACATAATTCGGAGCTAGAGATCGCACAGCTATTTTTTCTCAAATTAACGCAGGAACTCTATGTACAAATTATGTGACCATAGCTAAGCGATTGATAAACATACAATCTCGTTAACTGTCATGGGCAAGTGCATTGTATAATCGAGCTAAGGACGTGTTGTCAACGCTGTAGCTTAACGGGAAGAGGAATGGATCCAACCAATACCCTGGGCTTCTTATAATAATAATAACAGCTACATTTCGGGCTAAAAACTTTCTTTTAAGTGAAGACAACACATGTGCTTTTCTTTCGAAACAGTTCTGTTTGGATCTAAGCCATTAAACCAGTGATGCATTCTTCCAATATGTAGTATGTGATTGATATTTTTAGAATACGTCGCTTGATCCTTGATTGAAATACTTCCGTTTGTTGCAGAGAGATCAAACCATTCACCTTCGGTACGAGGAAATGTCAGCCTCGTTTGCAAATGTCCTTGAGCTTGAAGCCGAGAAATCGAAAGAGAAACTGCCAAAGGACCTTGGCATGAACCTATTTGGGAGCATTGTGGATGATTTTGTGAAGCACAAGTAAGCCTCGGTTATTTCTTTTGTTAATTCAGTAATTCAGTTTTGTACCAACCTATTATCCCAGGTTTTGCTTATTTTCATGTGAAGGATTAATTACTTTAATAGTATTACTGTTTTTGGCTTGCTGTAGTTTAAGTAATTTTTGTTTTTTCTAGTTCCAGTGCAAATTCAAGTAAAAAAGACAAGGTGAGTGTAAAATTTCATCTTGATTCTTATTTTATTCGCCGCATTTTGTTGTAGCTTATTGTTAACTACTCGTTGTAAACTTCTACCTGCTAATTGATAGCTGTTTAAGCGACTTTGAACCTGCTCTTAGTGCCAATTCTAGATAATTCAATTTTACAGGTTTTTCTGCTCGTTCATTAACTTTAATAATTTTGATAACTTAGACTTGGCGTCGAACTGGAGGAGGAAAGAAGCACGCAAAGCATCATCATGAAGAGTTTACAGTAAGTTTTGTTTAAGCTTTTCATTAGGTATTGATAATTCTGAGCACAACAGCATGGTAAAGCCTTTTTATAGTGCTTTTGAAAATAGATATAAACAAGAAAAAATGCAACGTTTTATGCCATCCCTGGCAGGAATAGACTTGCCATCATCTGGTCCTGGCTGCAAACAACACTTCAAAAGTTACTCATTAATATAATATATATATTATTTGAAGAAAGTAACTTTGAGCTTTGTGTTTACTTTGGCACAATCCCATTGTGACCACGCTAGGCGTTTTTGTGACGCTATGTACTGGTAAACCCGTTCTAGGTTGGTTATAATTTACAGGTTTACTTTGGGACCTGCAGTGATCTTCAACAGGAGCAGCTGATATCAGGAAATTGTTATTGTTAATAACCTCTGATATTCCCGTCCCCCTTGTCTCAATAGGGTGCTCTTTTATACATTTCACATCCAGCTAAATGTAAATATTTTCTGTTCTCTCCATTAAGATCCTCAACGGCCACAAATACTATTTGGCAAGCTTCAGCATCGTTACGTTCTGTGAATACTGCAACTCTTATATTTGGGACAGAGGACTTGTGTGTCAAGGTAGATACTTTTTGCTTCGATTATTAAGCTGACGTTCTTATCTTTCTTCACACTCGTACCCAAAGCTATAGGAGTACACCTAGACAGCATTTATTACATATTGCTGATGCGCTAAATTTTGGCTTCACCATAATATTAACATTCAGTATTCTTTATTCCTCTTCCTCCTCATTTGCTTGCTTGAGCTGCCAGTTTCTTTGCCTAGTATGTAATTATTGCAAACGTTTCTCATAACCCCACTCATCCTCTTCTCTGTTCCAATTCAAGGTTGCAAGTTCACTTGCCACAAAAAGTGCTCGAGCAGGTACAACACTCCTTGTCGTGGTAAATCACCAGATAATGGTGTCCCAAAATCGGTAAGTGTTGTTTCCTAACTGACTTCAGTAATAGGGACTTTTCATTTTTTATGTGAAAAACGCTTTTCTTTAGTTGCCTCTTTTGCCAATATTGTTATATATATTTCTGATGTTCCCAGGTCGTAGAAAGATGCAAGTAAATTGGGAACCTTTTTCTCTTCTTTATTTTTCTTCAAAGTTTATACAAACTGCCATTTCACCCACGGTGTTTTATCATTTACTAGATTTTTGGTGCCAAACTGTCAGAAATTTCCGGGGATGAAAACCCAATTCCAAAAGCTGTAGAAGATTTGATGCAAGAAATTGAGAAAAACGGTAAGGAGAATGATTTATAGTCATTTGAAGCAGATATTTTGACGAATTCCGCTATTATTTGTGTCCAGAAGAGTCTTAAAGCAGTGCTAGAAACTTTAGATCAACTCCTGATCAAAACTGAATTTCACGGGCATGTTGTGAAATGCATTATTTTAAATAAAAACTCCTTCTTACAATCATAGCTGACTGAAGATATTTTTTCCAAGGTTTATATACTGAAGGAATTTACCGAAAACCTGGCCTCCAAACACATGTCAAGTCACTAAAGAACGCTATCTCCCCTCCAGGTAAGCCAGTCACAATTTATCCTCATTATTTACAACCTGCCCAGATAACAAATACTTCAATGGCTTGTTTTCCCTTTAATCATAACGTTCATGGTCAGCGCTTCTCAAGTTTCGTCTTATAACATTGTACATGAAGTTCCCATTCTCTCTTCTATATAGTTCATGAAAAATCCTTCTATTATGAAAATGGTATATGATACCAGTGGTGTATCTCTTAATGAAATCAACGTCTTAACTGATCATTTTATCAATTACCTTTCAGATTACTCGACCGTTAATTTTGATCAATACCGGGTTCATGTGATTGCATCTGTTCTGAAGCTTTTCTTCCGTCAGCTGGCTGAACCGCTCGTACCCAGTGAATTCTATGATGACTTCATAAGAGCAACAGGTAAGATATTTTCACATAACTCAACTGACGATCTTTGTTGCAGGGGCAAAAAGGACCTCATTTATTTCAGTCAAACACTAAAACCTTTCTTGACTTTCTTGAGCTTGGACTTCATTTGTTTCAGCAATTGTTGGCATCTTTGAAATTGGATCCTTGAAGTTGGACAATTTTCTTCCTAGTTAACCTATGAAAGGAACTTCCTCTTACATTATTATCAATATTAAAGAATCAATAAAAGCTGAATCAGTTGATAAGTTAAAAATGTTATTCTCGTTTATCAAAGAAATAGTCAAATTTAATTTTGAAAACCTATTCTACTGTCTGCTGGTAACCAGTTGAATTTTTTTCATCGTAATCAGAACTTCCAAGTGAAACAGAAATCCAGACACGCCTTTGTGACGTCATCTTCAGGTTTCCAAAGCCGAACCAGGACCTCATAACAAGGCTCATTTTCCATCTCGCACAGTATGTTCTTTATTTTCACCTGTTTGTTTTTAGATTCTTGTTCATTAGAATACCTTTATATTATCAAAGAGATATGGAACCATTAAACATACTCTAGTGTTCTTATCACCTTGAGGTGCCATACTTCAGTTTTACCATTCTTTTTTGAAGTTTTGCAGTACCAAAGGCCTCTTTTTTTTTGCTTATCTTTTTTACAGTGTGCACTAGAATTCGAAGATGCCTAGGTTCAAAGTTACATAGTTACACGTTGAATTTGCTTTCTTAGAGTTGCAATGCTAGAAGAATCGAACAAAATGTCACCAAATGGACTATCCATCATCTGGGCCCCCTGTATCATGCGATCAAGCGAAAACGTGGATCCTATGGATGCCCTGCGACAACTTCCGCTACAAACTAGGTAAGACATTTTACGTTGCAGCTACAGTCTTGTTTGGCTTTAAAAACCGTAAAACCTAGAGATTGCAGTTTGTTTAGAATTTGTAGCCTGGAAATGCAAACAGCCCGCCACTTTTTACATCCCAGTTCTAAGGATTGCTCAATATGCTTTATTGTAGATGCTTGGAAATTCTAATCTCAAGAAAAGTAGCAAATATCCGTCGCACGTTGGCCGATATTGAAGCTCTGGAGCATGGAAAGCTGACATCAGAATCCGCTTTGAGCAGCTTTCAAGAGGTGTGTTCCTTTTTCCATAGGCTTTGTTGAAAGTTGTCAGTTTATTGAATGATAGCAAATATCCTGGCTGCCAGTTTGATTCGTACTTTGGCTGTTGCAACTGTTTTAAAGGTGGTATAAGATTCTACCTTACAAGGCCCACTGAATTCTTACTTGCTTTCTTTCAGACCAACAATGACTCTGGAGAAAATCGTAGAGAAATTTTGAAAGAGCAGATTGAAAAGATGGACAAGGAGAGGTATGCGTCCTCTTTAAAAAAATATCTTTTAAAAAGTCCGGTTATGTCGGCCGTTTTCAGGTTCTGATGAATTTTCCCGCAGTGCCTGATGCCTACAAATAGCTCAAAGAAATCCGTTTTCTTTGCAGAGAGCGACTGACAGAAAACCTTCCCAACTTGGAGCGAATAGATTCACGTGGAGATCTGAGGATCGATTCGGATGACGGCATAACGTCTGATGATGGATTGACAGATAATGATGACCCAATGTCAATCTCTTTCGAAGTATCAGGTAGGTTTTCCTGTATTTTGTTTATAAAAGCGATCTCCTTTACTGTGACTATAGGATATTCATACTGAGAAAATTAGTTTTTGATTGGATATTGACTAGGCCTAAACTGGTTTTTTCAAAACAATGCTGTTTTTTTCAGTCACGACAACTCCACTGCAGAACCCTCCGCCTGGAAAGCGACGAAAAAGCCCTGCAATGAGAAAAAGAGCAAACGAACTAGCGCCCAGAAATGATACTCTATCGCCTGATTCCTCTTTCGAAGATTTGTCAGGAGAACTTGGTGATATACCATTGTAACATTTTAAACAACATCATTAGTATAAAGTGTTAATTATTCGTCTTGTTCTGTGATTTCACTACTTATCTATAGAGGTAGAATGGTAGTGGGTCGACGGAGCAAATATAGTGATGCTGGACTGAATTTGATGCAGTGTATTGGTTAGAATTTTCAAAGTATTTTCGTACTTAGAAAGGGTTATATTTGGCATAACTCTTGACCTATATCGTAGGAAAATCTGAAAATTGAGCCAAACTTTTTTAAATTTCAAAATGATTAATTTTGCAAATTTCTAGTCAAGAATTATGTCGAATCTCATGAATGTTGTAAGAGTAAGACTCTGAAATGGTTTCGTCCGCAAATCGATAATTAAGATACGAGCAATAATAATTTTTAGAAAAACAAAACAGCACATAAATCAACATTTCGGCCTATACAAGAGAGTTTTGCCTAAAATTGCTGCATACACAATCCCTTGTTTTAGCATCGTAGGTCCCTTTTTTGTAGTTACATGCGCCATATCACTTGTTGTCTAGGCAATGGCCTCAGTTTCATCCTATGCACATCGTTGTGATTTTATACTGTGATTTACTCTTACCGTGGGTGCTAACGCCGCGTATTTTAACACAAAATAGGACTTAGAAATGGCATTCGATTAGATTTAATAAAAATATGCACAGGAGAAAATTTTAAAGTAAGCAATAATTAATTTATCAGCCTTGATAAGGGGGTTTTGTTGACTTTTTGTATCCACTATTCAACAACCTTATTTCCTAACACATCTCCCTCTCCATTCTTTACACGAATTAAAACTGCTACTAGCTTATGCTTCAATTTTCGATACGTGTCATAAAACTACATATTTATATTCTATATGCCTTTGTGGCCAAGGAAAATTCCTTACTGTTTTCGTAATGTCAAAGGCAATTTTCTTCATGCCAAGTGGAGGGCTCTCCCTGTATAAGAGGTGAAAAACGTGATTGGAGCTTGCGAAAAGTTGCAGTAGGCTGGATAAGGGTATATACCCGGGGTTTCGTAAAATACCTTAAATTGGTTGCTAAAGAAGCATAGAACTTGTGTTCGTAATATGAGTATTCCTTACGAAAACTTTTTGATTATTTATTTATCTAGGAACTCTAGTAGAAACATTAGTTCTCCCTCCAAATCGGTCATAATTTTATAGCGTTGGGATGATATTTTTAGATTAGAGATTGTATTGAAAATATGTATCCCGTAATGAGCTTCTTAGAACTGGGTTGAAATCAGCTAGCAAATCATGTCATTTATTTTGTTACTGAATTGTTGTTTAATCGTCAGACGGTGTAAAAAGTTTTTGTCAATGTAAATAATGGTAATAACCATATAATTAGATTTAATGTTCTCTTAAATTTACGTTTAATTTTAAAGGTTCTTTGTTAATGAAGTGGTTTAGTATGCCTGTATGATATCTCTGTTTATAATTCTCAGACAAAAATATACGATATCCTACTATACCCCCAGCCCAGCTGACGTCATAGCTCCGTGTATGGCGTCACGTGCTGCATTCCTGTAAAAAACTTTTACACGATTATACGTCTCGGTCACAGCCCATCCTCCTCCTCCAGCACCTCCCAATGACATCAATCCTGCACACCCAGGCCTGCATTCAAACATTTTCTGTGCATTTTGTCAACATTGTGGAATCTGGATATTTTTTCTGAAATAGGAAAAAAATGTTACACATTAAAAATGTAGCTAAAAGAAACAAGTGGACATGTGTTAGATGAAGAAAAACTGTTCTCATGGAGTATTTTTCCTGGCCAAGTACAAGACTTTCGCTGGTTCTGGTGGTGTTAAGTTCTCACTACATCCAGACAATTGTTGATGTCATTTCCTTTTTCAAAGTTCTGATCTACGTAAAGCAAGGCCTGCAAAGGAACTATCGTGCAATCTTGGCCTTCCACGAACTTACAGAAGACAGATTCTGTAATTGGCTTTGGATGTGAATGCCAATGTTTTCCCTTAAGCATCTTTTTTATCATCGTGATCAAATTTGAGCTCTGAAGTCAAAATTGTGTTCTATGTACAAACAAGCAGACATTGCTTTACAGTTAAATATTATCAACATAAACGTGCAGTTTATCAGACACCAAGATTTTTCGTCTAGTCTGGGTTGAACCTGAAGTTGTTCAAAGTGTTGAAACTTCAAGGGCATTTTGTCACGTCATTGTATTTTCAAGTCATATTTATATTATGCCATTTGTTAGCATTCAGAAACGAAAGCTTAGGTATCGATTGGAGCAAGTAACAATGGCCTATTGTATAATTCACCCAATTAGGATTGAAGTGGTCACCAAAATTCATCGAGGCATAGTGCCGTAAAAAGTTTCTCCCCAACCTTGGTATACTAATTATGTTACAGAATAATTACGGCCACAAGTTGACACCACTCCTTGTCTCGTAGCAACTGTAAGCAACAGAGAACAGAATTTCAAGCTGAGAAAGTACTAGCAAAAGTTAATACATTGTATTCCGCCATAGTCTTTATATGGTATGGAGTTTGTTTCTTTAACTGTAAAGTGTAAAGTTATCCCGTTTCTGGCACTATTAGTTTTAATAAAAGTGTGCAATGTTAGCAAAATATGTGTTATGGTGTCATTAAAAGGCATATTGTGTTATGAAGTTCAGTATTTAAGAGCCTCTTTGCAAATGTTTTTTAGATAGTCATTCGATTCGTCAGACTTCACATCTCGTTCTTGATATTTCGTAAGCGCGGTTGGAATGTGCTTAAATAAACTGCATTACTTTGTAGGATTATTAGAGTCTAGTGTATTATGGTAGAATCTTGTTCGCTTTTTTGTCTAAATTTTTGGCGCTGAGGCTGTGGAGATAATGGGAAAGCTCTACGCAACCATATTAACTGGTGTTGGACAGTACACGCCTAAAGAAGGTCAAGTAAAACAAATGCTGCAGAAAAAAGACTCGAAGTAAAGGAAAGCTAAAACAGCTAGTGAATCCAAGGAAAAAATGATTCAAAAGAGAATCTTTCCAATGCAAGTTTGTCAGTGATGGCGAGATAGAAGCCTTTCCGATGATTTCGTCTAGTCCTCTCCGACTAATTTAGAAACAGTGGCCTGCTTGACAGGATGGATACCGAGAACATTTTTGTAATAATTTGAAGCGGTTTACAAATTTATTTTATTTACAGAATCAAGTCTCAAAGTGTTGCGTTAGAAAATCAAAGCCTGCAACATTGTTAATTGAATGGACAATGGTCACCACTTGAGAACAGTTCTTCTCTTTTTAAAAAAAATTCTATCCACAAAGAATGAATCAATGATATTCCTGTCGCTCTTGTTAACATATATTTTGTTTACGGAATTTTCCTTTCTGTAACGTTTTTTAATTTTTATTTCCTATTTTTATATTTATGTGTATATATATATGTGTTAATGCCTTTGGGGTAGACACAGGCTTTTGCTCCCCGGGGGTTGATGCAATAAAATAACGACTTTGTACAAGAAATGCATATTTTGTACGACGTTTCGGGCATAACACTTCATCAGGTGAATATTGTATTGTAAAGTAATTCTTGTTACTAGTGTAGACAGTAATATGTATTGTAAGTTTTTATTGGATTATATAAGAAAACAATAAAAAATATTTTGAACTAGTTCACGTCCAGTTACTTTAAGGGAAATCATATTCTAATCTCTGCTTTTAGCACACTAGTTTTATGAGATGTATCAAATCATGTTTAAAAATTAACTTTTTAGAAAAGACCATAAGGCTGCTGATATATTTCCAAAAGTTTTTCCATTGAATTTGCCGCAATTCATAATGGGATATTAAACCTGAAATAACAAGCGAAAAAGTTCGACAATGTGTTGTGAAGATTCTTGGGGACAAGTTGACACTAAAACTTGTCGCATAGCAACTGGAATTATTTACATGGCAACTGTTGTAGGGAGTTTTCACTTCAAATTAGACGACAATTGCAAGCTGAGAAGTAATGTGAACAATAGATGCATTTATTTATCACCAGTAATACAATGCTTGGTAACCGGGATAATGGAAATTAATTAACCTTAATGCAGTCGTTAATACAGACTGGCTTTGTTACTGCATGTTTCAAAAAGAAAGCTAACAAAATGTGATTTTGAATTCTAATGACTAAATTTTTCTAAATAGATAGTGCCTTTTGCATGAAGGAAGAGAAGAAAAAGAAAACAGCTAGGGTAAAATTATGGCAATTATTGATTTGTCCATTAAATGTTTGGATATTATAATTTTTCAAAGTTTTCCGCCCAAGAAAATGACAATATGAGTAGAAGAAATGATTTTATAATGGAAAAGGGATTTAATGATTTAGAGTATACGGTAAATTTGGTATTGACATATTGTGTGCAAGGAATTGGTAAGAAAATCATTCAAGGGATGTGCATCTCTTTTATTATGTTGTGAGATTGTAAAAAAATATCAAAACCATCAATATTAACGGCAAACCAGCTTTAACGAAAAAGGTTACAGTGAAAATCGTCAATTGAGTTTTGGAGACCCGCGTAGACCAGAGGCCTAGGGAAGAGAGCACTAGGGGATCTGTTAAGTACATTTGTAAAACACAATCGCAAGATGAAGAAAAACCCGATGATCTTGTTTGTTGTCCGATGGTTGAAAGCAGCTTGAACTAAGCAATTTCAAGGTCTTTTTTGTTCGATGATCCTCGTTTACTCTAAGGCTTTCCCAAACTGCATTAGAGCAAAGACGTTCTTTGTTTAATCTTGAAAAATTCTGAAAAATCTCTTTTACGCTTTGCTGTACCGTCTAAATCAAATCTATTACTATTCTATGCACCATATACTAAAACTTTATTCAAATTCTATACATCCTCCAATTTCAGAAAAGTAACCCCAATTAAACCTTTGGACAGACCCCATATCTAAAGATAATTATTGCAAGCTTGTTATTGCAAAAGCTATTGGTTTTTATATCCTGAACAAATGTTTTTTAAGTCTGTATTTGTATGCTTTGACAGAAAAGCACAACTTTCAGTGGCCTCCATTTTTGACACACCTGTAGAGGTGACGATGACAGACTTCAAAAGCACCGTGTAGCACCTGATAGGTTGAAATACAATTTCAAATACGGTCGCCACTTTCACACCTTGGACGACCGGTAAGAATAAAGTACAAACTACTCATTCTGTTTTCACACGTATCTTTTCTTTATTATTAACACTATCTTGTACATTCTGTGAACAAAGAACACCTCCTATATAAACGGTTGAGTTCCTTCAGAGCTAGAAAGTACAAATCAACCTAGCTCAGCTCAGCCTTCGCAAACAAAGTTTTTGGTAGGATAAATTAACTCGTGGATACAGAGAAAAACTTGTTCAACAACCAAACCTCTTGGTGGTTTATATGATCTGTTTAGAAGTCAGTCTATCAACACTAAAGTCGAAGATGGATGCCTATAAATTCGCAAAGGTAAAACACTATTCTTTCTTCCAACTTCAAAGGCAAGAACCTTTTTGTGATGCACTTGGCTTTGGAACAACAATTTTATTGGAAATCAATTTTGCAATGTATTTTATACCATCATATGATAAATACATCCTCAAATGCAACCCCTTTACTTATCCGGGTATTGCTTTTGGGTCGAAAGGCAGAAATTGAAAATTTTTATATCAGTTAATTAGTTTTGCAATTGTTAGTGCATTTCACACATATTCGGCCTAAAAATGTATAGGGATCACCCCTCAATAAATTGAAAAGCCCTTTCACAACGTTTTATTTACTTTAAAACCATTCAATTCTTTTTACGTTGAATATTTCAGTTACATTTCCTGATTTTGTTGGGGATATAACGATGTCCCCCTTTTGTTTAAGACAAAGAAGTTTAAGTCAAGTCTGATTGGCCATACTTCATTGGCGCTTGCGCAGTACGAAATCAAATTCTTAAGAAATTTTTAGATGGCTACTGTATCATGCATCACACGGGGCAAGGGGGGCAGGCATTATAAAAAAGGCTTCTAGCTTCTACTAAAACTTTAGTAACTGTCATTTTTTTTATTTTCCGTAGGTATCAGTAGTAATTTTGAAACTTTTGAGAAATTTTGTCATGAATAGGGATCTACAGTCAGAAATAAATATGATCCTCTTTGGTAATTACAAAAGGCTAATGTTATGGGCACTTCATGAAAAGGGTATATTTGCCTCCTTTCAAAGGGCAAGAGGGGCTGTTGCCCCCCCCCCCCCGACACTCTCCTCTTCGGCGTACCTGATCTGAGCAATTTAAGTAACTCGTCACGAGCCTCTTTTCAATTAAAATGACATTGACATAGCATAATCAGATAGATAATAATATTTTCTGTTGAAAATGGCTTATTCTTCGAATAATATATCTTTCTTCTTCAACACTGAAACTTGTGTTTTTCTTCTTTGATGTCCCCACATCGATATTTTCATCTACGTTTTATGTCCCCGGTGCATGACATAACGCTCTTGATAATCCGAAAGTCTTATAATAGACACTGGCATGAATTTCAACGAAAATGAACTAAACATTTGGAAAAGCATTGCCTAGAAAATAACACTATTGTAACTATCAACATGTTTTTTCTGATAGAGCTGCTTCTGTTGTGAGTGCATAGAAAAACTGTGCTACAAACGCTCATACCAAACACGATATCGGCAACATGACAGGTACGGGGATAGCAGCAGAAGAATTCCAAGAAATCAGTATGTATCTCACCTCGATTTTTCGCGCTTTTTCATTTGTAATATTCTTACTGACTAATATTCTGTAATATTGCTTTAGCGATTAACCTGGCACAAACTGATAATCCCTTTCCTTTCAATTTAAAAGCAGAATTATATCTTACAAAATATATAAATAATTACAAACTGAAATATTGTGATACGACTTAGTAGTTAAAAAATTTAAAAAACGCTTTTCTGCGTCAAGTTCCCGTGTTTTTTTGCAACAAGCTGTTATTGTACAAAGTAGAGAAGAACACAATTTAGCAATCCCATATCATCATGCAAAAGTTTTCTTCATTCTCCTACCACTTACAAATTATATGCAATGCTTTGGCAATATCTTTCTAAAACCCTCAAAGCCCGACCCATTAGATTATATTCATCTTTTTGGGTTCACGGTACCATTTTCAATGCGTTCTTCTACTTTAGCAACAGTTCTGCATGGAGATGTGGACCATACGATGAAAAAAAGAGACATGACAACAAGGTTGGTTGAAAGACTTGCTTTTCTAAAGCAAGGATATTTTTTAAGCAAAGTGAAATATAAACAACAATTTTGAATAAAGTAGAAGATAGTTTACATTTTGATGTAATAGTTTGATGTGATATTCATCTTATAGACATTTTTCTACGATTCATCTACGTTTAAATTTTCAGCTGCTAAAACACTTACTTCAAAACTGTACTTATGAGTGTTAGCATTTGTTACTGGAAGTACGAACATAGCTATACCAATTAACTTAATTGTAAGGCAGATCACCTTTACTTATTATATGGAAATAAAAAAAGTTATTGCTTGCTTTTTACAAAGTTTCTCTCTAACCATAGCAGTGTCAATGGAATCAAATCGAAACTAATTCACTGGCAGTCCAGTCTGTTCCACAGTTTATACACCCTGTAAAGTAAGTCATTTCAGTTTAGAAAAGAGTTTGTCATTCCCAGAAGGTGTTCATAAATAACCACTTCAAATTTGAATTTATTTCAAATCTTTGTAAATAGTTTCAGATGAGTCAATAAAGCGAATTATCTTATTTGCAGACTTATTTGGCCAAAGAAACCGTACGATTATATGTTCGCTGAAGGTGAAAAGCTTCTTCGCGATTTTCCTGTACAAGCCACATTAGAATTCGTCTCAGATGCAGACTCTGATTCTGAAGATGATGATTATGATGTTGACGCTGAAGATAAGATCTCTACAAAAACAGGAGAAACCGAGAAGAACTAGGTATTTCAATCCTGTACGATTTCTGCCTCAAGATAGAGACCCAGGTCGCTACGGCAGTTTGCAAAGACACTTACGACCTACTGCTTGCCCAGTGTAGATGCTTCTGTAGCATAATAGGCACTTCATATTTCTACAGTGAATGACATGTTGCTTTAATGATATACAATGACCCTCTGCAAAAGTAGAGCCACAACACCAGTTTTATCGACTGAAGGAGTGGTATACCCAAATATTAACATTTTGTAGGCGATGCTTGTCTTTTTACAATAAATCTTCTACAATAAATTAATCTCTAGGATGACAAAAAAAATTGAAAAACTACATTACTGATCCCACTCAACTTTCAGAAACAGCTAAAAAGTCAGTCGTTTAGAAAGGGAAGCAGTGATTACACGCAAGAGCTGCATTTACTGGGCTCAGTGATGATATTTCAGGATACCATTTTGCCATTTAGTTACCCCTTTGCCACCTAGCCTTCAACAGAATAACGCAATTTCAAGCACGACGTTAAAGCTTCTTTGCTATAATGAGTTAAGGCTAAAAATCGATGGTTTTTGATTAAAATTCTCGTATATTTGTCAGTTTTTATGGTATATAATATATGGTGATACAATTTGATGTAACTGTCATTGGTGATATCAACTTGCAAACATGCTTATTATCGTTGATCATAACAAAATAACAACATGATTATTGCTATCAGAATCAAAATTTAACAGGAAACTCATGTAGTTCAAAGTAAAGTTTCTAATTCATTGTTAATTTCGTATCAATGTATATTAAGTTCACACCGTAAAGTGATGAGATACTAACAATACCATTTCAGTAGAAATTATCTCTCTTTCAATGTGTAACATTACTTCAACATCAAAATGTTAAGTAAAGAGGAACATTTATGAGGAAATATTTGCTTCAGTTTGGATCTATTTTTTTTGACATGATGAAATAGGAAATAAAGATGAAATTTATCTTTTTTGAAAGGTAAAACTAAGTTTTTAATTGATCTGCTATTATCCTGTATTTTATGAAAATGAGAATATGATAATATGGAACTTGTTCAACACACGATTAACACTATGGGTTTGCATATTACTTCATAACTCTCAATTTTTTTGATCTATCCTCTTCTGTCTAAAAACTTTTTGTTGGAGCTCTCAAAAATGTTGAGAAGATATTGCAATATGATCAGTTTTATGTTTATAAAATATGAAAAAATAGTGACTTTCTGGGACCATCAATAAGCAGTTTGGTTTTAGAAGCTAAATTTCATAGCAAAGAGATTGATATCAATGAATATACGTAACAAAGCAACGTAAGGAAGAAGATATCAATCTTAATAACCTTGGGGCAATTTTTTGACCCTAGAAGACCGAATATCAAACGAGATCCTAAAATTTATCGAAACGAATATCAAAGTGATCTACATCAGGTATTATACTCCCTGTACTATAAGTCTTTTAAAAACACTAAGTAACGATTTCTCTTAACTGTGGAGTGCATTCGTCTTCAAAGAAGTACCCAAAATGTGCTCCGCCAATTTTTTCATTCTTTCTCGGAGCGCAAGTTTCATCTCAAGTATACCAAACAGGTCTAAAAAATCTTATCTCTTACAACTGACCTATCTTTAACTTTTGCTCTTCCTACAATTCATTGTTCTTATGCAAAAGTTGTCCATGCCATGACTGAAACAGGAAATCTAGGAAAATCTTGAAAGGAAAATCTTCTCCCAAAAGCTTCCTTTTATCACAAATGGTTATCTGTTATTTTGAGTTAATTTTCACAAGAATCTCGAATGATTTCCTGCGCTACTCTATCATTCTATTAATGTTTTTTCCATTTCTATACCATGTTGAACAAATTACACTTTTATCAGGCCAAACTGCGTCACAGTTGTCGGTCTCTTAGTCATTAACCTATGTGTTTAAGATGAATCTGATTCAAAGTTAAATTTTAAGGAAAAAATTGCCGGCTTCTTAGCGTCAATAAGCTGTTCAATTGAAAAGCAAAAATTAACTTTAGCTTGTTGTTAATAAAAATGAAATTTCAATGTTCCTTCCATTAATACCGGTAGTTTGATTTAAAAGCAATTCTAAATTGGAAATTTGCGTTCTTAAATGATGTCAAACGAAAAAGGTCATCAAACAAGCTCGGTTATTTATTCAATTTAAATAGTTTCTTTAGATAATCACCTTGATTATAAATGCCTTTTTTAGAGGAGAAAACCAGAATATATGTTGATAGTAGGATTTATGACACTTTGAGTAATCAATGAGACTTTTTCTCCTGTTTTTTTTCAGTACTGATGTTGTTTTATTTTGTTCAACGTTTTAGAAGAAAAGGCTAACTTGATTTTTGTGGGAAGATTTATACATCTTGCCCTACCTGTTAATTTTCCAGTAAAGACTCTTCCCACTATTCTTGCAATTGGTCTTTTAGTTATTAGTGGGCGTTGCTCTTTTTAAGCATCGGGACTTTTCTTTTTTGAACAGCCTTCTTAAATTTCCTATGCAAGCAATTGCCGATTTTCGAATCAAAAATGGCTGATCAGAAATGATAGGACTGTTTAGAATCGGTGTATTCATATCTATAGTCTTTTTAAAGCCTGGTTTCCATATGGTCGTAAGCAACGGGGACGTGTCCCAGCAGAGGATCGGCGATGCTGCTTGGACGCTTACGATGATATGGAAACGTGTTTTATAGTGATGTCTCCGACGTCCCCGTAAAGATAAAAAATGTTGAACTATGTTCAACTTTTGAGAACATCACGATGCATCGCCGTCGTGTCCCCGTCGATGGGGGGAGAGTTTTCCAAATGGAAACCACACACTTGTGATCGGCGACGTCGGGCTAGCTCAATTATTCACTTCGAGATTGATAATAGTGCATTGGAGACTCTAGCAAAATGGCTACTCGAAGCTCCACTAGCGACGAGCAATTGATGGAAGTTATTCAAAACTTTCCGTGCATATATAGCAAAAGAAGCAAAGATTACAAGGATCAACGAATGAAGCAGAATGCATGGAAGTTAGTTGGGGATCAGCTACATATTGATACAGTTGGGGATCATTTTGAATAACTGTGTGTACAGCTACCATGATTGTTTGCCCGAATGGTCAAAAGCGCGCGAAAATACAGCTCTCCGACGATATGACTGGGACACGTCCCCGTCGCTTATGACGATATGGAAACTATATAATCGTAAGCGTCCCAGCAGCATCGCCGAGCTCTGCTGGTACACGTCCCCGTTGCTCACGACGATATGGAAACCAGGCTTGATAGGACTATAGGAAGTACTTAATAAAAATATGATAATAGCACAGAGCGGAAACATATAATACGAAAGTAGTTTTCGTCCAACACTCGTCAGACTATAAACGTCGGGTAATGTCCATAAGCAGTAAACTTATATCCAGGTGCACATCAAAAGTATTGTAGCACGTCCTATTGGTAAAAAATACTAATCTAAGGTTCATGCAAATATTAGTTCCTTTATTGTCTATATCCTAAATCTTCAAGAGCATTTCCGTAAAATTGGCAATAAAAACGATTTTAACACCTGTCATCAAATAGTGAACACCTTTGAATGAAACAGCCCTTAATATTGAGGCAATTTGCTTTATTCTGCAAATATATCATTATATTATTTACTCTAACAAATCAATTTCCAGATCTAATCGTAAGTTAGAAACTTGATTAAACATGTTATTTCATTGCATTGCAGAAACCAGTAATGAATAACACTTTTTATTTTGCATGTGTTGGAAAATCTTATCAACATGAAAGTATTCCGAGTAGTTTCTACTATTTTTCTCAAAATATGTTTCTTAAAACAACGATTTCAAAACAAATCTAATCAGAAAAAATTGAAGATTTTCAGGGATTTCTTAAAGCTCTACTGCTTCATTTTAAAATCATTATTCCTGGAGCTTGCTCCTCGTACTGTCAAAAGTTATACCCACAAAACATGCTAGCAGGGTCCCTAACAGGCCTAAAATGAATCCAGCAGCAATGAAAGGCTATGACTTGTGATAATCTGATCTTTTGCGATTCTTTTGGCCAATATTGCAATAAATATGTCTTTGTTGAAATTTCTTCTGCTTTTCAGGTTACGACCACAAATCATTTCTCGTATTAGTATCTTTCTATCGAAAAATCAAGTTTGTTGCAGCTCGGCGTATATCTGAACTTTTCGTACAGTAGATTATAGGATTTATGCAGCTATTAGTAAGCAGAAGAAAGTTCACCCACAGGCTAAACTGAAAATTTACATCGTCGTTCCAGCAGGAGTTCCCTTTTTGAGCAAAGTATCCCAACATTACAAGCAATGGGGTGTAACAGAGCAGGAAGCAAGCCAATACCATTCCAATCATGAAAGTTGTTGATCTTTCCCGTCTTTGTCGAACAGCTTTGTTGATGCTGGTTATTCCAAGGGCTGCTCGTTGCTTCCGTTGATTTGAGATTTGGCAGTAAATTTCAAAATACGTAAGAAGTACCACTAAAACACAGACGATCAAACAGCAAATGGTCATGATGTTATAAAGGGCACTTACAGAAATCGGCGGGTACATATTGAGTGATGCATAGACTAGCCATATGAATCCAAGAAATATAGTTGTGTACAACTGCCTTTTGAAAGTAACTTTCCGTCTGTATGTGAATGGGTTACAAACAGCTACGTATCTTTCTAGGCTGAGAAGTGTTGCAAAGCAAAACGACAGGCCAGCGCAAAAGAACAGTGCCTTGTTGAAAGCAAACTTTAAAGTTTCATGTTCTTTGCCCTTTAAAAGCAAATATAGAAATGATGCATAAAGAGGCCTGACTACGAAACCAACTAGCAAATCACTCACGCACAGTCCAGCAATGATAACATTGGACGGTTTGTGAAGCGATGTTGTTTTTATAAGAGTTGTCAAGAAGAGCAGGTTTCCAATGACTGTCAAAATCCCCGGAACAACGTCCAGTACAAGCAGTGCAATAACGTTGTCTTTGGAGGTCTTGTCTAATGGCAGTTTCAAATGTGAGCACATCTTCTATACAGCCGTCACTGGATGCCGCTTTCATTAATGCTTTGTGATGGCAGCGAGAGAAAAATGATAAGAAATGCCTCTCATGTTTGAAACGTCTGAGCGATGCATCATTCTAAACGGATCTACTCAGCAGTCAACAGACAGTTACCTGCTTAAACTCTGGTTTTTGTTATAAGGCTGCAAAATTATTTACATTTGCCTTTTTTAGATGACACGCCCAATCTATGCTGGTCGTTCAAAAAAGTCTTTGAGAAAAAGTGATTTGCTGAACGTAAAAAACCAAAGCTATGGCACACAGAGACGATGGTTTATTCGTTATCAAGCAACTGGGCACGTGAGAATTGAGAATAGACGTCTCTCTCAGTTTTTGATCGCTGTTATTGAATCAACTAAACATCTGCTTTTTATATTATGATTCTTGAAATTCAGACCATGACACTTTGCAAAGCCAGTAGAAATTGCGAGCTACTTCCGAAGATGTTCCTGCAAAAAGTGGAAACTATTGAATTTCGCTGTAGACACCGCTGTCACCTGCCAAGATTGCTTGGACAGTTTAAATTGAGACTTTAAGCTATTTTATTAACAAAAAAGTGAGTGTAACATGTTAGCATTCATCTTTTTTATTATTTGCTGCTTTATCGCGTTGGGTGAATCCTGGCAAAGTGTTTTTTGCATTTTATATTAGTTTTTTGCATTAAGGTATAATATTTTGCAGCTAAAGCCTTAGGGCCTAGGCACATGTTCCTCACCACTGATATTTGGTGACAGGTGCGGGATGACAGTGCAGTGTGAATTCACAGAAGCATTTATCTTATCAATCAATCAATCAGTCAATCAATCAATCAATCAGTCAATCAATCAATCAATCAATCAGTCAGTCAATCAATCAATCAATCAATCAATCAATCAGTCAGTCAATCAATCAATCAATCAATCAATCAATCAATCAATCAATCAGTCAGTCAATCAACAGTCACCATAAGTGGCAGATGGCAGCATGGCTTTTCGAAATCTTGCATTGCAATGCGTCACAGAATTATAACTTTAGCTCAAAAAGTTTTGCAAGTTTCTGTAACTGAAAACTTTCAAGTATTGTGTAGAAATAAAGAGATCATAAAATTTGGCAGATTTAAAAAGACCATTTAATTTCTGGATATAAATTGGTTTGTCATGGTCAGAGAGGATTGCCGCAGAAGGGCCAGTAAGAGCTTTTTGTAAGATTTACCTTTTTACTGTGAGATTGGAGACACCAAACGATAATGCTTGGACTACTTAAGCTTGCAAGTTTATGCAACCGGATCTTAGCAAATCTTTGAGCCTTTCGATTTTCGGTCTTTTTTGGATTACTGAAGAAAATTCATTTGTCGTACCGCCCGCATTACAGGGGACAGGGGGTCACGAATTTTTCGCTAGATAAAAGATAAAAATTAATCCAAATTTTCATATTAAATAATCTGTAGATATAACAAAAATTATGTTGAGCCAAAATCCTGAAGTAAATATTGTTAGCTAGTCTTTTGTTACAATGGGGGCTATGAGGAATAAGAGGGGTGAGATAACAGTTACATTACAATGCTGCCACTCCCCCAAAAATGGTGTAAATAGTGGAAACAGTCACCATGCTGTAGCAAAGAAAAGAGCAATATTTACAGATGTGGCCCCTTCCTTTTTCAAAGTTTCTATGAAATTAAATTTGAAAAGATTATATATAGGCACACTTTTAATAAGCAAAATTTGCTGATTTCAATGATAAATGTTGAGGTGATTTTTTCTTGCGGAACCGTCTAAAAATCTAGGTTGAATATCCCATTTTCAGGTTTTCGATCGTGACAAAGCGAGCGTTATCCGTGACGTCACAAAGTTTGCAAATACGAAAGCAGTTTGCGTTTAGTACACTAAGCAAAATAGAGGTCGCTATTGGCACTACAATGCCTGCCACCGACGTCAATTTCCAAGGTCAAAATCAATCATCCCCCTCTCCTCTACAGAACAATGTTGGTTTACTATCAAACGAGTTAGGATTTTAGAAAGCTTATTCTTTTACGCTTCTTTTATGATATTTCTCTAAATTATCAACATTGTTTTAGGGGGAAGAGGGCGGAAGTAGTAATTTTTTTCATGAAAGGAATGGAAGATATCAAAAGCAGCGTAAATAGCCCGGTGTTCCAAGTACTTTTGGCAGGCTTTGTACAATTAAAATTGCCACAGCAGGGAGCAGTTTTGAGTCAGGGCCCTTCTATCCTTTTTAGCACATCAGACTGCTCTTTTTTGCAAATCTTTATAATGTTGTACCGAAGTACGACTGAAATACACTAATACCGTCTATTGAGGTCTATGGCAGGGTACCCTAGTTTGAAAATAAACCAAAGGGACAATTTTCAGTCGAGGTCTAGATCCTATCTTTTTCAGCGTAACAGACCGTCCTATTTTGCAAAGTTTCTTGCTGTAGTAGTAAAGCACGACTGAGATGCGATAACACCGGCTTTAAAAGTCTGGAGCAAAGAACACCATTCTAAACATAGAAAAAGGGGGCAATTTTCAGTTAGGTTCAAATTTAGGTTCTATACCGTATCAAACTGTCCCCTGTTGTAAATTTTCGTGTTATTGTAGCTACTTTCAGAGGAGATATTGTAATAACGCCGTTAGGGGCTTGGAGGAAAGAATCGCGGTCTAGAAAAAGCCAAAAGGGGATAGTTTTCAGTTGGGTTCCATATCCTATCTTTTCAGCATATCAAGCTATCCCTTTTTGCAAAATTTCATGTGAAGACGGAACCAACAGCAAACCTTACGACGTCACAGATTTTTATGCTTTGTCACTCGCAGCTTTTTTTTTTTAAAGCCCCCAAAATAAACTTTCTCGTGCAAATTTTCGTGTTAATTTTCGTTTTATATTGCAACAAAATGTAGAAGTTTCAGTTTCTTTCAAGAAAACTGTGTGAATTTTCATTTCATAGGCACTTTAAAGAATGAAGTGAGGCCCGACTAAACTTCGTAGAAGTTTTTAATAAAAGTGAAATAAAAATTTGCAAATTTAGACATTTTTGTGACGGTTGTTGGTTTGAAGCTTGAATTATTTAGCGTACTTCTCACTTATACAGGGACATATATTATGGATCTGAATGCATCATCAACATACAACGACACATCAGATTTCCTAGGTGCGAGGATGGCTCAGTTGCTAGAGGCGCTGACTTCAGACCCAAGGGTCCGTGGTTCGAGTCCCCTGGCATGACCAAACTTTCGCCCAGAGTGAGGAGAGTCGCCAGCTCTCTGTAATTCCAGGCGAAGGAATCTCGAGGTGTGGTTACATTGAGAGGAAGGACCAGGACACTGCTCGATAATCAGAAGCTTCTCAGTGTCCTAAAACTACCTTCGGATTTTAGGTAGAAACAAATTCAAATACAAATACAAATACAAATTTCTGAAATCAAATTCTACCAAGCATCTTAGTAACAAGGACAGAGTAGAAAACTGTAAAGAATATTTCATTCTTGATATTATATATTATCACGATACTCCTTCAGTAACAAAAAACAGTATTTAAATAAACAAAAGTATTTACAAAACAAAACCAAGCGAATATAAAAACTGGTCTACCAGGAGGTCATGTTTAGGAATTATTTAATTCTATACTGATTTTCCTTTATTGGTCCAAGAGATAGGTTTTAATTTTTTGTTTGAAAAGTGAGTAGATTCCATGTTTCTTATGTCGTTTGGGATATCATTCCAGACCTTTGCACCGACGTACGAAAACTTTTTTTGAGATTTCCAACCGTGGTCTAGGTATTTGCAGTTCGTTTATTCTACGAGTTTCATATTTTGAGATCTAATTTCTTCTAGTAAACTTCCTCTTAAGATTTTCTTGGCTTGGACCATTATGGCTTGGTCATATGTGATAACCTTTTCCACGCTTAGTCGTGCGGATTGTATCTGATCCATAATAGGAGCGGATTCATTCCCTAATCCTGCATCTTCTGCAATGAGCAGAGTTTCTTTTCAGGCAAATGGCTCCACATCAAGTTTCCATATCTCAGGTGGCTTTCCGCCAGTGCTTTGTATACAAGAAACAATTGTGATTGCGGTAGCACTTCACTGAGTTTTTTGACAGAATTGAGCCCAACTTTTCCCTTTCTTCTTAACCATTTTAAATTGTTGGTTCCAGGAGAGACTCTCATCTATTGTCAGACCTAAAAAATGTTGTCTTTTAATTTGTCGTTTACCCTTTTAATTTAACATATGTCAGTTTCGATGTTGCCAACTTCAGAGATTTTACCTAATTGTTTGTCATCACCAAGAAACATGTATTCCCACTTTGCTACGTTAATTGTGTCTTAGCCAGTCCACGATCCACTCTAGCTCACTTTTTAGGTCTTCTAAAAGTTGAAAAGGATTTTCTCTACTAGAGGAAGTACTTGTGTCATCGGCATACACATTGGGGTAGAATGTTGATAGGGACTTTTCAAAATCATTCGTATAGAGAGTGAATAGAAGAGGCCCTAAACATGATTCTTGTACAATGCCGCAGGTGACCTCCTGTTTCTTTGAGTTTTTCCACCTAGGTAGCAACATTGTTTACTACCAGTTAGGTATGATGTAAACCAAGCAAGTTCGTTTTGAATGACACCATGTTTTCCCAGCTAAGGCAACAAAATCTTATCGTTGTTGGTGTCAAATGCTGTTCTAAGAACCAGGAACAAACTTACATCAATCCTTTTCTCACCTATGTTTTTATACCGATCGTCGAATGTACCTTGCGATAGGCAAATTGGTACAGAGTAATCAGACAGAAACAGAGTATACAGCTGCAAAAATGCTTAATGTCAACATTTGTGGAAAAAGCCTATCCGATTCGACAAAACCTTAATAGTGGTCGCTTACAAATATTTCAGCTATTGAGAATATGCTAACGTGGCTGGGAATTTTTATTAATCTCGTCCAAAGTCCTGGGGTCATACAGAGTGTAGATTTTGCTATAACCAAAAACACATTTAAAAAGGAGCACTCAGGACGTACAATTTTTTAGATTATAGAGAATAAGAATAATAGAGGGGATTGCATATGGAGCAGTTAGAAATGTCAACTGACATAAGCCAACATCTTGGCTAGGACGAAACATCGAAGAACTCGTTCAAACATGTTTAGACTTATTCATTCCTTTGACCCAGGTCATGAGCAACTAATTTGTCCTCATTTACCAAAATAGTGGCACTCTCATAAAAAAAAGTTGAATAGCAAAACATATTCTTCAGTTTTCTAGCAATTTGATCGAGGAATGGAATCCCTTTTTCAAAGCTCTCGTAAATTTGGTTAATTTAGATGCAAATGTTAGACATAAAATAGATTCTGATTTTAACTCATATTTTGTTAAAATAGCAGAATTCAATTTGCTTTGGAAATATTATCAAGTTGCTATTAATTTTCTAATTTATTAATTACAGAGATACAAAGTGCTGCAATCTTATCCCGTATAGTGCAATAATTTAAGATGATGTATCATAGGATACCTAAATGCTCGTCGTAAGAAGATTTTCCATGTTAGTCTAGAATGATTAAAAAAATTCTTCATAATAATTCAATATGGCGTCGCTGCATTTGAACAGTGTATTGACATAACAATGTTTACAAGGATATTCTATTCCTTATCAATTAAAATTATCAATTATCCTATTACCCAGTTCCCTATCTGAGATTAAATTGCTCTTTAATCCAAAGAAGGTGATATACCGTATACAGCTTTCATAGATGAGAAGAAAGCAGTTACAAGTTAGATGCCTTATATAGGAATTTAGGAGAAATAAAGTTCATTCAGAAATCAGGCAAATTTCAAAATAGCGATTTTTTTCTTCAAAATCTTCATAGCTCCTTTGAAGAGTTCAGAAAGCCCGAAATAAAACACAACTCCCAAGAAGATCAGACGTCAAATTCAATTCACGCATATTATTAAATAATTTCTTGAATTTTGTCTTCCATTATTAGTTTTTTAGCTTATCATAACTTGTATTTAGGTTTCTGATGGGATATCGTGTTGAAATAAGAATTTAATAAAAAAAGGGGCACAGAAAATCAGCTTGAGGAAAATTACAAGAAACTGAGATCAGGCGTTTATCCGTTCGGCGATCACTTGCTCTCTTCTGCTCAGCTTGACCTGTGACATGTTGAGGAAGTATTCTATAAGCACTATGTCCCGATGCATTTCACTGGCCATTTAAATTTCCCATTGGCTGGACTACACAATAGACCTATTGTTACGTATCCAATCGGATCGTAAGGCTAATTCTTAATGTTTTCTCAATCAAAAACACGCTGCAAAGCCTGTTCTTAACTCTGAACGGTTGACTGAAGAAAAATAGTTTCCTTTAAGATTCTTGTGAGTAAATCTAGAATCAATTCGGTTGAAGTAACTCTCAGGTCCCATTTGAGCGAATTGACGAGGTCTGTTTTTGTCGTCAGCTCTCAGTAACAATGAGAAAAAAGTAAAATCTTTTGAAAAATTGAAAATATAGAAATTTCAACTGTAGATGCAATGCAAAGAAAACTTGTAGAAGCAGGGTTATGACCTAGGTTTCGCTGTTGTTATTTATGCTAATTCAGCAATAGGGCGCGTCTTTTGTGTTGTCTTGCCTATAAAAGTTCGATCGCTCGTTTTTGAGCCAATCGAAGTAATTGGCAACAGACTTATAACTTAAATAAGATCAGTAAATGTGGATGGGTAACAGTGGTATGACGCTATCAATCTGTTTTCTGGCCTTAAGACTCCTTGAGGTGAAACTAGTCCAGTAATTTCAAAGGTTTGTATGAAAACATCATTACCTGCCATTTTGAAGAAGCAAATCATTCCACAAGATCAAAACGCAAAGAGATTGCCTCCATCGAAACGACATGAGGGTCAATGACACATTCAACTGCTGGGGTTTAAAGCACCCCCTTACCAAAACACTGGCAACAAACGTCATAATTTTCTTAACAATTGACTGTGTTATTGCTTTTGCAACTGTTGTCGGAAATTCCATCTCCATTTTCATCCTGCTAAGGGCTAAATACCTGCGAACACCGTCATACATTCTGTTAGGTGCCTTGTCGGTCAGTGATGTACTTATGGGGATAGCTGCACAGCCAATGTACATTATGTTCTGCTTCTTATTGAAGTTCAAGAGAACGATCGACGTTGCTTTGCTAAGAAAGACCAACACCTTACTTAACCTCTGTGTTGGCTTGAAACTAACCTACATTGCACTAATAAGTCTTGACAGGTATCATTCGATTTCCAATGTCTCCATATACTATAAAACTGCTTCGTGTAAGCGGTACCTGATTGTTGCCCTGGTCTGTGGAGGAGCTTGGATTCAAGCATCAACCATTGGACATTTCTATGCAGAGGATTTCGAGTATGTAAAAATGCTGTATTTTCTTATCGTGTTCATAATAATTACCTACAGCTTTGCACGTGTGTTTGTAGAAATCGTGAGCTATGAACTGAAGCTTTTAGAGGTGAGAGGGAGGGCTAGAAGAAGCACAACCCCGAACAGACAAGAAGTGGCAAGATACAAAAGAGAAAAGAGGAAAACATATACAGCAGTGATGCTTGTCAGCGTATTCTCATTGTGCTCCATGCCATATATTAGTAATTCGATTCATGATATTATCAGAGAGCAGTACTGCTGGGATGATCAGGATACCTTCATCAGGTCAATTTGGTGCAACTTTTTCATGATGCTGAATAGCTTCCTCTGTCCATTTATATACAAAACAAACAAGGACATAAATGCTGCCTACACCCAGATGACCATGCCAAGTTCAACAAGAGAAGGATAAGACAAATGTTTAAAAGCACCCTTTCAATTGATGAGCGATTCACACAGATGGATTCAGGATTCAGACATGTCTTATTTATTATCTCAAATCCATGATTAACATACTCAACATGCCAAGCACAAACTTGCTTTTGATCACAAATGTTTACTTCGCTTATTATTACCACGAATGTCGTGTTTATGATATAGTATATTATAAGTTACAGTTAATATACATTAGATGTACTTTACAAAATATAACACCTCTTTTAAAAAGGCAGCAAAGGTGGTGCAAGAAGGTGTATACTAACCTACGTCATTAATCACCTTTTAGGTTTAAATTTCATATATGGTTTTAGGTCAAGCAAGGATGCAATGCAACATTTAGATAATAGTAGCTACTCTATCTTCTTGTTTTCACATTTTGGCTTTGGTGGGAGGTGATGTTGTTTATGAAAGTTAGATTAGAATCTCGTGGTTTGAGAATTTAGGCCGTGTGTTAAAGTGTTAATTTTTAACGTGCAGTGATGAACCGGAATATTGGGTAGTGACATAACTAAAATGTAGAGACTTTATGTTGAATAGTTGTATAGCTTGCAACACCTATCAGTAGATATAAAAAATTGTAATAGAGCATTGTAATGTAGAAAACAAAAACATTAAGCTAATCAACATGAAATTATCGAATTTAATGTTATCATTTCTATTATATTTGTTCAGTAAGTAGATGTTACAGTTGACAAGTTTGCTTTGTTCTCCATTCTATTCTCCTATGAGACCTCAATTTTTGAAACGATATCGAAAAAAGACTACCTAAAATATTATATAGTAGCTTACTCAGCGGATTCTTTCCGTGCGGAGTGGTCCGCAGTTTACAGCTGGTCTTGGAACATAGTTGGAAAAAACAGGTAAAATTGATCAAGGCAAAATGGCCCATGCAATTTTCATAGGAAAGGATACTTCATAAGAGTGCCATTGCGATTTCTCTGAACATCTACCAAACACACATTTCTCTCCTCTGTCCTTAATTACAAGCAACAGAAAGTATTAAAAGTGATGAAGTAACAATATGCATCAATATTGGTTCAAGAGAGCCAGAGTCATTTGTGAAAAAACCTCTCAATGAACTTTTTTTCTTTTTGAATTTAATAATTTGGCTTTACGTCTCTGTTTTCTTGCAGAAATTGAAAAACTACCAGTCTTGTTACGAAAAATGCATGCTCTTTTTCCACCAAGAAAAATACAAATTTTCATCAACTCTAGCTTTTCTCTATCTCTAGCTGATGTGATGATGTTGCTATAACTGTAATTGCTATTTTGCGAAAATTGTTTTGACAATGCCCACATTTTCATAGATCATACCATTGTCAATTGAATTGGATTTTTAATATGAATCTTCACGGCCCGTGCCATCAATTCTAAATGGAAAAACTAAAATGAGAAATCTATCTTCTAACCGAACCCTTTGTGGCAAACTTTTTGCTGAGGCATTGTTAGTTGTGTATTTCTGTTCAGTGAATTTATTTGTTGTAATCTAAAATTATCTATACGAGCATCTTTTTTCGGAAAATTTTTCATTAGCCTTTTTTTGCCAAAAAAACTTTCCTAATTTCAAACTTAAGGTGAAACCACAAGCCAAAAATTCTCCCTGGCTCGCTTTTCAGAGATGAGATAGAATTAAAAAACCAGAAGTATTCAGTGGACTTTTTCTTTGATTAATTCTTTATTTAATAACCTGATGCAGGTAGAAAAAGTCTAAATAAGAATTGTGCTAATTATCTAAGTTCATCTTTCTTTTAAATTTCTCATAAAAATCTCTATACAACTAGACTTTCATTATATCAAATTTATCATTCAGAATTATGCATATAACAAGATGCAACGGTGCCAGTATCATCTTATAAATGCTATTTAAAAAAGATCTAAATATAAACTTCATTAATTCCTATGTGATTAGATAAATGCTATGATACTCAATATCAAAAATGCTAATATAGATTGCATTGATTGGATAAATACTATGATACTCAATAATATCAAAAATGATAATATAGGTTGTATTAATTGGATAAATACTATGATACTCAATAATATCAAAAATGCTAATATAGGTTGTATTAATTGGATAAATACTATGATACTCAAAAATATCAAAAATGCTAATATAGGTTGTATTAATTGGATAAATACTATGATACCCAATAATATCAAAAATGCTAATATAGGTTTAGCACAGCTCAGCCTAGAACTTATTATTAGTTTGTACACAAACCATCGTTTCAAATTCATTAGCTTCTAAAATTGAAGAGGTAGTTTTCTACACAAATCCCCTATTATCACAATCTGTGTTAATAATCTGACCAGGTTATGATTTGATCTCTTGACGACTTCTACCATGGAATACAAACGTATTCTAACTAATTATACATTTTCAGAGCTGTCTTTTTAGGCTTTTTGGTTAAGATTACAAGCATGTTCATATTTTGTAAATAAACCCTACATTCCAGTTGAATCTTTATATCTCTGCTGTTTGAATAAATACAATTCCACTATTGATTCTTGAATATATTTGTATCCTGTTTTCATGTATTTGCTCTTACTCGTGTGTCTGTCCAGGATCGCCAATGGCTTCTAGTACCTTATCTCCGCCATATTTTTCAATCTTTCTTACACGGAGTACACTCGCGAAGGCTAATATTCTGGGCAAATAATGGCCTACTTCTTTTCTACAACGTCAGTTGTACTTGTGACCATAGTTAAGGAATTATCTTCAGGGTCAACATCATAATCATCATCTTCAGAATCAGAGTCTGCATCCGAGACGAATTCTAATGTGGCTTGTACAGGAAAATCACGAAGAAGCTTTTCACCTTCAGCGAACATATAATCGTACGGTTTCTTTGGCCAAACTAGTCTGCAAATAAGATATTCCATTTTATTGATTTGTAAAAAACAAACACTGATTATAAAACGGTCAATAATGAAAGATTACGAAAACGTTTCTTGTAAAAAAACACTATTCTAAAGTGCAATGACTTACTTTACAGGGTGGTTAAACTGCGGAACAGACTGTATGGCCAACGATTTATTTTCAAATTGATTCCATTGACACTCCTGAAACAAATGAAGATAGTAAATAAGAAAACCATTTACAGCTTTTTGAATCAAGAGATGTGGTATACCAAACATCGAACTTGTTTATATAACTATGACTATTTTTGATAATTATGTATAGTAATAAGAAACAGAGATCTTGAGAAATTAAGTGACTGTGGAACATTTCATACAAATCATGATAAACATTGTCCTCTTAGTCATCAGAAAATGCAAATAATTCTAAATTTCAGTTCACGTGAGATGTAAACCAAGTTAAACTGTTTTATCATGTTTTTAGTCCAAGTAAGTTAGGATGATATCTTACCTGATTAATACTTGTCCTATTCTCCTCTTCCGTCCAAGGTCTCCATAGTCCTTTATTACTGCTGGAAAAATAAGCAACATTTTAAAGACTTACACTAAGATTAGATTTATGCAAAGCTTTAGTGTTGAGTTGTGTTCTTTGTAAAGCCTTATCTTTATCAACTAGAATTTCAAACTAGCGTTCATAAACTGAGTTGCAAAAACTTTTTTCTATGATAACACTTTTTGCTACTTTTTATCCACCATGTCTTCATCCAAGAAAAAAGAATAGCAAGCAACAAGCAGAGTAACAGGAATATAAGAGTAACAATTCATGTCTAGATGTATTTCCCTGCAAAAGGGAATTCGAATGTTAAATCAAGACAAAATTTGAAAAATTGTTATGCTGAATTACATACTGGTTTCTCGAAATTCTTCTAGTGTACTGTCTGTAGTGGCCATGCTGCCTATATTGTGTTTGATATGAGCGTTTGTAGCACTGTTTTTCCATGCACCCGAGACAGAAGCAGCCCTATAGTAAAACAAATGTGTTATGATAATCATAATAATCGTTATCTTTGAATAATAAACTATGAGTAATGAAGCTGAAAAGTTTATATTGTACCATATATAAGATAATGGTTCCGAATGTAGTTTACAATGCTGAAAAAAGGTCGAAGAATGGATGTTAGAAATTATTACTTTAATGAAAAAGGAAATACCACCTTTCCTAAAAAGTTATTATTGTTAAAATTTCAACTTTTAATCACATTTTTCAATAATCTACGACACAAATATTAATTAATCAGGCTATGACTAAGATTAAAGAAAAAACTTACCTTGGAAAACTGATATAGATCCATTTTTCTACTTTAACGGCGACAAAAACTAAACAACAGCACCAATAAGAAGTACTTTCGTCTTCAATACCTGCGGATTGTAATGTGCAGTAACTCGACAAGATGTTTTTTTAGCAACCAGTCAAAATTCTCCGACCTATTTCTAAGTTTTGATCTTTCTACTAGTCCTCTGAAGCAACTTGGCCGTTTATATAGGAGGTGTTCTTTGTTCACAGTCTTAACAGCTCGTACACAATACATGTTGAGAAATTATGAAAATTAAGGTGTGAAAACTGAATAAGCAAATTGTATTTGGAAGCAATACCTGTTATTGAAGGTGCGAAAACTGGCGCCAGGATTTCGAAATGCACTCTCGGCGTATCACGAACTGATTTAAGGTGAAGTTGTTAGGACGTTGAACAACATTGATGGCAATTCTCAGACTCGTTTGAAAACTTTATTTTCACATTAGAATATAGAAATGCTTTTTCATCTTTAGAAATGACACGAAATGCAAAAGAGAACTGCTAAAACCGCCGTCGCGTGACTTAACGGTGTTTCGCGGAAGGTCGTTAAGACCATCCATGTGAACGAGTTCATTAGGCAAGGAATACGCGCGGTTCTGCACGCAGACCCGAAAAAGGGGTTTTAAATCCAATCTCAAAGCTCTGATGTATGTATATCCCTTAGTGATGTATTTGCAGAGATACTTTTGACTTTTTCATCGTTATACTGCTTTAACAATAATCGCGTGACTATACGAGATGAAATAAGGTAGTTACCAAATGGTATTCACTTGCCACCTTGCATTTCCTCCGCCATGGCTCCACACACTATTCATGCCATTTGAATATGCCATATAATTAAAGCATGGCATTTATTTACTCTCCCTGCATCATTTTTGCCAAGCATCATTTTTGGAATAGACTTTGAGATAGTTCTGAATGCCCACAGGGTTGTTATGAAGATTCATGCCCCTGTGGTATCGTTTTTGTACTTTAGTTTGTATTAGTGTATTGTTAATTTTAAGAACATAAGAAAATGGTAGCCATCAAGCTAAGAATCCAGACTCTAAGCCGTGAAAAATTACTGAAATATCTCAAATCATCTATTCATCTAGGAAAATTCAATCCTTTACCTCGAATTTAATCAATCCTATACCTAAGACACGAATTTACAATCTAATGAAATAAATTTTATCAGTCAAAAGATAAGACTAATTATACAAGTAGCTGAAACTCTTCACATTTATCTCCTGCTACAGTTATTTTGGTGCAAAAATAGAAATCTCCAAAAAAGTCCTTTATTTCACTTTTTCAAGAACCATAAAATTTTGGCTTCAGGCTGGCAGTTAAAAATTTGTTCAAAGCTTTGAGGTGAAGTTTTTCCAACCTTTTTCGGTTCTTAGAAAAATCAACACCCTTGATATCTTCCTGGATTGCGTTCTAGCCCTATGAGCTATCTGAATAGGCTACAATATACTCGTCTAAACAAGTCCCTTACTGCACGTCATTAGTGGAAGCTAAGCATTGGTTTATTTAACAAACGTACATGTAAGCCTCGGCTTGTTTTTAGTTTCTTTTCTCATCTTAGTTAGATTTTGAAGCTCATTTTATAGTATAATTTTTTTGACGAAAAAGAGTATGTTCTTATAAATTGGTTTGTCTGCAAATCTGATGAAGTGCCTGAAAAACATAATAAAAGCCTAAATCAATATGGTTTGATATTTACTTGAATTCAAATCTTATTTTTTCTAAATCTGCATCTAAAAATATTCATTCCAGCAAAAAGTAAAACAATTTATCGCCAATTTCAGTTATTTAAATTTGTCTCGTTACTTTTGAACCTAAGCCTTTGTCGCTATATATCAACATCTCTTATTCCTTTTGATATCAAAGCACTTTTAAAAGAATTGATTGCTGCCTGGTCCGATTACGTCCGTAAAGTTTTGCAATAGGCCAGAAATTTGCATCCTCTTGGTGAATGCCGAGGTGTTTGAGATATTGATATGTTATGAATATAAACTGCAATCCGTTTTGTTTGCTTTTCAAAACACCAAAGGATTATAATACAGAGGGTCGTGAAAGTATCGCCTTGTTTCAATGAAAGGTGTTATGTATTGCAAAACTGTTCTACTCCTTCACCCGAAAGGATACTGCCGTTGCACAGGGATGGAATCACAAACAGTGGCGGCGTTAGCCACTAAGGTGGGGGGGGGGATAATGAAAATCTTGTAGGCCACAACCTTTTTATCCATTGATTTTTTAAGTATGACGTCACGTCATTAGAAAATATACCTTTTAAATTTTTTAACTTTGACGACATAACCAAAAAGAACAAGACAAAATACTTCTAAATATTCAAAACCAGTAAAAATATGTCAAAAATGGGTGAGGTACGGCCAATGAAAGAACTGAAGTTTGCTAACGGATTGGTGGGAAGAAAGCATGCGCCCATGTGGTCATTTCTCAGCAATATCGTCAATAAAAATTACCGAGAAAAGGGTAAAAATCTGCCACAATCCAAGGAACTAGGATTTAAAAAAGAAATATTTTTTACATATATACACAGGAGGTATTTGCCAGTTATCAAACATGATTATATATGCAATTTTGAGCAATGGGCATGAAAGTGTCAAGTTACGTTTTATTTGGCTGTTGTTACACTTGCTTCTAAGGCTCTTAAATTCACAAATTAGACAGAAATTTTCAAATCTTATTTCATTTCTTTGTTCAAGTAAGGGCTGTCCTTAGAAAGAGGAAAAGATTCAAGTGTAGAAAAGGGATTTGGACTGTATTTCTTCATAGGTATGCTGAAACTCTGTACTTATAATTTAGTTCTCAAATGATTTTAAACTATCAGTTATTCTCCATAAACGGTTGACTTTTACAGATCGAAGGACGGCGGGATATCAGTGATAGAAGTCTAAATTTTAAGCTGATTGTCAGGGAAAGGGGTAATTTTCTTACGTTAATTTCATACGTTCCATAGAGGGTAAAGAGCGTACCCAAAGGGGGAATAGGGGTGTCCAGACCTCTCATTTTCTAAAATATGGTCCTCGACTTTCGTCCAAAAACAATGTAAAACGCATGGGGGTACTATACTGTATGCTCGTGTCAATAACAATTTTAAGATACTTTGCTATTTACCGTAGCTAGCATGAATGAAATAATGGGGAAAATTTTACAAAAAGAGCTTTTCCCGCATTTGCGACTGTTTGAAGGGCGTGGCCAATAAAAAATGAATGTTTGAAGGGCGTGGTCCCCAGGCCTTTACTGCTGCAGCCCTGGGTACGCCACTGGGTAAAGACATGTTGTCCCAGCTGACCAAGGGGTGTTCCTTTCTGTGCTGTTCCGGAAGCTCCAGAGTCACAAATCATGGTAGATGACCCCATCATCCCTGGGGAGGGAATTTTGGGAGGTATCCATGGGCTGCCACAACGGGTTCGTCCAGCACGACTGTGGCAAAATATTAATCTCCTTTACGGTTTGGAGAAGTAGTTACTCACAAAAGTTTAGAGGGGGATGATGTAACGCGCAACGGGTCACGTGATATTAAATTTGTTTTCTGAAATGATCAGTATTTTTTGTGCCCAAATAAAGCGAAGTCTATTTATCTTTCTATCTCCTTGCCGAACCCAAACGCAACCGTTACAATTCCATGGACAAGCATAGGTGCACCACCGAGCTGGTTTTTTATATTCAGAGGTATTCCATGATGCTGTCTCAGACTATGGGATCCAAATTTATAAACCTGAAACGCCCCTTCCTTACTTTGCACGATATCCTCGGATAATCTAAGTTATTTTACTTTCATTTTTATGGTTCCATTTTAATGCCCAAATCGAGTTTCTGAAAACTGTTAAGATTTGCTTTGAAACTGCATAATCATAAGGCATGAGATGACTCAATCGATAAACGGAGGCAAGAACAAGGTTAAGTTTTGGAAAACTTCTAGATGCTACGCCCTCGACCTCGCCCAACAATTTGGGATTGTGATAGCAATTTGCCTGATCTGTGGCGTATGTGACGGAATTCTTGACTCAGCTGCAACAAGGAAGTGAGTATAGAGCAAAATTTACGCTATCATATTTCAGGAGCAACTTACAACTAGAGGGGTGTCATTTTTTTAGTTTCTAGATGCACCGTGAGATAAAAACTAATGCAATTTTAATCACGGAATTAGTCGAACATGTGATCTCGAATGAAAATTACTTTAGGAGATTTAACAATGTGATTTTACACAAACTGGTGGAACAAATGAAACGATGTAAATAAAAACTAGAGTTTTCTTTCAAGTTACTTCCTCTTCATATCCAATCAAAACTGTCTGGATAGAGCTATGACGCAATGTAAAGACCTTTAAAGAAAACTTTGAAATGTCACTTCATTCTGGAAGGTGCGCAGTCGTTTCTAGTTCCTGCCTTTACTCGCACGGAAGATTCAAAGCACTGATTCAACGCCAGTGTCGTAGCAGAAATGTGCCCACCACTGGAATTGCCTCTTCAGCAACTGTCGAAGATAAATATAATTGTATTGCTTGCACTGGATGTTGTTCCGGGGATTTTAACAGTTTTTGGGAACTTGATCTTTTTAGCAACACTTATAAAGACTAGATCTCTACACAGGCCATCAAATGTTATACTTGGAGGACTATGCGTGAGTGATTTGCTCGTTGGATTTGTAGTCAGGCCACTTTATCTTGTTTTTCTATATATGATCCTGCAAGGAAATTACAGCGGCCTTGTTAAAGAGCTTTTTTCGAAGACATTCTTTTTCTGTGGAGGGCTGTCGTTTTGCTTTGTTGCACAAGTAAGTGTTGATAGATATGTAGCCATTAGTCAACCATACTTCTACACAAGAAGTGCCACATGCAAGAAACATGTCTACATAACTGTGTTCCATGGTTGTTTTTGGTTACTATTCTCTTCATTCAACGTATATGGCCCGACAAAAAGTAGTTCGGTATACAAGGCAGCCATTATGGGCTACCTTGTGATTTGCATCATAACTATGCTGATCGTTTACTCTAGAATTTACTGCATCGTTGCCAGCAAAAGGAAAACTGTTGCAGCTTTGGAGCTTGTCAATGGAGATACTAGAACCAGGGCAATAAGAGAGAGAAGAGAGCGGTCAAAATCTCGATTGTTTGCAATGATATTGGGTTTCTTCTTTTTATCATACACCCCATACCTCATACTACTGACGTTTTTTGCTGTAAGTGGAAATTCTTGCTGGGATAACGAATTCAATTTTATTTCCAACCAGTGGATAAATTTTATCTTGTTGTGGAATAGTTGCATAAATCCAGTTATTTACTGTGTTAAGAGTTCTGAGATAAGAAGATGTGCGAAGGTGCTCATGCAAGGTTTTACCATGAATTGCAAAGTTCAGTGAGAAAGAGCTGCCTGTGCAAAGATAACCTATTATTATATTATCAGTAGTGTAAACTCAATATCGGACAACCAATAATTGGTCATCCAAAGCATATGGTAATGTTTGCGCAGTTTAGCTTAGTAATTATTAGAATAAAAACGTATAATACAGAAAAAAGTAAATTCACAAAAGATCTTTCACTTGCGGTTTGTTTGAAGTAATTTTAATTTGTACCGTTAAAAATATTTTTTGTTTTCATGATAGCCACCTCTTGCTAGCTCAACATGGTAACATAAGAAATTGAATACATTTACAAAGTTATCTAAAATATTTTCCTTCGTAAAACCTTTTGAAAGATCAGTAGGCTCTATTAAAAACTTGCAATCATTTTGGAACTTATCTGCATTCAATTAATCTTGTCTTCGTTTTTATTTTCAACCTACTTCATATTAGATATCATATTCGTACTTTGATTAAATGAAGATAAAATGAATAAATATTCTTATTAACTTTATCTGCATTATTTTATTTCTGACATGGGAATAATTATGATTGTAAATGCATCCGATAAGAATGTTTGAAAATCTATATTTCTATCAATTGGCACTCGTACGAGTCGGGCCCAGCTTGAACGATATTCTTTTTGTCAAACGCACTAGTATTTCATTTCGCAAATTACAGCGAATACCAGTTACTTACCAACTGTCTCAACATCAGTAACTACAATTGTGGCTAAGCTCTTTAGAATTTTGGACGTGGCGGGTGCAAATCGTTTAAAGGGGCTGAGAATGGATCTTACCCGAATATAGTTGCTTGTTTGAGATAGAATGCCATAATGTAGCCGGAAATGTGACTAATTCGGCCTGATTATGGGGGTTGCAGCCCTCCTTACCCCTATGTTTGTTGAGACCGCAATCCAGATTTTTATCAGCTCTTATTTCAAATGATCCCGTCTTAAAATGAGACACGTCTCTTCTTGATAAGCTAAAAATTTTGCCGACTTTATTCGTTTACAGCTTTCATCGAGTCTCTCTAAAAAACTACGCTACACGATATGTTCTACATGAGTATCTACAGGGGAAAATATTATGAAAATTATCGTAGTCTTTTCGTAATAGGGTTAATGTAAAGCATTTAATGTTGTTGGAAAAATAGAAGAATGTTATATGAGTTAATCATGCAATGCACATGCAGGGGCAGATTTAAGCAACAATGATTGGAGGGGTGTTAGACGCTTATTTTGGTGCCCCACCGTTCAGGTCACTAGTAAATGTTGGAAACGCCCATCTTTAAAATTTGTTTCTCAACTTTAAGATAAAGATGATAAAAAGCAGTGGCGTAGCCTGGGTTGGAAGATTGATGGGGCAAAGAGGAGAAAATTTTTGCTGACCAGACCCCTATAAGTTTAGGAAAACAACCATATTGGAAAGGCGTTTGGAAAAGCTATGGCATTTTTACGTCGCAATTACCCTTTATACAATGTCATGTGTAGCGTTTTGTGACTGACCAGATTCTACAACCGTCTATTTCCTTCACCATTCCACTAACGTTTATATCCTCAATTGTTTAAGGCGAGGAAGAGCTACGTGTAAAAAGTGATTTTCGTGTAAAAAGATAAGTTTTTATCAAGTATCTAAAAATAGTAAACAGGATTCGAAAGTTTTAAAAAAAGTCCGTTCTCCTTGGAGTAAAATCCACGAGAAGCACTTCAGAATCCAGATTTTATGGATTGGATTGCTTAAGCATTTTAGTTTCTATTTTATTGGGAATGTCTCAAGAGCGTGAAGGACTTTTCTTTATAAATCCCAAAATGAGGGGGAAATATTGAACATCGTGTAGAGATACAGAGGGGGTCTCCTGCGAGGAAAGCGAGCAGAAAATTTTTGCGACGACGCTCTTGAAATTAGCTTAAAATACACGTCAGAAAATTGCTCCCCCACCCCCGCTACGCTACTGACAAGAAGATAAATGCTCATAAGAAAAAATTAAGTAAAATCTTGGCGCTATTTTGTTACTTCTGACTACCAACAAATGATTTTTACCGAATGAAACAATGTTTACCGAAAGACACAGAAATATTTGGGGGGAGGTGTCGCACCCCCTATACCCCCCCGCTAAATCAGTCCCTGTTTTGCACATGTACCCGGCACAAGGTAAAACGTCTGATAAAATACGCTTGTTTTGCCAACTAACTTTCTGCCTAATTTTGTGTAATAAAGAAATTCTTTAAACGAAGAGAGCTGTTCAGACTTGATGTCTGCGTGCACTTGAGCTGAAAGAAAATCAGATACACTAGATAAAGATAAAATTAACTTCAGGTGATGAAAGGAGCGAAGATAAACTTGTGTTTTCCCAATAACAACTAGGAGTTGGAGAAATCAAACACCCATTTGTTCCCCATTCAAAATGGTTGTAACTGGACCAAATTATCTATCTGTAGTGGATATTGGCTTTTACATATTACGTAATCAAAGATGGGGGGAGGGGATTCATACCAACATTAACGGACTATGTGGCCCATTGTTGAACAAATTATTGTTAAAGTTAAACGATATTTTAGGGCAAAGAGTTTTTATTCAAAAAATTATTCAAATTTTTGTTTTATGGAAGTTAGTATAAACATAAATGGCTACAGGGGGGATCCAGAGCAAATTTGAAGAAGGGGCAGTTGGTAGTGGGGGCGCTAAAAAATTTGCAAAAATTTGTGACGAGAGTTCGCTGTATACAACAATTTCAGATCCATTTTCGAAATAAACAACATAACTTTGAGTTAATCCTTGAAGAAAATTAACCTATCGGTCTCAGAAACTTTTTCACCTGATTCTCATTCTTCAAAAGGGGCGCACAAATTCCAAAAAAGGGGCACCAGACTTGCTTCAACTCGTGAGGGAGGGGCAAATGACCCTAGTTGCCCCCCTTGAATTCGCAACTAATGGCTAGCTAAGTACTTCCAATAATAAAAATGAATCTTCAGAATATTTGATAAACATTGCATAAGCATTCTGCTGATAAACATTGCATAAGCATTCGAATTAAGAGAAGTTAGTTCAAACAAAGATATAAGATATAAAGTAAGCAAGTAAGATATAAATTGTGTTGAAAAAGGAAAAAATTTGATGATCCGATGTTAGAATAGACAAAAAGTTAGACAAACCATTCGAATTACAAAAATTTAGAATAAAAAATGATTGTTGGCTAGATATTTAGCTCGAATCAGAAAAAGAAATTTTAACTAGATAGAAATATTTGACTACATATATTTATTTCTCTAAAGTTGGAAAACAATTGGAATAACAAAAAGTTACAGCAACAAAAACTGTCAAATTCAATTTATTCTTCCGTACAATTTCTGAACTTGGTCTTATTCAGGGAGTAGAACTTTCAACAGTGAGAAAATCTTCACAAACCAAACTGCCAGACTATTAATCGATTCCTGATTTAACGATTAATAAACCATTCTACCAGCAGGGACATTTTTGACGTACTGACTTGACTGACATTTCTCAAGTGGGCACCTGTTATTGCCCCAGAAGTTAAAAAATTTGTAGTTTTACCCCATTGGTTTAGGTCAAATGGGACCCTTTCTCGTGATGCAGTTTTGCAACATCTTTTTCAATGACCTGATTTGGTCAGTGATAAGCAATTTACTTTAGTCTTGTGGTAGACCGTTAGATTGGGGGCTATTTTTTTCTATTAGTGGATAAATTCTTAATAAATGCCTTGTTTACCAGCAAGCTGTTGATATTTTTGAATGTGTATAAAATTGCTTCGGGGGCTATAGATTTTGTCAATGATTCTTTGTCTAAAGGTAAAACATATGGAAAAAATCATGGAATGCATTAAGCAGCATAGTAATTGATTTCGTACAAATAATTAAATCTCGTTTGTCTTCAAATGGGAGATTTTACAGGAGGAGTGCAATTGGTATCGGCAATTGGTATTTCAAAATCCGGCAAATATTTGTGCTGCTTATTTGCTTGTATTTGAAGAATCAGTGGCGAGATAAATTATATTGACATCGGTTTATTGCGAGAAGACGTTTTTAAGGATGCAGCTACCTTAAATCCATTTTTTCGATATTTTGTTTGCTTTCATGGATTGCAATCTGATTGCAAGGTACACTATAGTTTACGCGCTGTGTGATTTTTCTATATAGTTTGGAAAAATCTAATAATCCCTCGAAGAGAAACAGAAGACGTCACAAAATCATTCTCCTGGCATTTCTATTTCAAAGAATTTCCGCATCTATGTCTTTGTCAACAAAATATTTGTTACCAATTTCCGCCTGCAATTATCTGCAACGCTACTCTTTGAGCAAATCAAAACCAATTCTGGAAAAGCAAAAGCATAATTCGAGGTTGCCTTTTACGACATTTTTTAACCCGTAGGATACACCAACGAATTGCTGCTGGAGACATTACAAAAGACAACAGAAAATGATGATAACAATTATGAATGTCAAGATACAAGATGAATTAAGAAACATGTGATTTGAAACGACACATTTTTTTCAAGTTGCAAAAAAATCACGTTGATTGATAAACGGATAATTTCGATTTTACCGAGGCGTTACAAAAAACAGTCGTAACACCACTGAACTTGTTGCATTTGTAACAAAAGAGAATATCGTAATGCCTCGAACAAGCGAGGCCTCCCCCCTCAAAAAGAAGCCCCCTCGAATAAGCGCCCACCCTAGAGATGAAGTTATTGAATAATCGCCCCCTCGAATAAGCGCCTATCCTTCGAGGCATTACGGTATGCGCATTTTTATCAAGGATGCGTAAAAGTTTCTAAAATCATGACAAAAACTTTTTTAAAATATATTAAGGAACAAAGCAATACGACGACGAGAATCCAATGTCACGAGATACAATTTTCAAAATAAATTAAATTTAAGGAATATATTAATATTTCGCCCCGGCATACAGGGCTTCATCAGAGTAAATGAAACGAACGAGTGAATGAATTTGAAATGTGAGATAGTGATGCCGGATTGGTGGATGTTGAATAGTATGAATACAGCGCAGTGAGTGGAGAAAAAATGGGCTGATGGAAGTGGGGGAGGGAAGGGTGGTGGGTGATTTCCATTATTCTCAATTCCATCACAATTATTATTATTATTATTTTTATTTTTTTATATTCATATTCATAGTCATCATTATCATCCCATTCCATCAATCTCCACAGCACCACCCACATCAACTTACATCACTCACCACCCGTGATCGGAGAAAGCAAACCCTCGTCATGCTCGAATTGCAATTACTATGTAAAAAGAAAAACTTAGAAATTTCATAGAGCCCCCCGTGGTAAAATTATACGACTACATCCTTGCTAGAAATGTATGCAAAACTTTTGTCGGTCCTTTTTTTCTTGAAAATGTTTACGGAGGTTGATAGTCTAATCTCAGGATCGATCCCTTCCCACTCAAATAAGCAGTTGGGATAGAAACTTGATTTAAAACCATTTTTCCTTGCAAATATTTGCCGTAATTGGATCCTTGAAGAATAGGAAGCTGAACGAACAAATCTTAAAGTAAAAGACAGCCTGGAAACTCTTAAAGGCTCTCACAAGGGAAGAATTTGTGTTGCTAGAGAAAGCCACTAAACTAAAGACAAGTTGGAAAAAGTTACGAGGAAGCGCAAACCCTAGCCCTGTGCGACATGTCTCCGTATCTATAAGTTATATATAGATAAGGATTACAGTTATATATTGATCTGGGTTATATTTGATACAGTCGGATATATATTGCATTTATTAAGAAAACATTGGCTCAATACACTAGCAATCGAGATGTCGGAAGGAAGTACATTTACGTTCACAAAGTATTGAGACACCTTCGATAAAAGAATTATGGCGTTTGGTTGGATTGCAATGGAAACCTGTTAATTTTTCAGATATGAGCAGTCTTTTCCCAAAATATACTAGGCCTGTTTATCCCCAAAATGTGACTAGAAGTTGAAAAAACACTTCAACTTTTGAATCATAACTATAAAAGCATTGGATTCTTACAATTCTCTTGTATATAACAGTAAAATTTGCAAAAGAGGCCTTTACACAGCAAATTCACACAACCGTGGCAGTTTTTTAGAGATGCCCAAATGAATTAATTTTCTCAGATTAACATGACTATTGCGTTTCAAATAAAGTTTACTGAAAATGCTACAATTTCATAGAATTATTGAATTTACTCAAGCTGCTTTTAAAACTGCACAACACCAAAGGTATTTACGACGATTAATTTTTGCTTTGAGATAGCATTTTCTTCTTATAAAGCAAGAAAATTTGTATTTCTTATAATTTTTATAGCGATGTTTTTGCTTATGTTCCTAGATTTAGCTTCTTTTTGCACAGCAAAATAATTTCTGGTAAGGATTCAAACATATTACATTGCACTTCCCTCAGAAAGGACCTTCAATCTCTCGGTGTCGTAAACTTGTTCGGTCTGCCAACCTTTGGTAAATCTTTTACTCTTCTTGTACGGAAAAACTTTTAACACACCACAAAAGCAGCCAATAGTTGATGCAATTTCACGGAATCCAACCGCGTTATTTTCGCAGAAAGCAATTTGCAAGCGTTTCTCGCAACTCAGATCTTGATTTTTAAGAATTCCCATGTTTAAGTTTCAAAGCCTATAGAAATTTTATGACTGATGCTTTTGAATTGTTTGGCGTGCAAAAAAGGCTTTAAAACATCAACAATGTCTTGAAAAAGATTCATGAAAATAGCTGTTATACTTTTAAAAACTTTTTCCAAATTCGTTGCCTAAAATGTCTTCGAAATTTCGAAGCTTGTCTCAATTCTTTTTTAACGTAATTGCATATAGCTTTCATGTCGGAGTCATATACAAGAATGCATCTTCATAAACAGCCAGAGAGCGGCGACAGAGAAATTTGTGGGTATTTCATGAATGCATTTTAGATATTTCTTTTAAGTCAGAACGAGTTGTTGATCGATTGGAAGCAAATGCTCATAAGGGGTGTTTCTGCTTATCAAAAATGAAAACAGCAGGGGAGCAGAAACCTCTGAAAGAGGGTTAGCTGGGATTTCATCGTCAGGAAAAAGATTTCATTACGGCTTATCCTAAGCAAAGACGAATCTTTAAACTTTGATACAAGCTGCAAAGACCCTTAAAATTTCACAAACGGAAAATGATTTTGTTGCGAACGGATTAGTTGTAAACGGAAAGAAGTTTTGTTGCAAACAGAATATAGGTTTGTTGCAAATTGAGATAACCGGATAGGAATTTGTTGCTGAAAGAATAAAAATTAGGAAATAAGCTTTGTTGTAAACAGAAAACTGGAAAATACTTTGCTGGAAATGGAAAAAGATTTTGTTGCAAACAGAAAAAGGTTTGCAAACGGAAAAGAGTGTGGGCAAACAGAAAATTGTTTTAATGCAAACGGAACATGGTTTTGTTCCAAACAGTTTGCAAACGTTTGAAAATGTTTTTGTTGCAAACGAAACATGGTTTTTTTGCAAACGGAACATGGCTTTATTGCAAAGGGAATATTGTTTTTCTTGCAAACGAAAAATGATTTTGATACAAACAAAAATTATTTTCGTTTTTCCTTGCTCGTTTTGAATTTCCTGCAATATTTCTTATGAATATGAAAAAAGATTACAAAAGTTTCGTTTCAGTATGAAAAAGTAGCTAATTTTAAACAAACTCTCGTTAAAAAGCATCGTTTGGGCTCAACAATATATATTCGATCATGATATCACTGCAAAATTATAAACCTGAAAACCTATAGCTTTACTGCCGTTTAACATTGGCAATTGTCGATTAAACCCTAAAACAAACATCTCTAGCTTTGTTGCAAAACAAAAATGCAGACTGTTTCAGGAAAGTTTCTTTTTCGCGTTAGAATACACGGGCAAAGACAATGCAAAATCAAGCGCATAACAATTATTCCTATCGCATTGGTTATGAAACATCAAGTACTTATCTCAAAATACAATATTTACAAATGAAAGAAAAACAAAGTTTACACCTTCCCCCCTGACGCTGCTACTGTTTTAAGTGACATGAAATTGGTTAGTTTATTATCAAAATCTATCAGTCTGTCCTCGGGCTCCTTGTATCTTCGAGACATATTCTTACCTAAATACTGTATAAGCTCACAGTGTGCTTCAAATTTCTCAAGTTTCTTCTTGTACTTTGTCCTTGAGTATTCACATGCCTTTGGATTGTACGCTGAAAAGATTTCAATGTGGAGTGGGTGAGTACAGATTTTTAAATCTGCTTGCATTTAGTTGGAAAAGTTATGTATTTCTACATGACTACTATGCAACGTAGCAATGGAGTACAAAAACAATCTAAAACAGAAAACTTTCTACTCGAAAACCTATCCACAGCGATTTTAGAATTACATTTTTTCGGTACTCACAAAACCTTGATATATATAGAAATAATTAAAGGTATGAAATAATTGTATTATGACAAATTTCAGAAGCTGGGGCACAAATATTGGAAAAACATTTAAGCAATCAAATTTCGAATGAATTTTTATCTTTAGTTCTAATTATATTTGAGCATTTAATGTTTATAAATTCCTTAATTATTGAGTATTCATACGTATTGCAATGCTGTAAATTGTAAGGCTGTGCTTTGAAATTCTTCTTTCAAAGAATTTGTCTACACGGGATTGTACGATAAAACGATAGATGACATGCGCATGTGCTTGACAAAATACGCAGGCTCATTGGCCGAATGACAGGATAGCTCATTCATAAGAGGAATTCTGCGTGCTGCATATTTCAAAACATATATCTGACTATAAAAGATCTAATAAACCTTATTTTCAGAAAACTACAGACAGAGCAATATCAAATAAAACAAAAATGATATCAACAAATGCAAAGCAAATTACAGCAAAGGGCACGCAGGCCCTCCCGCAAATGAACATATTTGTACGAACCAGGATCAGAAAGAGACTCACCTTTCAGATGATATCCAACGTACAAAAGAGCCGACTGCTTGGCAGAAAGAAAGGGGAATTTTGGCTTAAGACATCCAACAGCGGTAGCAGCTTTTCTTACAGCCAATTCCAAAGTCTGTTCCATGTAACCAAGCATTGGAAGTGTAGATGCAGGAATTGGCTCGCGCTTCGGTGGGAGCTTGTTTGGCAGCCTCAGCTGTGAGTATTTCTCAGGGAGTCTGCGAAACAAGAAGCAGAAATTTGAGAACTCATTGATAGTACAAATGTTCAAGTTAATTAAAGGAAAAGTAAAGAAAATTTCGAAAGGAATACTATATTAATTAACTAGAAAATCGTTTATTCATAAAATATTTATTAAAAACATGCGATTGAAATAATTTGTAAAAATACAGCAATAAAGGCTACATGAGTGCCACCAATACGGAAATTTGAATTTGTCAATTTTATTTCACACTTTTGCTTAATCAAGTTTAACCACAGCTCTCATCAAATTATGAATTCGATTGTGAAATCTGAAAAGCACAGCGTATTCAGCTAGTACACTAGCCTGAGCTCCAGACTTGCGTTCCTTCATAGTCTACTTCTAGTCAGGAGTCCGGGACATTTGTACACCACGTAGTAGAAGGCAATCAGAGAACCTCCAGCAAACTGGCATCTGCATGATTTAAACATATTACAAAAGTCGACAAATTGGAGACTAGGAAAGGGTTTAGAACAAACCTCATGAATTTCTCTCGCTTTGATTCAGAAACAAATGCATACAGCTTTTCCTTGTATTTAGCAACAAGCTCATTATCACCAGGTACCAAAGCCTCATATCTGTAATATCAATCGTATTCTATAGCACATTGAAATGTCAATCTGCAAAACATAGGGTACAATGGAAAGTGCTTTTACCCTGAAAGTGGATACATGCTTTAGAGCAGGAAAGGTTTTGTTTGCTCATCAATTATCAGCAAAATGTCTAAGAAAGCTCGGGCGATGGTCTACTTGCCCCCATCTGTCCACCTGCCCCCGAACAACCCGGTCCCTGCTCGTCTTCTCCTGCCCCTCCTTAAGCTAGGCCTCTCATGAATGATCCACTACACATTTTATAGATGTCACTTTCTTGATTTGTGAATGGATTCAAAATTAGCAACGACTTTCGTTGTATCAAATTAAGACTTACGACTTTCGTCTAACAAACTATAAGAAGTATTAAATTCTTAAGCTACTATACTGATTTGTTAAAAATAAGCTAATAAGTAGTTTATTAGCCAAAGTTGCTATACAACTGTGCAATTTTTGAACATGAAAGTAGTGGCAAACTTTCTTTGCTAAGACAAATCACTTACATTTGGCAATTTTTAAAGAAAGAGAACTCACCGCAAGTCACCGTCCAGATACGTGACCGGACAAAAGCCATGCAACTCAATCTGCACTGGAAACATCTCCTTCAAATCAGAAGCTGCAAGCTTTTTAGGAAGAAGGTCATCAGACGGAAGCTTCTTTTCTACATGCGGAGGAGTATACCGCGAAGGATTTTCAAGGAAAATGCCTAGTTCCTTTTCACTGGCCAGCTTGTAGTAATGGCCGCGGAATTCGGCTGCAAACCTCTGCGTTTCATCAGAGGCACAGTCAACAAGTTCGCCTTTATCAACAAGGCTCACAGGGCAATAGTGACCAAAGATTCCAAGACGACTGTTCAGTTGCGAAGGGGTAATACAAAGGTCTGCAATGCATGCTGCCTTATCTAAAATTGAACAGAAGCCAATCAGTCAATCAACAAAGAGGAGGCGGGGGTCTGTTAGCCATACCTTATTGAGCAATGAGTGTTTACAACTTTTATGCAGATGTGCATCTCAGCCAGATTTGGACCTTTCTTGTAGGTTTTTGCCAATTTTTTCAAATGGGGCGCTATTTATTGAAATCCTTCAACAATGGCGTTATCTTACTTTATTCTCCATCTTTTCATGATAAGAAAATGCAAGTGTTGTGCAGAGGTGTCAGGGGTCCTCCAGGGGAAAGTACAACAAGATTTCATATCTCATAACCATTTAAAATAATGAAAATTAGCAATGAACCTAATGTTGAACCTACAACAGTAGATAGAGAATACCTTGTGAAGTCCTTTGCAGGTAGATTTGTATCTTTTTCACAATGGATTTTGCATCCGTCAATGCTGCATTCCAAACTTTCCATTTCGATTCTTCGCCATTGACTACTTTAAAATTCCTATGTTGGTCGCTATACCATGAGCGTACTGGTGGCACAGCGCTCAGGAAGGCGCTGAGCTTCACAGCTGTAATCATGTGACTGTCATGCAAAGGCAGGGTTCTAAAAAGAACAGACAAGTGAAGTAAGAAAGAAGAAATATAATCATTATGATGATAATGATGATAACTGTTGATCATTATTATCATTATAACTGATATTATTATTATGAACATGCGCTCTATATTGTGAGAACCCACTCTGTTTGAACACTGAAACACGATTTCCCCAGAATTCAAGAACATTGTAAGAACAGGACCAGCTCTAGCCTGCGTGCTGACATTACACACAGAGGAAATTCTTCTATATTTGTAAAGTCTGCACGAAGGCTAGACCAGCTTCTTCATAACGTTTCTTGTTGAGGCCACAGGACTGCAATGTATTCCGATCCTTGTACTATTTTAGTTTTATATGAAAAGATTATTGAAGAAAGAAAGCGATGCATTGTTGAAAATCTACTTTCACTCGTATTTGAGCAAAACAGAGCAGGTTTAAGGAATTAATCAACCATGCCACCAAAAAATAATGCAAAACTAGTATCTAGTGACCTTAGAAACAGTTTATACCTTATAGTTTTAAAAAAGCAAATTTTGAAACAAGAACAGCTAACCACTAGAGCTTCAAATTATCAAAAAAAGAATATTGACCCCGGCAGAAATATGCTTTTAAAAAATAATTGCAATAATGACTAACGGTTATGACTACAGTGAGGATGGCTATTATTATAAACATTATAGTGTTGTTGGTGCTTAAATAAAATGAACAACCTTTTTCTTTCTTTTGTTAGTAATTCATTATAACTTATATACAAGTTGATCATCTTCATACCTGCTTGGGGATGATCGTTCTTCATCGGCCCTCAGAAAGACAGACCTGCTGTCTATAACTATTTCCACAACTTTGTAAGGAATAATGTTTCTCTCAGTGAGAAACTGAATTTGTGTGTCAGTGACAGGATAACCATCGAGGATATACCTAAGGAAAGTATTTAGTTGGTTACATCAAGTTTGCATGTGACGTCAATTATATTTTCACGAAGACTTGTCCTTAACTTGAAGTTATTGAACCACTGGTGAAACTACGATAATTCATTATGTCGTTAGCTCGGTACTAACAGAACATAGAAGTTGCAAGTTCAAGCGTTGTCGATGATCACAAGTTTAAAAGTTAAAACTCAAGCTGTGTATTACAAATCTCAATCATCCAATCATAGGTTGGCCCTGTGGCAGCAGCGAATTTATCACTGATTTCTCAGCAATACTTGATGGGTTTCTAATAAGCATTTTATCATTTACTTTGTAAGAGAAAGGTAAAACATAAAATGACAAGCAGACTTCAGGCTTCAGACTAACAAATACCGTTTTGGAGAAAACACTAATAATGCACATGTAGACAAGGTAGTCTATATAATGCTTTCGGGGCTCTGTCAGTTTTTTTTATTTAACATTCAAAAAAACGGCCTTCTCCGTAAAAATAAATCCATGCCAAGATCAAGCCAATTACTCAGTTAAAAGTCTTCCATTTAGCTGTTTTCTAAGGGGAGGGGGGGAAGTGATCAAATTACTTCATCAAGCCTAATTGCATATCAATAACCTGCAGCACATCCCTTGCTCAAATACCCAGTTTTTCCCCTTCCCTGCGATTAAGCATCTGGATGTACAAATTAAACTAAACCTAAGCGCATACCCTCTCGTCTGACACTGCATGGTCAATATTGAAACATCAACAGCTTGGATCACAAGTTCATCTGGTACGGTTTCTCCGCATTTCAAATAGTCCAGTATTTTTTGAGCCAGGGCAGTTTTGCTTTGATTCCCTGTGACGTTTCGCAGAGCTTCTCCCGCAGACAGACGCATTACTCCGTATTCTTTCACAAAGCGGTTGCTCACTTAAACAAAAAAAGACCATTCGTTTCGAGATATACACACGATAGTTTAAGAGGAACCAATATCTATCTGAAAGGTATGAGGTATGCGATAGCAAGAAGCAAAATATAAATGACGTCATTGGCAAATTAATAAATCCCAGGGGGGTTCTCAAATAGATTTAAGATAAGGGAGCTCAGTTTGTGGTTCTTGCCCTGTATAAGAAAATTTGCAATTTTTCTCTATTCTTCTAAACTTTCTTATATTCAAGACCTAAAAAAATAACTCAGAACTTCATGAACCCACAAAAGTAATTGTATAATTGACTGAATACTCATACCCAAAAAATAATTGACTGACCTGTAATTCTAGGCCAAAAAAATAGCCCCAGCATCCCTATCCGAAAAATATTTTTTGGAGAAAAAAGAGGCACATGGAAACATTTTACATGCTACATTGGAAAGATAGAATAATAGAACTTAGATAGTCTAACTTAAAAGCCCTCAATTCACCTCCCTTTTTGCATCCCGATTCTCGGTGGAACGGGCTCTGCTGTCCTAAACAAAATCACCTTTGACAAGAGCAAGCCCTGACAAGGCGAATAAGCCGCTGCTCTTAAATTTTGTATCTCATTTTAGAACGGTTTTTAGCCACTTTTTCTCGGCCACCTTTCGGGTTTTGTATGTCATTTACGGAGGCAAAGTCGCAAATTGATCTTAGAAATTTAAGAAATTCTATTGATAGTGGTAATTTCGCTACAAAGAGCAATTTCGCTGCGAAGGAGCATCAAATTGTGCCTACATGTGAAGAAACAAAAGAATCAACAGCAACAAAGGAGCAGACGTAAAATTTTGTGTTATACTTAGGTCGCTAGCCCTTACTTTTTTACAAAAAGTCCATGTACATTTAATACACATGCTAAAACAGATGAAAAATTACTTGAATAGATAGTAAAAATATACACACGGGTTGTTTTTCCAGATTTCGGGGGTCCAACTATCGCCAAGCGAATCGGTATAATCGGCTTTGGAGCAGGCTGGTGGATATATTTAAATGGGCAAAACATGAACTTTTCCCTGTTCTCCTCAGAGCTGAAGAAATAAACGTGCTGGCGATAAACGGCTGGATACAGTGGAGATGCATTTTCAAACGGCGGCAGAACGCTACTCTCTGATAGCTGAAACAGAGAAAAGAGACTCTCATAAAATAAGCTGAATCAAAGAAAAGAGACTCTCATAAAGGGATGCAGATAATAACCAGAGTCAGGAAAACATTACGGTCGCACGGCCACTGAACGGGAAAAGGTCCACAAAAAACAATAGAAGCTCATATAACACACCCAAGCCACACCCACTTTCTATTGTTTTGTGAGGAAGGTTTGCCTTCTGGGATGTTTTTGTCTGGAGAAAGGTTAACAACTTTTCTGGAATCTGATAATAACATTGCGAACAGGTATTAAAAATTCACAATTGAAACATCAGGTTACTTTAGATGAGGCAGACCTATTTTGATCGATTTCCGGGTTTTGTTGTTGAATGTTTTAAACAATTTAACTTGATAATTTTTCTTCAGATTGGACCAATTGTTAGGGCAAAATCTTGGTCGGTTAGAAAGTATTGATAAAAAAGGAGTCGAATAACTGTACTTGCATCACGGCTTGGAACAACGTAATTTAACAGTAATTTAACCGCACTTTTTGGTTGTTATTACAATAACTTCTTTCCTAAAATATTTATTGTTTGAGAAAGCTTGGCCTACCCTGTGCCGTACAGTCAATAGCCTGAACCCCAGACTCCAATTAGTCCAATACCAGACTCCAATACTCAGTGGCGGAAATTCAGGCTTTCATTTGGGGGGGGGAGGGGGCAAGCCTACGATTTTCCGACAGGTAAACATCTTCGATCATGTCTAATTTTAAAGAAGCTGCACATTTTGATAAAACATAGATGATTTTTTGACGGGAGCCTTTAGAAATCCTTGCTGACCACGCCATAATTAAGTAGCAGGAAGAACAATCCATTTATGATTTTTGATTTCAAGATCGATATCTCATCTAAGACAATTGATGATACAAGGGGTCGACCGATTACACTTTTGACAAGTCGTACGTTCATTTTATGCATTGTATCTTGTTTTCGTCAGTCGGAAATACATTTGAAAATAACTTTTACTCGGAAGAATCTGATGGAAATTTCGGCTAACCTTACCTGAATTGAAATTAAATATGCAATACCAAGCAGGTTTTTTATTTTGGTCATATATTGTTTGATTGATTATTTAGTATTGGCTAATATTTTATCAGCTATGTTATGTTCAGGTTTGGTAAAAAGGGCCCAGAGACGTTATAGAGGCCCCTGGGGTAAAAAGGGAAAATGCAGATCAGCTGCGAGCAGAAAATTTGGTAATTACGCCCCTTAGAGTAATTAGCTAAAGTTCCTTTTCAGAACAATTTCTTGGAGTAATTTTGACACGTTAAACAGTTGTCAATTATCCGGCAAAAGCCCAAATTTTTCGATGACATCGCTGATTGGGGAGGGGGGGGGGCGAGCCTTACAGGGTCTGAAAATGAGACTACTCTCTTCTTTTTTGTGAGGTTAGGGTGTAAACATCCATATCAGTTTTTAATGTTTGCACACGTTGAAATTGTGCATTGCGAAGTTGCTAAATAATGAAAAACAGTTACAACAAAGGTTGGTTTTTATTTAGCTTTTCTAAACCTTATATGCAGCCCCTACTGCCTACAAGTTATGAAACAGTATAAAACGCAGGCGTCAAAATTTCTAGGTGGAGGGCAACTGCCCACTTGCTCCACCGTCATACATGGCTATTATAAGCTGAAGCGAGAGCGAGGCCGGGACCATGGGCAACCAATGCGTGTAGACCCCTTGACGTTTGACAACGAATTGAAGCAATGAATGCATGCGTGGGTACAAAGGCTGTGATGACGACCACCAAAAAGATCAAATGATTAGTGGGCCCAAGAATGGGCCCGGCCATCATATAACAGAAACCTCTGATACCATATACACTCTTTTTTTTATAAGAACCAGTAAATTTCAGTTCAGGCTGACTGTTCTTAATTTTTTCGAAAAACTGAGACTGGATTGTTCTTAACTTGTTCTTAAATTAAGAGGGAGTAAGCAGTGCTATTGCTAGCTTTTTCGCTCCAAGGAGGTGTTCAGGCCTCATTTGCCAACAAAGTGAGTGAGACAGCCCTAATTTGCTGACAAATTTGAATATTCACCGAAAAAGCACCAACACATCGCTAAAAATCCTCGATTTTTAGAAAAAACGTTGTTCAAAATTGCATTTTGCAGAAGCTCAGCCTCAGCTTGTTCTTAATTTGTTCTTAACTTTTGACCAGTTGTGAGGCTCGTGTTCTTATAAAATTGTTCTTATAAAAAAAAGAGTGTAAAAAAACCACTGAAAGTTGACAGGAGCCCCTAGAGCCTTTGGAACAAACGGCAAGGGCCATACTGATGGGAAGTGAGAAATATGATAACTGAGCTGTGGGGGTGTGAGGAAATGAGGGTGTGGGGGAATGAGGATCTGGGGGAATGAGGGTCTTCGGGAATGAGGGTGTGGGGGAATAAGGGTGTTGGGGAATGAGGGTGTGGGGGAATGAGGGTGTGGGGGAATGAGGGTGTGGGGGAATGAGGGTATGGAGGAATGAGGGTGTGGAGGAATGATGATCTGGGGGAATGAGGGTCTTCGGGAATGAGGGTGTGGGGGAATAAGGGTTGGGGGAATGAAGGTGTTGGATGTATAGTGATAAAGGTTAGGTTGTAGATGAGTGGGATATCTTGCAGCAATAATGCCAAACGTCCTTAAAAAGCTACGACAAGAAAGAAAGTCCTTTGGCACAACGTGGCCTTCATTAACGTCTGAATAAAGGCAGTTATAAATGCTGGTTAAACGAACCTGAACCGGACACCATTTTCCAAACTTACTCATCTGTTTGTAGCCCTGTATGAGCATTTTCTTAGCAAGAAACGCAGAAATTGGTTGTGAATGATCGAAAAGACTTTCTCTGTTCTCCACGATTGGCCGTAGATTCCTCTCAACAACAAACTGGACAATGCGGGCCTTTTTTCCTCCTTCTATGTCGACTCTTGGTATCATAAACTCTTCAAATACTTCCTGCAAAAAAATGGCGAAATGACCGTCATTAGCGAAAAGATTCTTCGAAAAACTCACGCGGGCGGGGACGGGAGAGGGGAATAGCGAAAACTAATATTGTATGTAGACCTATTTATTGGCTAAACAGGAATTGTATTTTTAAAGACCTTTGGAAGCAGAAATAATGCTACGGTTATTAAATGACTAGGACCGACTGGGACAAAAGGGAAAATGGTATGGAACACTGATCTACGTAATCTACGAAATACAACAAACATGCTACGTACAAAAAACTGAACAGCCTCTAAACCGTAGTAGAGCAAGAATTTTTTGATTAGTTCCTTTCAGTGGCACATTTAGCCCAAATTTTATATTTAATTATCTATACATTCAATTCTAGATCTTTTATCCTTCGATGTAAATTGATTTTGCATCCTACTTTATCAGATTTTCTCAGAATAGTAATTGCTACCGGTTTGAAATTAAACATGAGTGAATCAAAGAAGCAAATCCTAAAAAAAGCGGTAAAAAGAGAAAGTGATAGCGATTTTGCTTCCAGGAAGGCTGATTACATCATACTTTGAAACGCTTTTGTTTGGATCACTTTTGTCAAAGAATCTCTATTCTGTGCTTTTGTTCATGAAGCACTTGATTTCCGTTTCCGTATCGAAAGTGAAAGAATTTGAGAGAAGTAAAATGACAGTGATTTGCTACGATCTGTCCTTTGTCCATCTTCTCGTGGTTCGATCAGACAAAATTCGTGGAAGAACAGCCGAACATCGGGTAAGCATCGATTTTGTACTGACTAGTAAGGAAATTTGAATTTTTCAATGTCTCATATTGGATAAAGAAGCTTCAGCGAAATGTATGGATAGAAGATGAGGTTGGAAATACATTAAATACGATCCCTTCCCTGCAGTGTTGAAGCAATGGCGAGATCCTGTATACATAAGTGAGGGGTAGTGTGGTAATTTGAGATATTTTGTCACGGGAAATGCCGAAATATAGATTTGGACGCTCCTGGTTAGCACAATACAGTAAAAACACAAGTGTAAGAACCTTCTTTTTTCAGAGTTTGGCAAAACAGGTTCTTGTACTACGGGGTACTTATTGACAGTTTAGGCTTTATAGTTCGTAATTAGGTTCTTAATTTCTATAGAGTATATATTGTTTTCGATTATCAGAATATAGCATTAAATCTATTCTGTTCTTCATTCTAATTGTCACCTTTTTTGATTTTGGTAAAAAAGTATATAAATTGAATGGTTAAACCCCATGTATAAGAACAAGTTGGAAAATTTTTGGCTAAGCAGGTTCTTATATTTTTTAGCATTTACGAAGCAAACTTCTGCCAGAAGGTTCGTAAATCCATAGTTTCTGACACGCGGATTTTTACTGTATCATTCCCGTCGTAAGATGAACAAAAAACTTTAAGAAATTTTCGTAGCAGTATTTACCTGTGATTATTATTTGACATTGGGGAAATGGTTTAATCAAGTCCTGTAGTATTCAAGGTTTTTTCAACGGTATTTCATTTTTAGTATTAACTTTCGTATCAATTTCTTTGTACCACACTTGTCACACGTTTCTTTGCACCAATCATGCTTCATGTTCCAGCAACTTATCAAAAAAGCATTATGATGATGATGTTTTATGATGTTTGCAATTTACTGTGCTCGTGAGATAAAAGGCTTTCACCAGGCCGTTCATAGAAAAAGGTAACTGTAGGCCATTCTATGGACAAATTGTGCCTGAACAGCATATCCCTGAGTCGACAAAATGGATGTGGTCAATTCAAAACGAATAGGCAACATAACCAGCCTTCGTTTTTGTTATTTCTCGGCACACATTTCAGTTTTTCTATTTCATCATCTTACCTGCAAGCATTTTTTCGAGTCCATAGAACAGGCCAATTACCGTTACATTTTTATCATGTGTACATATAGCTAAATTTTGACATGCTAGCAAAGGCAACAAAATTCATTCGACAAATTAACGGTCTTAGAATCATATTAGAAAAAGTTGTTTTACCAATCGTTATTGGTGTAAGCCAAACATTTAATGTTGGAAATTTTACTTGGAAATTTTCCCATGTTATCAGATGTGTGAAATTTTTCCCTTTGTGGATGGCATAGTGACTAAAATATATGCAATCTGACACAATTTCCATTTTCAAACCGTTCTTTATTTTGACCTAAATCTTTATTTTCTGTGAAATTGAGTAGGACAAAGTTTGTACTTTTTATCACGGAAATCACATTGAAACGAACAAAGCCATTTTAATTTGATTTTTCATTTTCAATTATTTAAGCATGGTACCCTATTCAGCAATGCTGGTTTACAAGGAGCCAGTTGGTTTATTGGTGGTAGCTAGCCGTATTCCTTTCTTCCCCTTCCATTAACTTGAACTTACAATTTTTCCTCGTTTTCAGACCTTTTTTAACTAGGGCATTAATAAGCAAAGGACCCACAGGCTCTCCAAAGTGGCTGATCAATTTCCAAAAAGTACTATCACTATTAGGCCGACAACTTTTGTTACTAAAAACGTGATGCGATAGAAAGGATTTCTTTATGCCCAACATAGGGAAGGTCTTAGAAGAAGTCCCACCACAAAAATTTGCTAAAAATCAAACTTTATGGTGATAAACTGGATCCTTTTCAGAAAGTAGAGGTTTTCTCTCCTTGTCTACATTTGAAAATTTCATATCGAGTCAATATTTATAAAAATTCCGATTCTAGACACAGGATGTCCGGATGACATAACACAAGAACAGTGATCTATCTTGAATAACTTTGCTAACTGTCTGGTTCAAAGTGTTATAATCGCAAGCTTTTACTAATTCCTATAAAGACTTTAACATATTTTAATATATACCATTTTTCCTCTTTAATATAAAAGTTAAAGCTATATGCCAATGCCAGCAAAGCAAACCCAATTCTCTATATAATGCTTCCAAGCTCAGAATAGAGATTTTGGCAAGGTTTCCAAATTTTTTGTTTTCAATGTCTTTTCCTGTGGTCTCCAACACTCCTTGTTTTCAAATGATCCACTTCACAAAACTCATATGACTATGGTCAAATTGCTTACATATTTTAACCTTGCAAGAATCTTTGCCAACCAGGAATCTTCTTTTAATCAAGTCAATATTTGCAATGATTTTTTACGTTGATATCAAGTATGAGTTTCAGCAGGTTGATATTCAAACTTCTGTAATGATATCAGACGAATTTAAAGCTTATCTGTTTCTATTTTATTTGCAGAGTTGAACTATATTATTCTTACAAAAAAAATCTTTGGCTGGTTCTGTTGAACGTAAAGATGTTTCATCATTTTTGCTACATGTAAAAAAGAGTACAATCTCGGACAAAATTGTTGAGACAAAATGCAGTTTTTGCGATTTTCTACTTTACATTGCCCCAATAAATACAAATCCACACAATCAAAATTGGATTTGTAGTTCTGTCATTTGTGCTTTGAAAACATGAATTCAACATTGAAACAGAAACATGAAAGTGGGGAGGGGGGAAGATATTTGTCAATAGAAGGGTAAAGATCAACCTTTCCCGAAAAGTCTCAACTATTTTTGTCCGGGATTGTATGCCCCCAAATGTGATTTATTTATCAAATCAACATTGGCAAAGTAAAAATGCTTAATATGAATATTTTTCTTTAGAAATGATGTCTAACCAAATTGCAACAGGTTCAGGGATCACCGAATTCAGAAGTTGCTTGATATGCGAATGCAAAGCCTCTTTGAAGGAGGATGAAATTTGTAACGAGTGTCATGATGTCATCAAACAGATAGAAGGGGAGGATGGATGCCCTGCACGCTACACTCAATTGATCAACGAATTCAAATCACGTCTTGCCATTAAAGACTCTGAAACAACCTTAAATAACAGATCACATCTGTTTCAACTGCTAAATGTTTGCAGAGAAGCAAGAATGAAAACGGTTGACACTCTCAACGATGCGGCAACTAAAATTGTTGGACTTTCTTCAACCAAATCCAGCCTAAACGTGCCTTTGATGATGGTATGTTTTGCCATGTCTACTACAGTAGGGGTTTAATGTTGTACAGTTCACAAAAACAGGGCGTTGAAAATAGTAAATAATGGAATAAAGTTGGTGTTTACTTTAGGTAACAGGAGTTTGAAAATTGGTTCTGAAAATATTTATTACAAAGCTGCTTAGGGAAAATGGAGCCTTTTCGTAAATTTTCTCGATATCCTTAAACTTGCAAAAAGCTGGCGTTTTTAAAACCGATTTTCGCTACATGCACATTAACAAAGAATAGATAATAAAGAGTGGGCCGTTCTCGGATTTGAGAACAAGGGGCAGCCCTAAGGGTGCAAACGAACCACTGTCCTTCGAGGTTTTTTAACTTGAGTTGACCCCTAAGTTATTTGCTGTTAGAGTCGAAACAGTCCCAGCTTAGTCTAAAATGTTACACAATTAAGAAAACTAGTTTAAGAAAACATCAAGAAAATCAAGAAAACAATTAAGAAAATTCTACCTTTGAAGTTTCATATTTCATTATGATGTCTTTTTTAATTCTTATATAGGTGCTTCAATTGATCATACTGTCAAGTGAAGATATCTACAAAAATTTCTACAAAGATGAACCAAGAATATTTATCATAGCCAAGAAATACAACTTGATAGCTTTGGAAGTTTCTCTTTTCTTCGCTTTCTGTTTCATATTCCAAAAGTCCTCAGTGTCACATTGGTATCTCGTGTTGATGGAATCAGCAGTGCAAAATTTGGTGATCACAAAGTTTGCTCTCATTCTGCTCGCCTTGCCAACACATGCAGATGTAACTGGCTTACGAGAAAATTTGGAGACAATCATGGTTTTTATAGAAAACCCGGTTGGGATTGTTGTCTATCTTTCAGTAATCGTATTTCTATTTCCAAAGAATAGGGAAAATCATGACTTTGGTTGTATGTTGGACGAACTTTCAAGTGCATTGCAGGAAGATTTTGCCGTGTGTGCAAAGCTCAGGATTATGTTCATGAGAAGAAGGACTGATTTTCAAAACGACGAATTTGAAGAAAAATGGGAAGTGCCAAAAGAGTGCAGGGACAAAGTTGGTGGAGGATTTGGGGCAAAATTTGGCAATGGCTTCGAGGAACTAAAAGCATTGCTCGCGCTGAGTGGAAATGCACCGTGTACGGGAAAATGCATCTGCCTTCCTTCGCTGAGAATTCTTTTACCATTACAGTATATTCCTTGGTCGATCAAAGGATTCATTTTGGATGAAGCCGCCAGAGGAATTTCCTTAAAAGAAGTGGCTAAGCAGCTTACAGAAAAAGCTAAGCATTTGAAGCACTACTTAATGTCATCATGGAGGCTTGATGGCTATGTTATGCAATATAAATGGGAATGTGGCAAAGATAGGGAACGTGGCAGAATGGAGTTTGTTTATTTGGATACAGAATTCCAATTTCCCAGCAAGAAAGGTATGCCGTTGCAAAAAAACTTGGATGACAAGCAACGCTTTGTAGCTGATAATTGCTCTTCCGTGGATGATTATCACTAATCAGACCCCAATACCAACAGGCTACGAGAATGAGTGTATCCACCTTGACGTGGTGAGGTTCTAGCCAACACACCAAAAGACGGCTTGGTAAATGATTTGCTGATTAGATTGACGTGTAGCTAATATCTATCTTTTACTATCTTGATATGGTAAAATTTTGACGAAGCACGCTGTAGCATGTTGTAGGCAGAAACTTCATTTTATTCATTTGAAGAATTCATTTGAATCGAAAGCCTTCACAATATTTACCCCTTTTCCCAATAGAGAATCATTCGAAAAAATTTTTCTCCGTTTCACAGGGGAGAAAAAATTCCAATTTACATCTTTACATCAAAACGTCTTAAAATTACAGTTAAATGTGAAGCAAGGCACAAGCAACATGCTACGCTATTTTAAACCTTTTACAGTAGATGATCAATTGAAGTTGCTAAGAGTAGCAGTATCGCAGATTTTCTTAAAAACTTTGATATGACTTATTTTTTATCAAAGACAACTTTGTAGAATGCTGGATCTAGAATTTAACCGATTACGTCATCTTACTCTTTCCCTATTCTTGGGGGGCTGGAGGTTGGGTTAAAACTGTTTGGGAAGCTTAAGTTCAGCACCCCGGGTCTCAAAAGTTACCTTCTAATGATAGCACACTTTGACGATTTTTTTGAGAACTTTAAAAATTTATATATAAGTGGCAAGTACTGATTAGAGGATTTAAAGAACAAAGATCGACAAACAAAGCACTTTCCTTTAAACATTTAGAAGTATAACTGAAGTGAATTAAATGCTTTTGAAACCAAGTCAATGCATTGCATGCTGACAAGCATGTTGCCTACTCTAACGAAATAAATCCACTTGAGTTCATGCACAATGTTTTAAACCCCTGGAAAACATTTTAGATTTTCAAAATAAGAAAAACTTTGCAACAAGACTTCTTTCGTCTTGATTCGCATTCATTTTATCCCGATTTTATCTCAACTGAGTCTTTTCTTTTCGTTACCGGCCTTTATACAATGCAGTGCAACCAATTATTAACGTTTTCAAAATGATTCATTCCTAGCGTTCATACTTTGCATTAACTTTTGCTTTTTGTGCCATTTTTATTTCGCCCAGGTAGTGTTTTTCAAGCGGAACCATTTTCACAATCGAGCAAGATGACAACAATGCAAAATATGAGCATTACCCCCTTCTCATATGAAAATCTCATATTTAGTGCGAGCGCTGCTGGACAGCCCAAACGAATTGCAATTTCGGTGATTCAGAGATCAGAAATCTTTTGAAAAGAATAAATGAATTCACGAACCTGTAATGATGCAATTGCTTCGATTTCTTCATCATACTTTTCAGTAATCTCCATTTTGATTCTTTCTGTCGCCTCTTCTTCAGTTTCCTCTTCCTCCTCTGCCTCATCTTCTTCTTCTTCCTCGGCCATTTCTGCCTCAATTACAGCATCTATATCCTCTTCTTCTTCATCTTCTTCTTCTATTTCGTCGTTGCTATCCTCGTTGCTGTCTAATGAGTCCTGTCTGTCGAGCTGGTTATTTGAGACGAAAACAACATCATTTCAATTGAAAAATTAAAATGTTTCCCATAAATGTCGATGAGTGTGTTCGGTTGGTAAACCTTTGATTTTCACAACATTAAAGAGAACTCGTTATCATATACAAAGGTAACATAGCGTTAACGGTAACATTTCATAACGATAGGTAATGGTCATTTGAAACCATGGATCAACATTTCACGTTATTACGAACTTAAGGCAAGTTAAAATGGGTGGCGATGTCCATATGCCAAAAGTTACATATTTTTGGCAAATCTAAACCCTCTTTTCCCCATGCCATTGAGTAACAGACAGAAATAAGCAAATCAGAACATTACAAATGGCATTGATTCATTTCGATGAGTGTGTATTGCAATTTTATTGAATAGAAGATTGACAACAGAATTTGCTAAAGACATGGGCTTTATATTGGCATTTTGCAAGATATTTTATAAGGTTGAAGAGAACCTGACCCAAGACCCAAACATGAAAGTCTAAATCTGAATCTCAGAAATGTCTCCATAGGGAAAGATAAATTATCCACCAAAATTCTCGCACAACTTAAGAAAAACGCAAGCAAAAATTTCCAAAAAAAATATAGTTGGTCTGTCTAAGTGCTTTTTTCAGCTGTTACTTTGCATGATGTAAAGAAAAATCATGCAAAACTGCATACTAGTTTTTACCATGGTGTATTGTAAATTGCAGTGCAAAGAAAGAATTGTTGGTTCAAAAATGCTCCCAACATATACGTCATATACTTCCACGTATAAATAAGCATAATCGTTTATACAAAATGGTACTCCAAAAACTCACCAGGCGATCTGCCTTTCTCTGAGCAATTTCCTTCACTTTTTCCTCTTTTCTCCTAGCTTTTTCTTCCTCCTTAAAATATCCAGACGTAAATAAATAAACCTATCATTGCCGATAGAAATGTCTTGAAAAAAATGCTCTTATATCACAGTTGCACCTTTCATATTAGGTAAAGAACAAAGAGGGCTCTGCTGCTGGGGAGCAGGATACCATAGCCCCAAGCAATAGATCTGCGAAAACATTTTGCTGCTTGTTTGATTCTGTAGGAGCTCTATTTTTCCGGCCGTCCCCTGCCCCTAAAGAAATTAAATCCCATTAAGCTCTAAAGATACCCCCGGGGCGGTCAAAACGCCGTTTTTTTATGAATCTGCTAAAGCGATAAAAACTTCTTCATGAGCATCCTACAAATGAAAAGTGAACTGCAAACTTTTTTGTTAACAAAGAGAACAATAGCCATTCGTGAAATTTACGTTATTAGAAATAACATCGTTAAACATTTCAGGTGAGGAAAAGAACATCATATTTTTTCTCAATTATTCAATTTAAAACTTGCTGAAAAATAAGCGCCCTAACGGATCACAAAAATATTTCAAAGAGTGTACCCTTTTCTTCAATTTAATTGCCAACTCCTTCTGCTTCTTTGCAAACTTTTTATCTCTTTTATTCCTCCATTTCTCAAGTAGGGGAGGCATTAGCCGTTTTATAATGTCAGTTTCTTCTGTTGCCAAATTAATAGCACAGTCCGGATATAGACCAGCCTCGGTTAGGTAACGAACCTCTTCTGGGTTTCTTGGAAAGCCTTCCAATATAAAACCAGTGGACCTAAAAACAACGTCTTTGGTATAAGATTTCATATTCAAAATTGTAGGTTTAAACCTAGATTATGTTCATTTTAGAAGTGCCTTGAGCGAGGGGGGTTTGGGAAGGGGGCTCAGTCCGACCCCTTTGTTAAAACTCGCTACATTTTGAGGACTTCTTAGCCTTGCATTTTCTTCCAATAATTATTTTCAACATATTTATTGACAGTGATTGAGAAGCAATTGCTTGCTCGAATTAACAAATCTCCTAATTGTACTGATAGAAACCTTCAAGAAGAGGCCTATTGGCGTTGCAAAATAATCAGAGATCACGTCAATGATTGAACGTCCATGATCCAATCCAAATGATTGAAACAAACGGACTGGAACGAAATTATAATGAAAAAGAGTGGGTTCTCGTGCCTGCCAGTGGAACAATTTTATCTCTCTGTTTGCATTGATTTATAAAGTTCGAAGCATTCTTCTAGAAACTGGTACCATTTAAGTCACCCTTCTCCTCCCTCCCCCCCCCCCCTGAAAAAGATATGCATTATTTCAATTCTTATAACAAGGCTGGAGCGCACTTCACACGGTATTTTACCGATATTTTTACCGGTATTTTATCTAGCAATTTCAGTCATATATAATTTTACAAAACAAGTTACAAAAGGACTACCCTTGATAAAAAACAGAAATGGACTAAGACACTAGACCAGACTCCAATATGGCAATGTATTGAAGAAAAAAACAAACAAATGACGGTAGTATCCATCACTTCTATAGCATAAACGATGCTCATTATAGGAAAAAACGAATTTGGGAATAAAGCCTAATTCACTTGCACGGGGTCAAAACAATTTTTACTAACTTGAAAGGCTCTTCATTCCACCATACAGGTATAATTTGTTCCAAGGTTTCATTCGTAAGTGGTTCATTGTCAGTAATATTGTCTCGGATATTTGCTTCCATTTCTGAGAACTCCACTTCTTCCTCTTCCTCATCTTTGTTTACTATCGTTTCGGACTCTGGAGAGCTTTCCTCTAGAAAAAGAAAAAATTCAACTTCGGTGACTTGTTTTGGAGATATCACTTAGAACATGAAAACGTAACAACGGAAATTAAGAGAAAGAGAGCCCTCAATACTTCTCAAACATATTAAATAATCAACAAGATTTGTCCAAGATGGGCATACTAATCCAGTTTAAAGGGCATTTGAAAGTTGATAAGGAAACGAATGGCAGAAATACAACTAGGTAATTTGCGACTCCCATCGAGTTACACTTATACCAGTAGAATGTTTTTTGGATTTTAGGCTCCCCCTGTTCTACAAACCTTGTAGATCTACAAGGCTAGGATAACTTACAAGTGAAAAATTAAAAAACCGAGCGATAAAAATCTATTTTTCTTGATCAAATGAAAATATAAAGAAGCAGCGAGCTAATGGTAAAAATGGCTTTACAAAATTCTATAAAATGTTTCAGAGGGTGAAATACCATTGCTGTCTTCTGGAGCAGTTTTATCATCCTCTGTAGTATCTTCTTGTTCTGGTTCTTCTTCGGGATAGTCAGGTCCAATCCTTTTCTTCGTCTTGGCAATAATTAATTCTTGCAAACGATCTTTAAACGATATATGAAAGACGCCAAATTTCTTCGCAAGTTCCCGTCCAACAAGAGTCTTTCCAGACCCCTTTGCACCCAAAACTAGTAGGCGCAAAGCAGGTGGCTAAAAAGGGAAAAACAAGCAATCTGCGTGCAGAAAATGTATGGATATTTGGAACAGATACTCAACGTGAAACTTTGAAACAGGATTAAGGGTGAAACTAAGATCAATCTTCAGTCCTGCTCCCTAAACCAAAGCTTGAACAGCCTATACAGCTTCGAACACTAAGCAACGAAATGAAATGCTCCAAAATTTTACAAATGTTCTAAAAAAATCAGAATTGCCATTGTTCAATAGTACTCGTGACCTTTGCAAGCAATATATATGCAACATTTTCTATGCATGATTTATATCATACGATTGTGTTTAATTAGGTTTAATGTAGCTACGCATTATACAAAAATAAGATAAAGAAAGAAAACAAGAGACCACTAAACAGTAAGTTTCATATATACTTAGACATATATTTTATATTAGGTATATTCCTGTCGGAGAAAAGTAGCAATTGGAAGAAACTTTGGGCAAAAGTTTTCTTTCCTTATGCTATTGAATTTGTTATAATCGTTAAAATTTAACACGATGCTATACCTTCAATGGCTCTCTATCTGGCAGATATCCTTTTGGGTTATCCAAGAATTTGGTCCTGGCCTCGGGGGATGAGAAATAGTAGACTTTTTCCCTATACTTGGCTGCACAGTCCGGGGAGCCGGGCCACAAAACTGTGCTTTCTTTCAAAGCTACAGGGCAGTAGTGCTTTGTGTCACCGAAGGGTTTTCTTTTCTCTTTGTTGAACACATCTTCGTCATCTTGATCATCGTCATACTCATCTTCATCGGCAGCTAGATCTTCCTCTTCCTCATCTTGGTCCATTCCTGTGTATTCCCATCCTGTATGCTCAAATTGGGCTGGATAAAACACGAAGAGTTTCATGCAATGTCAGCATTTCGACAATTTTCCAATGAGAAGCTTGCTTGGATTGTCATTTACATACCGTAAAGTATCGTCCTTTTCTACCTGGTTCATCGATATCAAATTATGATTAACGCGGGCATTTTGAACTTTTCAATTATACGGGTGCTAAAACTATATACCCGTCATATGCATACATTTATCGTGATCCGACTTGCAGAAAATGTTCTGCTGTAAATGAAACTATCGCTAGAATATGTTTTAGCCTATTCTGTGGAATCACCTGACTATGCAAAGAAAGGAAGGTGTTGGAAATTCGGAGAAAATCGTATCATATATCTTTTACTTGTATCATGATTCCATTAGTTTCATATTACCAATATCTATTGCAAAGAGTCCAAATCAGTTCCAGTCTATTTCTTTAGCTACTCTTTGTCATAATAGACTAGCCAAAAAAATATTTCTGCTGACTTTGCTTAAGGCCTGTTCATAACTGCTTAAGGCCAAGAAAATAGTTTCTAAAAGAAATTCAGATTATGTTCATATGAGCAGTTTGTTCTTTCCTAAAAGTAAGAGTCCATCAACAAGAAAGTGTTATTTCACTTTTAAAAGTCAAATATCAGCATCGAAACTATAGCAGTAACTCTAACTCAACAATTTAGAATGGGATAAATGCGAAAATTGATTGAATCACATAAATATAGAATAGCAAACAGAAAAGTTCCACGAAGCCATCAATTTTTTGGGCCCATTGACCTTTCTGGTAGAGCTTTATGTCAACAATCTATTCTTTTTTCTGAAGAGCTTTCCAAGTCGATCCATCATGATACGCGTGCGAATTTCGTGCCAAATGTGTTTAGACAAAGGAAAGTGTTCTCATTTTGGCTTTGAGAAAATTCACTGTGCTAGGATAAAGACTCTTTATAAACGCCAAATATCGAATCGTTTCAAATGAGTATGCCAAATCGTTTAGGTGGGGTATCCCTTAGGCTTCAAAAATTACCGGAAGTGTGTGTTTATGTCTGTGATTGGCCACAAATCAAAAAGCTAATCGTATCAACTGTGGGGATTTACGCAAGTCAGTTTCGATTCTAGATTTCTTCGAAAGAGTTCAGAAGGAATAATCCTAGTTTAAATCAAAGACTTCCAAGTTTATCATCAAACTTGAAAAATACATCTGATGTGCAGCCAGATTCGAATGTATGATTGAAGCCTACAGGATCTTGCGTTGTAAAGCAACATATATCAATAAAGAACAAATAAGAAGTACCTTCTAGATTTGTGATTGCCTCACTCTCAACACCATTCTCGTTCTGGTCACAATCAATAAGTACAGGCTCAAGATTGCTAACGCTTCTTAATGCCCCTTGAAGACTGGTCCAATTTTTGTCAAAGTCAACTATTGCTGATCGCTGTGCATCCAGTTGGGGTGATTTTGGAGGCATTTCATCTTCGTCCATGTTTATATCCTCCAATGCATTGTTATTCGCAGCATCAACTAGAATGTAGCATCAATCCAAAAGGTTTACAAGAAGAGATACAGAGAACTAGCAACAAATTCAGATTTTAGTCGAATGTTATTGTAGTACTCACTAGGTACAAGAATTTGTTAAAGAGATGAGCAAGTCGCAATAGAGTGGATAAGATATTCCTTCTTTGTAATGACTTTGCTATTAGCCTCAACATTTATTGGCCAGACAGAGAGTCGGTACCCAAAGGAGGCAGCTTTCTACTCGTTTCAGGTTTAAATCTTTGAGTGTATGAAAGTTCGTTATTCAGCTTTCGCAAAGCATTCTTCAGAATCTATCATTACCCCCTTTGGTATGGCCGAATCCGCACCAAATTTGTAGTTTATTCTATATCACATTGAAAATCAAAACTAGAAAGCTTGAAACAGGCTTGGCCTACCATTTTTATTCAACTTGTGCCATCTTTTTAATAGAAGTTCTCCACCATCACTGTTATCTTTTAAGCAAATAAGGTTGTCTGGCAAAATTCCTCGCTCGACCATGATGTTGAATTGTTCACGTGTATGTGGGAAGTTGTCTAGTATCCATCTTCCAGCCCTGCGTACAAAAATATATCAATTTAAACAGTAGTATACAAGACTGAAGCATAACTAGAAACTCAACTTGCGCCTGATAGTTGGGTCTATATACAAGTAGCCCATTACTCAGTGTCATATTCACAGTTGCCAATAATTAAAATTATAGATAGCTACTACTTCACCCTGTTTTACATGACTTAAAGCGATGCCGTGTTCCTTATTTCTACATTTAATTGACTTTTCGACTCTATCTAGTATTATTCCTGAGTCCGTCAAACAGTTCGCTACAGTGACCTTTTCCATTATCTACATGCCAATATTTCAACCAAGGAGATGTTAGTATTTGACGCCAAGCTCCCCATCCTGATTTAGCTAGTACATGGTCAAAGAGGTTTCTTTTAAATTGAAAAGTGGCAGTGATCATGCCAAAATGAAGAACGTACTCCATAAAATTCAAAATAGAAGATTAGTTAAGACGCTTGGTCTGAAATGGCAGCTTACACAGGCCCTATAGGATGTGATTCTTGCAATTTATTATAATGGTCATGAATAGCACTTTCGAGCATCTCCACACATTCATCAGCAGATACAGAAATGTCTCTCTTCATAGCTTCTGCAACCGCTTCTTCCACCATCTTAACAACCTAGAAGAAAAACGTCGATAGCTAGATTGCAAAAGCCCAGATGTAGCTTGCAAGACAACCAATCAGCTTGCTGTATTCTACCAACATCTGTGATTGATATTAGCGGTATTGCTACCATGCCCCTTTCCCCGTGAAACAGTGTTGGTTTTATCTGACGTGCAAGGTGTTGCCTTAAACTGACAACATTGTTCTGAAGGGAGATTGGGCGGATTTAATAGCACATGGTAAAAGAACGGAAAGACAACTAACTACAGCATTTAGCTACTATTGCCTACAATAAAGAGATTGCCAAAGAAGAAATCTCAAAGTTGTGAATCTTGTTCTGTATATAATCTTGACTTATCAAAACAAAATTTACTGACCTGAGGATGGTTCTCGTCAACAATCACATCGTCAACACCTTTCTCACTTCCAGTTTTTGACAATTTTCTAGATCCCCCTTCAGACTCGTCTTCAGCATCTTCCCCTGCAACATCTTCCCCTGCAACATCTTCCCCTGCAACATCTTCCGTTGCAACATCTTCCCCTGCAACATCTTCCCCTGCAACATCTTCCGTTGCAACATCTTCCCCTGCAACATCTTCCGTTGTAACGTCTTCCGCTGTAGCATCTTCCATTCCTTCAGAAGGAGCTTCTGCCTTGTCTCTAGATGTTACTTCCTTTTCTTCGTGGGGCTGAACTTCCGTAGATTGTTTCTCTTCGCTGCTTTCCATCTCTCCTTCCCTCTCATTTCCACTTCCACTCGGTTCTTTTGTCTCTTCCTGTCCTCCATCCATATCACTGTCTTCACTTTTCTTGTCTTCATCTAGAAGAATCATTAGCGTGAGCATTGCCCAATTTCACAAAAAACTGACAGACAAAGGACAAAGTGGTAGAGGAAGAGTGGTTTTACTTTTGACTGTAAACAAACTCAGTTTATCAAAACTACGGCACATTGATATCCCTCAAAAAGGAAACATTATACGGATAAGAGATTTGACAAATTTGAAACATTAAACTACCGTAGTATGTGTTACTACCTTCTTGGAGCTTCTTGGCCTGTTCAGCAGCTAGTTTTTCTTGTTGTACAATAGCAGTAACCCTTGCAATTGCATTTTCTAGTGCTTCTCTCTTTACATCGTCCAGCATTTTCGAAATTTGAGCTTCTTTGCGAGGCTTAATCATGGCGTCCACATCAAAGATCTAAGAAGCACAAAAACATATCAGTGCGAAAGATGAAGCAGCTTAGGTGAAAAAACGAGTCTCTCAATGTAGAAACTGAATTGTTTGATAATCAGGTGTCCAAAGCAAAACTCCTTTGCATTAAACTAGAAATTGAGGCTTCAGAATTCTACTTTGAATTCTTAAGTAATTTATTTGGTCTTACTCAGTATAAAAAAGTACATTATCGCACGAGAGGGAGATTGATTGTATTCTATCAAACCTTTACAAGCCTTTATCAATAAAAAGCTTTGAAAGCATTGGAATAATTGATTAATAAGCTCATTTTCTGTGAAAATATGACTGAAAATATCACTAAATTCCTTTTCGCCCTACACTCCAAAAGGCCATATTATAAATTCATAATTTTCTTATGAAAATCCAGCATTAAATAGGTCGCTTAAAATTTTCTCTGGAAAGTACTGTCATCCTTTTTTGGAAGGGATGCTTGAATACAACCACTGTGTTTATTGGACTTGTTTAAAATATCAGACAGAATAATAAAGCAACCAGCACCTTTGCTTGATACTTTGCCGCGATTCTTTGGGCCAGAGTAGTCTTTCCAGAGAGCGGTGGGCCCACAATGCAAAGTTTGCACGGATTCCTAGGCTGGGGACTCATGATGTATCGCCTTGGGTTTCTCATGAACTTCTCCAGAGTGTCCATTGATGACATTGTATACAACTTGTCGAGGAAACTATTTTAGAACAAGAAATCTAGTATGGTCAAAAAGACAGGATTACCAACATCAATGGTTACTTCTGAAGCCAAAAGCTAATGTAGCATTTAATTTCTGCGTCAATCTGTAATTTTTTTAGCTTATATTTGCTTGAAATTTAAGCTCTGCTTTACAGCTTTAAATTTAGTTATCATAATTTTCGGAAAATTTTCAAACGGTTTAAATTATAAATCTTATTAGGCATATTCCTTTTGTTTCGAACTTTGTTAAAATCTCCCTAGGTTCGCAATTCACATAATTCCGAGCTCACGCAATTCACAAATCACATAATTTGGCCTGTAATTTGGGTGAAAAATATGAGGAACTCCTCATTTTCCTACACTGATATCAACATACCGATTTCTTCCAGAGACAACGGGGAAGGAGTCAGCAAAAACAGACTTCTACTGTTTGTAAGTTTTTAGAAGAATAAAGCTATTACCTTACTGCAAATTGCGGACTTCCTTGAACAATGTTTCCCTCATATAGAGCAACAGGGCATACCCGCCCCCACCTGCTCCTTCTCCAACGGAACCCCGGTCCAATGCTTTCAGTTGCTGCAAGGGTTCTCAGCAAGTCATCAGTCTCAGTATCATCCGGGATCGTTTCCTGATCCTCGCCTCCCTGAAGGCGCAGGGGAACGGCCACGCGGCTAGCTGCCATGCCGTCTAGTTTTTGAATCAACCCCTTTGTTAAGAGAAAGTTTTTTTAAAGTCTTTGGTGTCACAGAAACTATAAATTCAAACAGACAAGCTTGAAATGACAACATCTGTATAGCTGCATTTACTGGGATTGCAGCACAATTCTCAAAATCATATTTTTACTTGAAATCTGTCGAAAAAATAACAAGAGCTTCGACGCTCTCTTGAAGAAAAGATTTAATTTATCTATAAGACAAATTAAAAGTCTTAAGAATGATGCTGATTGGTCAAATCAAAGCCAATATCACCTTGCTTTTCGTCTAAAACATTAAGGGGTTTTGGAAAATTCAGTGCCTTTCCCAGGAATCTTTTTTTTTACACTAAGATGGAATTTGGAACTTGTGACACTTCTATGGTTGGAGCACATAAGTTATGAATATATAAAATACAATCTCTAGATTCGTTGCTTAAAAGCACTATGTCCCATCGGTCAACCACTCAAAGTTAGCAGCGCGTTTATGATCGAGAAAACATTGCGAATTAGCCGATTAAATATCGTAAATCCTCGAATTGGCACCCCTCGAGACCCCCCACCCCCTCAAATGAGCCCCCCTCAAATAACCCTAGAACTACAAATTGTCAATAACCCCCCCCTCTCAAATAAGCCCTCACTACTACTGCAAATTCTCGATTTCGTACCCTCAATTTGATGATTTTTGCCATCTGAGGTTGCCTATGGCGTTTTATTGAATTACAACAAAAATTCATACTTTTAGTGATAATTAATTTTATGCTCTAAAGAAATTCCTACTAAAATAAATGAGGTCTTTTAATAATGTCTTTTTAATGTCTACAATAATTTTATAAGTCCCCCCTCGCATAAGCCCCCCCCCTCAAATAGGCCCCCATCCAAAAATATCAAAAATAAATAAGCCCCCAGTGGGCTAATTCGAGGATTTATTGTATGTTACAAAAGGTCCAACCAATGAGAAATTTGAATTGCCAGCGAAATGCATCGGTGCATTGTGTCTTTAACATACCTTGATCAAATATTTTATCGGCATGTTTGCATCCAACTCGATGACTTTCTGCCGCTCATGGTTACCCATGTAATCCTAGAATGAGTCATAAGCTTCAATAAAGTGATTTTACTTCTATCTTTCTTTATATGTTAATCCATATGTGACAAAGAAAAGCAAATTATAAACATGAAACACTAAAACAATATGTAGAGTGCGTTTAGCAACTTTGCAAAAGCCATCGACCACTCTGCAACAGACTGGTAACTATATTCTAAAGCTATAGAACTTGATTTTCAACGTTTGGTGTTATCTTGACGGTCATAATTCCCTTTGCTATCCAATAAAATAAGCATTCAACAGCAAACGGTAGATGTGCATTCGGTGAGTTTAAGTAAATTTTCAAATTATTTCTTATATCCTTAAACATGAAAAAATTGACGGGCTAAAAGCGCTATGTTGCTAATGTTTTCGAAACTGGAAAACGTCAAAAATTAGTAAAATGCTAAATTTTCGCGAGCACGTTGAGTTAGAATAAGAATAATGCACTATCAATGCAGATTTGCATTGAAATCTTGACGATTTGTAAAAAGCTTGACAACTCTGGCAAAATGGCTGTAACCCAGGCAAAATGGCTGTTACCCACTCGAAATATTAAAGCTCTGTTACCCAGGCCAATCCATCAGTAACTAAGCTAGTATCCTTCTTAAGGACTAGAAATGATCAATTTACCTCAAGTTAATCAAGCTGCATCAGAATCTTAAATACTACGAAGATTTAGTCTACTATCAAAACAATTGCTTGATTCAAAACAAAACCAGCTATTTCCAAATTAGTAGACTAAACCAAATTTCCATACTTCTTAAGGAAACTACTCAGAATTATTCAAAAAATCGGAATGAACATATATTGTTACTGATCTGATTAAAAATCGCATCCTCATGTTGGAAGCTCGTCAGATTTCACTTTGCAAAAGAGAAGTACAGCATTATAACTTTCTTGCCTTAAACAGCCATGAAATTGCGGACATTTTAGCCAAAGAGGTCACTGCATATTTTAATTGATGTAGGCCGCCTCATTCTGTTAAGCTAGTCCTATTCAATGTTCTTAGATCACGGGATATAACTACGAAGAAGGCACTATCAATTCACTTTCAACTTGGCAGACATAATAGGCAAGCAATAATTAAAGCCAGTAACAGGGGATCCTTACAAACACCACGTTCAACGAAAGTAAAAGGACAAGAACAGCATCTTCGTACCTCCACTTTTCTAAGCAATATATCTTTATATAGATTGATATCCGCGGTCATATTCTCTTCAAAGTCCTCTGTCCGGGGCATCAAACGCTCTAACAAGTCTGGAGCCAACTCGTGGTCCTCTTCGACATCTGATAGGCCCTGAAAAACAAAAACATAAACACGCATAAAATTATAAGTTAGCAAGTTGAAAAATTTGAAAAAAATATATAACCATCATTTCTCATCTTTACTTTCCCAATATTTGAAAATAATGGCGGCAATTCAAAATGAGTCTATTGAATCATAGACCTGTTTGAAAACAATTGTTTTGTCGTTCATTTAGAATGTTTATTCATATTTTAGGACGCAGAAGTTAAGCTCATCAAAAGTTGCTCATTTTCTTAATATTTTTTCAGTTGCTTATTTTTTCAGGACGTCTCTAACTGATCTGTAACAGGATTATTACTTCTGAGTTTAACTCTAAGATTTGTGAACTGCTTTCACTGCAGGTACCTCAAAATTAGTTTAAACCTCGCCATTGGCCGCTGTAACTGCACACCGCTGCGATATGCCACGCCTCATAAGTCATTAACCAGCCTCACTAGTGGTCTTTATTTTACCTGTCTTTGTTTGAAATTATTTTGGTTCGGCACCATAATCATCCTTGCTTCGATAAACTTTACAAGTTAAATGTAAGTTTATCTGTGTTAACTGACTTCTCCCAGAAGCGATGAATAATTTTGTCCGTATGAGGTAAACTTGCCAAGAGAACATGAAATTCAAAACTTTCAAGTAAATTTAAAGCGAATAACTATTTGAAGGCTGTGCCCCCCTCCCCCCCCAATGAAAATTTTGACAACAGCTTGCCCCCTCTGGCTACAGTTTTTCCAAATGATATTTTGAAAATTTGGTATATCTATAATTCCATGACCTTGATTTTGTCCAAATATATCTGTTTGATATATATCTGTTTTCTTGTTTCAAAGCCGGCCCCCCTCAGGTATGGTTCTTGCTCGAGTTTGCCCCCCCCCCCCCTAGCCGACACCTACAGCTACGTGGCTGGTTTTCACAGGTAACCTCTGCACGTGATGGTGATGAATCGATTTGATTGACAATGTGTATTAATGAACAGTCCTATTTGAACGATAAAAAATGAAATTTATCTGCAGAGAAAAAACAAGCATCTTGCTTCCACGAGAAGCATTTCACCCGGAATAGATTCAAGGAAAACGCCACTAACAGAACTATGCCTAGACCAAAGGTTTTTTGGCGGAATTTTTCTCTTTTCATAGCAGAATTTCGTTCCAAACATAGGTATACATTTTTCATTCAATTTTAGTTGGTTTATTAGGCACGGAAGCCTCGCCATTCCATCAGAACTGCTTTGCACGGAGATCTTGAAAACGAGAATGAAATATAAAAAGTACACATTTATAAACAAGATAAACTTTTATGGCAATGTATCTATAAGCGAATTTAAAATATTCCAGTACAATAGCATTTGAACAGTCTGTACACTTTAATTGAAGGTGTTTAAGAAACCTAGTAGAGTCGATTTATAGGCAGAAAACAACATTATTTTATCATGGTCAAGAAAAAGATAAAAGAATGTAAGAAATTGTCACGTCTTTTATGTGAGTTCTACCCTTTGTGATGTATACAACATAATGAAGCAAAACTTTACATAATATAACAGTTAAATAAAAAATCTAATGAAATACAAACAGTTAAATACTCGTTTTAAACTGGAAGCTTTTAATACAAATTTGAGTGAGCTAAGGTTTCTAAGTTGAGGAAACGTAGACACTTTTCATGTTTTTACAAAGCTTGGAGTAATTTCTGAAAGCATTGATAGAACGGAAAATTCGATATGAGCTTCTAAGAATAAAAACACGGGTAGACAAAAAAGACCAGAGAGATGTGATTTGATGGCCACGAAAGCTATTCTGTCACCCGGCCATTTTTGTCCAACAAGATGCACCGTCTTTGCACTCATTGAAAACTACTTGTTTACAAAAAATCATTCTAAGGTGCTAATGCCTAAATTTTCCATTCTAACAGACTGGTAATTAGATTGTAGCCTTAGCTCTAGAAACAATATTTGTTAGAAAGATCACATAAACCTTTTGTTTACTGAAATACATTTCCTTTGACAAGGCAAACGGCATGACAGAATTGAAACGTTTACTAGATTCCCTGTGTAGTTGTTCTTTAAACATTAATGAAAACATCAGAGCGAGGTTGGGGTACGTCAGCAGTTTCTTGTATTTAGGCACTTCCATTTGTAAAGGTCGCAAAACGTTTCACATCAGTTTTTTAGATGTTTATTCTCAGATAAGATAATTTGTTTCTTCCTCGAGCCGTGGCTTCTCAGTTTCTCCACTCTCACAACCCGAGTTGACTTTCTTTATTCTGCCCCGGATTCCAGGCATGCACAGGAAAAGCTTGATAGCCATGACAACTATAATAAAAATGAGGAGCAAAAACAGCTGATGCGGTATTCCATATTTCCATCTTCGGATGCTTCGTATAGACATGACTTTTCCAGCATAAAAGATGACGTGAAGAAAGCCAAACAGCAGGCCTGCGAATCCAAGCTTGGATTGGATAAAATCCCACTCTCGCCATGACATTGATTGACTGACAGTTGGCAGTGAAGATACTCCCTGGATTGTCAAAACTGTCAAGGACAGAGTAGCACACAGTAAAGACACTTCAGCATTCCATCGGAATCTATGGTACAAGAATTGGCTTATACCTTTGATTTTGTGCCTCTCAAACATGCCTGAATAATATTCACCAGACAGCAGAATGAGTGAAAGGCAAGCATGAACTGAAGCGAATAGCAAAGCAAATAGGCCTATTTGTTTTCTGGCCCTCATCCACCTGTCTAACCAGTTCGGGAGCATATGGTAACGAGAGCTTTTAGTTATTTGCAGAATCCCAACTAAGGACCCCGGCAGATAGACAAATGCGAGAAGCAATAGCACCATGCAACCTGTGACTCCATTTGCAATGGGCATACAAACATAAAGTCCAAGTTTGGAAAAATCAACGTATATTGCATAGCGTAAATAGAAGTATGCTGTCGTCACGAGAAGTGAAATGACAGTCAAGATAAACGCAAATTTCCATTCAGGAAACGATTTTAGAGCTTTCTTCTCTAGCAACTTTGCAGCACTCAAGTCGCCTACATCTTGTGGAGTAAGTCCAATGTCTCTAGCAAGCTGCGAGACAGCACAACAAGCTTCTTTGTTGTCACCACAAACGAATGTCTTGCGACTTGCTCCGTAGATATTATACTGCAAAGACCAACTTGACAATGTGTTAAATGCCTTGACGACGGCAGATCTCGGTAACATATCAGCTAATTTCTCGGCATAGCAAGGGTCTGAAATGGAAGTAGCATTGCTCACATCCACAACAATCTTTCCATCGAGTGAACAAATGAAGTCTCGAGAAAAAGAATCGTAGCAATGACCTGGTACACCCAAGACTATGATATCAGCCTTTACGCCGACTTCATTCAAGTCCAAATACTCACTCAGAACATCCTCTTCGAGAACCGTGCAATCGATGTTTCTCACCCCTACGTAAAACTCAATTTCTTGTTTTCTCAAGCAATAGGCCAGTGCTTTTCCAAAGTTCCCATAGCCAATTATACCAACTACATTTCCTTCCATCGTGTCTTCAAAAGTCCATACACATTGACAGTCGCTGCTAACCAGACTCCTTGAATCAAATAACAAATACTTCCAAATATATCACGTGTACGCCTTTCTTTCACAACTGTTCATAAAGATATATTCCGGGTCATTTTATAGGGTCAGAAACATGAAAACAGATTGGTTGGCTTATTGACTGTTGGTGACCAGGAAGATTTTACTGTTAAAGATTAGCTCGATCTTTTCATATAAAAATATCTAGGCTGAGAAAGTGTGGTTACGTAGCTAGCCAAGCCACAAAACTTCGAAAGGAACAAGTTGTTATCCTATAACACATGAGCAGGTATGAATATTCAACTCAAACCAATTCAATCGAAATCGTCTTGTGAATGGCCTAGACCTACCGACAAGGTTGCTATCCTTGGGTATGGAAACTATGGCAAGGCACTAGGAAGCCGTTTCAATGCTACAGGGATCCCATTTGTCGTCGGAAGGAGAAATCAAGAGACTCGGTATTCTGAACCGGACAGAGACTGTGTGGCCTACGACAAAGCTGCAGAGGATGCTAATATTATATTCCTTGCCATGCCAGCCCATGCATATGATGATGTTATACCGCCATTGTCCAGCTTGTTGGTTGGAAAAATCATCGTTGATGTCAGTAATGCAGAAAATGTATCAGATAACTGCAACGCGGTTCATCTGGCTTCTCTGCTGCCTAACTCCAGAATTGTTAAAGCTTTCAACACAGTTTCAGCCTGGGCGTTGCAAAACGACCTATATGGTGCAAGCCGTAGTACATATGTGTGCAGCGATGACGCTGATGCAAGGAAAACAATGATGCAAATTGCAAGGGACATTGGCTTCACCCCAATCGACAGCGGAAGGTTGGCAGCAGCCGCGATGCTTGAAAAGAAAGTCCTTCAACTCTTTCCAGAATGGCGCGTGCCTTTTTGGATCACGTTTTCCATGCTCCTATTCCAGATTATCTATTTGCATGGTCGGTACCTGATTTCCCATGCACCAGAGAAACTCTTGAAATCCATCTTCTTGAAATATCCAAACCGCATAACTGGGTGGATGGTCCTTTGGCTGCTGGCTGTTGTTTTCCTTCCTGGCTGCATTGCAGCTTTTTTGCAGCTGAAAAGAGGCACCAAGTACAGCATCTTTCCAAACTGGCTCGACGTTTGGATGAAAGCGCGCAAAGGACTTGGTTTATTCGCCCTCATGTTTGTAGGAATGCATATGTGTCTTTCGTGCATCCTTCTTGCAGGGGAGTATTATAGTGGGATGTCAAACGTTGAGTTCATTCAAGGAACAGGCAAAGACGGTCAACCCAAGCAAAAGCTCTACCACAAGTATCAGTGGAAAGGGGAGGTGTCATTACTGTTCGCAACACTGTCAACTACACTTTTGGTCATCCTTGGTCTTACGTCACTACCAACAGTCAACCAATCCATGTCCTGGAGGGAGTGGGACTTCATTCAGTCAAAGTTGGGCTACCTCAGCATGCTGTTCGGCTTCTTGCACATTTTCTTCTATGTTTACAAAGGATTGGCCCCAAAACATGTCCGTAATTGGGGATACCTTCCACATCACACTTTTCTTATGCTTCTCTTGCCATTCATAGTGATGATGCTGAAACTTATTCTGATGATGCCTGGAATCAACGGCATGTTGAGACAAATCAGGCGAGGCTGGGAGAGGCACACAGCAATGATCCATACAAGCCAAATATAGGCCACGATGTTTCAACGAAAAAGCACGTTTTGAAACAGGGAAACAGGAAGGATTAAACTTTAAACTACGGACGTAAAATCTAAGCAACTTCGTTAGGTCATAGATTAAAGTAGTCGAAAAGAAAGGTTGCTCATCATGAAAGTTGTAAGGACAGGCAAAAATTTTGTGCATGTACAAATCCAGTATATCGCGTAAAATCTGCAAGAAAATCTAGTTTAGCTGTGAATAAAGTGTCAGATAAGTTTCAATCGCATTTTCATTGAAATGGATTTGAAGATTCAAGTTCCACTGGGTTACATTTTAGCACAAGTAAAATTACGACAAAGAAAACAAGGAAAGTAAATAGGAAATCTTGTTTTGTATACCAAGAACTCTAATCATGGACAAAGAAACCTATTTTATGTGTATAGAAAATAAGAGCAAAAAGTATTCAATTATGATTGAGAAATCATTTAAGGATATTTAGTTTCTTGAAATGCGCCTCTCAAATCAACCGAGTGGTTTTTTCTTAAGTTGTCTACATACTTTATAATTCTTACACGATTTGTGAAACATAAAATTGGCCCAATTACTTCAGTTAACAAGTATGGCCTCTACTCTCAGAAATTGAAAACATCTTAATTTATACATAAGGAAATTTACCACTTTATCAAAGGATTTATTTTATGTTTTATTGAGAATTGAAGACAATCAAACTAAAATTTTCATCTCTACAAGCCTGCATAGGTATTAAATATTTCTTCAAGAAATATTAGGATTTATAGATAAAGAATGGGATTTAGATAGTGGTTTGATATTTTGAAATTTCTTGAATTTCCTATTCTCTATCTCCCCCTACTCATATTACAAAAATGAAAACCAAAACATTTTTAGGAGAATTTTCTACGAAACCTCATTTGAGCAAAGGAGCTTTTTAACATTAATTGTTTGCTTGTTATATCTTTTTCTTGGAGAACCACTGTCTCCCTTTTCTCCAAATCCCCCAGACAAACTATACTGCTGTAGCCATATGTTTCTAAATGTAAGTCACAACCAGCCACAAGCTTTTAAACAAAAAATGTTTCTTTATAAATTTTTAAAAGTATTCGAGCCTTTTTCACATTGCTGAAACGTACAGGATATCCTCTAATTAGGTTTTATCCTTAAATTAGTCCTATTATCTTCAAATAAGCCCCCTTTCCTTCAAAAAATCCCTTGTTCCGTAAATAAGCCCTTCTCCCTCGAAAAAGTCCCCATGAAAAAAGTTCATGATGCAAATAACCCCCACTCTTGAAAAGATTTTATGGGGGTTTAATCGAATTTCGTTCACCATGGTGTCTAAAATGGGCTTTTCTCGAATTGGAAAGCTTTCCAACATCCTGGATGTTTCAATGAAAATTCATTTCTGACAATCTCTTGGGGCTGTGACTCCTAAACCTGTTTTCTGTGTCAAGAATTTGTGAAAAATATGGTGTTAGTAGAAACCATAACTCAAAAATAAGTTAATTATTTGCAATATTGACGATAAGCCTCTCCCCCAAAAAGCCCCCCTCCTTGAATAAGCTCCTCACTCCTTAAACCCTTTCCAGCTTGAATGATTTTAGGATCTTATGAAAGAGAATGCGAAGCTCTAGGATGCAATATCTATTTTTATGCACAGACAAACTAGCGTGAACTCAGAACAATAATTCCCTCAGGAAACTTCGCGTCCAATTTAGAAGTTATTACAAAAGCCATAATTATGACCATATGAGGAGAGTGGGCAGACACATTTAGGCCACAGCGTTGATCTTGGCAGGAAATGTTATGCAAAACTTGATACAAAAAAACATGTTACCAAATGCGCGTTAGCGTTGGCTGAAGTGTGTGATAGGATAATTCAAAAGATTCGAAAAATCTATACCATTATATGCTTTGGGTTTCTAATAACCAACCGTGTCTTTCATTCCCTTTAGACTTTTGCTCACAGCTAAGGGCATATAGCATCAATACATGGCAGAGAGCAGGTATGGATTGTTATCATTTTATGCAACCGTAAATTCAAGTGGAGCAAACACACCGAATGCTTTTAGAAGAAAGCTCGCGAGTTCCAACTTGAGGGGGAAATATATAACTGCGCTATCTTCATGTCTTTCAGTATGCACAGTAGTCGAGTCCAGCAGCAGGAGTGTAAAGGGAGCAAGAGAAAATCGAATAAAAGGCCAAGGAAAGACGACTCTACTTTCCTCTCTCAACTACTTTTGTCTGCTTTTACTCTGTGTCCCTCTACCGTTATTCTTGAGTCCTTAGAAGATCTTATCCTTATATTGATGGTTTATTAAGCCCTATTTGTACAAAACAAGCTAAAAGACTGGTGAAAAACGAAGACAGTGACAAAATGTTAATTGAAATATGCGTTTCTTATATGCACTATTTAGTCTAACAAATACATTTAACAAGAACAAAATTATAATTGTGATGCTATTGGGAACTTGGTAGGCATGGCTACCTATTGATCTAAGCAAAAAAACAATACAGTAGTATTTAAGGCCATACTATTTCATCTAAATTGCTGCCCATTGATATAGAGGTTTGCTGTGTTCCAGAAGATACAAGGGAAAATTTGAGAGAACAAGATATTCTGTCAAAATAGCAACATTTATTTGAGGGGAAGGGGGTGCAGAAGTAGAACTATTCGGAAAAAGGACGAGAAAACAATAAAGACACAATATAAATTTTTTAGGCATGTATTCCAAAGACAAAATTAATTTATCTTTCACTCCACAAATAATAAAATAACCCTCTAAATGAAACACCCCATTGAAAGTTTAGATCTAGGTCTAAGTAGTACTAAAACTGCACAAGTAGTGGTAATAAAGCTTCGATTTGTTTACAGAATCTAAAAGATGTACAATGAACAGGTAGTTCAAAGTCTCTAAAAATTTTTTTTTCATTTGCATTCTCAAATATAATTCATTTTCACGCCTCTGCAACGTCTCTCGACTGAGGTGTTCTCTCCCAGCCTTGTCTTATTCTTTGCAAATGTGATGCGACGCATGGCATGACAAGTACGAATTTCATGAGCAAAACGAAACCAGGAAGCAACGGCTGGAAGAAGACAGCAGGTGGAATTCCATAAGGCCAAAACTTGAAGTTTGCCGAATCATAGACTTTGAATGCATATATTGTGACATGGAGAAAGGCGAAAAAAAGTGTGACGAATCCGAGCTTTGATTGGACGAAATCCCATTCTTTCCAAGACATCACTTGATTGACAGAAGGAAGTGACGTAATTCCGAGAACAGTGAAAAGTGTCATGGCCAGAACTGCAAACAAAAGTGATATTTCGGCGTTCCAGTGGAAGTGGAAGTAGACGTATTGTTTGGTGCCTGGAATTTTTACAACTTCGGACATGTATTTGACATATTCACCAGAAAGCGCAAGACATGACATGCATGCATGCATGCCGGCAAATGCAAGGGCAAACAAGCCAAGTTGCTTTCGGGATTTCAGCCAGCTGTCAAACCAGGTCGGAAATCTGCTGTACTTGGTACCTCTAAAGAGCTGAATGAAGCCTGCAATGCATCCTGGTAGATACACAAGTGACAGAAGCCACAGGGCCATCCAGCACAACACACGATTTCCATGATACAGAGCAACGTTGCTTGCTACTTTGGCAGGAGGCTCTGACAACAATTCTCTGACATAATAATAAACAACTTCAATAATGAGCAAACCAAGTGTTATCAATGATGCCGTCTTCCAAGATGGGAACAACTGCAGTGGAACTTTTTCCAGGACTCTAGCCGCACGGAGGTGCCCCCTGTCAATGGCAGTGAAGCCCATATCCTGCGCTAGCTGCATTACAGTTTGTCTGCTTCCTGGGTGGTTTCCACAAACAAACACGCTTCGACTTGCACCATAGACATCGTTTTCCATTGACCACCCAGAAATTGTATTGAAAGCTTTTATAACGTGAGTTGAAGGTAACAACGCTGCAAGATGCAAGGCATGACATTCGTCCATTTTTGTTTCTGCGTTGCTAACGTCGATAACGATTTTGCCCTTGAGGCAGCGATTGAGATTAGGAGCAACGATATCATAGACACGTGCAGGAATTGATAAGAGTACAATATCGGCTTGAGCTGCAGCATCTGCATAGGTCGTGATCTTGCTGACTCTCTCTATATCTTCATCATACCGTTGCGGAGATCTAGAGCCAATCATGTATGGAATACCGACAGCATCAAGACGAGTGGCAAATGCTCTTCCATAATTACCGTGGCCAATAATACAGACTGTTTTGGCTCCTGGGGTTCCTTCATCCCATTTATTTTGATATGCAATCAAGCTCTCCCCCTTTTTGAATTCTTCTTCCTCGCCCTGCTTGTTACCGTTTGGTTCGGCAGGGTTAAGTGGCAGTAATTCCTGAGCAGTCAAGCACTCCATTTTCTGTTAACAACAACTCCCAACTGGCTCACTCTGTCATAAACACTTTCTTTAAGTAGGTTACATAAAGACTATAATTATATAACGAAGCCCAGATGATTTTGTCAGAGATCAAATTGAGGTAAGCGATAGAAAAAGCCACGAGAGTACACAGACAGTACAACAACATTCGACGATCTGTCGAAGCCAAGTCAACTGTGACCACAGATTTGCGATGAGTATAGTCTTTCAATGAGTCACAATCATTTCCATTTAAATAAAGAAAATGCCAATTGGCTTTAGTTGTTTTAGTCTAAATCCGTTCTACTGGAAAGACAAAAGCACAGTTTGGACATTTTCTTACGTAAGCCTGGTTCCCAAATTTTTATGCAACCGCGGATTTTTCTCTTTGTAGGCCCTCATTTGCGTTCATAAGCAATGTTTTTATTCGGGGTGTGATCGATCCTCCTTGATTTTACGGCCCCTGGATTCTTTTGTTTTTCAAAGAGAGTTCCTGAACTCATCCACAGAAAACTGCCCCTTCTCATGAATATTTCTGCAGGATGGAGATTTGTCGGTTCGAAATTACACTTATTTTTTTATAAGAAACAAAGGTCGATGTTGAGTACTCCAGTTTCCTAATGTTTTGGAAATTTCAATACTCATTGTTTCTTAAGAGTTTCTTAGTTATGATGTCATGAATTATGTTATGAAATGTTCGTGACCTTTTTTATCACGTCAAGAGATTCGCTTCCATTTTGATCCTGTATTTAGATGTGGAAAGTATATTTTTATCCCTTCTGTCTTAAGTTCTAGGCCAACAGAGAAATCATATTCTTGGATTTCACAAAATTTTGTTGTTCTCAGTTTTATAACGATTAAATAGTTTCTTAATTTTTTTGCTTCGAGTACTGAAGTTTCTTAATTTTTTCTCTAATACTCGTTTCTTATAGCCGGTTTCTTATAAAAAAATGAGTGTACTTCAAGTAAAAAGGTTTTATGATCATGAATGATTCCAATTTTGTTCCACTACAATATTTAGAAATTAGACTAACTCAGTGTTGACTGCTGGTGGAAAAATCCAGCCTCAAATCTCACCTCCGAGGACCCAGTTGTGGGTTTAGCTCATACTGTTTCGCTACAAGTATCAAATTGAATTCTAAAACAATGTGTGGATGGCTCGTTTTATATCAAAAAATTTACTTATTAAAAATCTTACAAAATCAATTCTTCCTATATCAAAATCAATATATTTTATACTTTTATACTAAACGTCTTCTATTCTATATCTTTTATATTTGAACACTGTTTAGGAAATTTTGTATCTGTTTAGCCGAAGAGTATTGCTCGTTAATAGAAAACTATGAAAGTTCAAAGAAACCAAAAGCGTGAGAAGGAAATTCCAAAGAAAGATGCAAACATGGGAAATTTTGTGACGTCACTTAAAATAATAGGCAAATTATATTTATAGTTTGTTTATCAAATCTGTACACTTTGTACACGATAATTTCAACCTTGCCAATTGTCTGTACCAAAACTGGGCTCCAGCTTTTCAATGCTTAAGCATTTAAAAAACAGGCTGCGCTCAACATGGACCAATAAACTCTTTAAAACAATAATAAAGGTTGAGCGTAAGTTGTGATAAAGTGATCACCAAGTTTGCTGACACACTATTGCTAAACAGGCTTCCCATGCTGCTAAAATCTCCAGTTCACTTCTGTAGAAATTTATGATATTAGTATCCAATTCTATTTGAACTGATTATTGATTTTTACTCAAACAAAGTTTGAATGCGAATAAAAAACTGTTGCAGAGGACAGATGTTGTTTTCCATATCTTTCAGCATTAGCGCACGCGCTTGATGACGTCATTCTTCTTAAATGTATTCATTCTTAGTGTCACTACCTACGACGCCCCTGGGGAATGGGTCCCAAAAAAAAGTTTCGCATGGAAATTTAGTCAATCCAGAAGAATACGTATTTTATAGAAATACATATGAAAAGAGACGTTGTGAAAATAAATATAACCATGGTAGAAAGTTATTGATAACCAAACAAATAAAAATCGTAACAAAAATGAAAATATAAGCAAAAAGGTGTAAAAAATGAAATTGAGTAATCGAATTGAAGATTTTACTCACTGGATAAAAAACCTTATCTAAGGTCCCCGGAGAGAAAATGATTCGTTCTTTCCCGAAAAAATTCTTTCCGAAAAAATAATATGAAGCTTCGTACACCACGACGCAGCAGTCAAGCGAGTAAATTATAACTAAGTGCTCCCACTTAAGGGTGCTGCTTCATTATAGGGAACATTGACGATTTTCGAAAAATAAAGTCGACGAAGGGTGCAAGCTTTCTTTCTGGCAGTACATTGCTGGAAAAATCAAACATGCAACAGGACTTAGAAACCAAGTGGACCTGAAGTGCCTTTCTGTTTTAAAATAAAAACCCAGATCACAAAAATTGGAATGTGAAACTTATTATTACTGATAAAATTGAAAAGACAGCTTTTAATAGATGTGATTTTTTGTATTTAACTTTCATTTGAGGTAGGGGTGTACCGGATCAGGATTTTAAGAATCTGAATTAGGTTAGGTGATAAAATTTGAAATTTGGTTAACACTTTGTAGTTAACTACTAATTATTCCATGAATGTAGTAATAACTCATTAATTTTAGACGTTCTGCTGAAAAGGACAACAAGGTCAAATTTGAGTATTAAGCAAAAAACAATTTTTCCAGGCAATCTAAATCTAAAATCCAAAAATGAAAAATTTGGCCTAAAAAGCCAATCTGGCAACCTTGGATCAAGTTTGTGAATTAAATCATCCAGTCTTCCTGTTTCGTGATGACGAGCACTTTCGTTTCAAATCTGTTTTCAAGGCGCTTGTTTTATCATAAAAATGTTATCGTCAAGTTAGTGTAGTTATTTTTTTATCGATTTGAAACATGAATTTGCTGTTTCAAGCTTGTAGAGTTTGTCAAAGTTCAAGAGTTATAGACGTTGAAAAATTGTGTCACTTTGTGCTGTGTACGGAGCAAAGTCAGCTACTCTGATAGCTTTACGTAAGCTGCGTTTTAGAAGATCCGAGGTTGATTTGTTTGCACATCAACTTACACTAACATTTTTGAAGAGAAGCGATCAAAGACTTCTTCCGAGGAATGGCGAGAAGTTGCTTTTCTTGCATCACAACCTGGGACGATTGTAGCTTTTTTATGTTTGACTGGTTTTATGTTTGACTGCCGATTGGCACGCTTCTTTTTAACTTTTAAAACTTCGTTCAAGCTTGTTCTATTGCTTTTAATTTTTGTTGTTCTTTGTATTTACACTTTTATAACTTGTTTTCTCTAAAAATTTTCTTAGTTATGATTAAAATTCTGGAAAATCCGGCAACTGGCCGGATTTCGGAAACAAATCCGGCCGGAACCGGACTTTCAAAAAATCAGCGATCCGGCGCTGATTAATGTTTTATTGCACTTAAGGCTTTAAATATAATTTGGCTCCACAAATCTTCTGTTTGAAGGGACTTACATACTTAACTAGTCGGGGTTAACCCAGCTAACTTGGAGGGACACCGTGAAAGCATTTTTACCATAAACCCTCATTTAGGCCATTGTACTAGGCCTTTTAGCTACTTTTTAAAATTACAAGAAACAAAATAAAAGAATTTTGGAAAGTTATCCAAAGAATATTGGCAAGGTGAACTCAGGGCTCTAAAAAACTCTTCTTTTGGATACAGTGGTTTGTTTAAATCAATGAAACTTTAACTTCTATTTCAGAATATCTAGACACTAACATTATTCTGACCAACCGATTTTTGGGAAACTCTAAGCTTCGTTTGATTTACCAGTGAAACTCTGGCAGCTTTGTGCACTCGTCTTGGTTGCAGCTGTGAAGCATCAGCTTAACCCAGAATGCCAAAGTACAGGAGGGAAATAGCGATAACAAAATAATAATATAAAGCAACGGAAAAAGCTACCTCATCCTCTCTGTCCCCTGACAGCTCATCTTCATCCTCATCTTCCTCTCCATTTTCTCCCTCTTCGTCTTCTTCTTCTTCCATCATTGGTTCTTCCGCTATTTCTGAAGGGTTATATCTTTGTTCTGTGTAAATAACATTAGTCAATGGATCAACTCTGAATCCTCTTCGTCGAGTGACTAGATCTTCATCGGGAATCTGGAATTATGATCAAAAGAAAACATCAGAAACTGAATCTGAAATTACTTTGGGAAAAATTCAAAGATTTGTTTGGTGATCCAACAATCAGACATCAAATGGGACATAAGGAGAGAAATCAATAAGTTGTCCGAGAATTTATGCAAACAAAACAGAGCAAAGGGCCCATGCCACGAATTTCAAGGTGGAGGGGCCAAGTTCTAAAAGACGAATTTGAATTTAATGCTTCAAAACAAGGCCTCTTTGGAAATATTCTGCTTACCAAAAAAGTGAGAGGGGGGCATGGCCCTTCCACCTTGAAAATTGCTCAAAGCACCAAATCAGCACAACAAGGTATAACTTTGAGCGTAGGGTTGCTTTCCTTATCTTTTTTTCGAAGTGTTTGCCGCAAGCGGGGAATATCGGGGTGCCAAAATATCACATTGCTAGTATATTCATTATAAGATTTAGCTTGTAAAATGAACCAAAGAGTGACTACTTACCCTTAAGTTGATGATGAAGTCTGGAGGCAATGGCAATTTTCTGATGAACTCGAACTGATCATCAATCGACATGTACTCCTCCGATGTGCAGGGGAAATCGTCCAAAATGTAACCTTCAATAAAGAATCGATTTCCATTGGCAGATAACCTCGATAATTTCAATTGATTTTATTTAAATCTACACATATATCTGCATAGCAGCTCACATACCTCGAGTTCACAAACAATCATGCTGGATTGTAAATAAGCCTAAACACAATTTGTTTTTGCTTTATAATACCCATCAAAGAAGGTGAGGCCCTTGGAAAAGCACGATTAGAGTGGTGGATGCAAGAAAACAAAGTGGAAGATCTAGGTTGACTTGCTAAAGATTGTGTGAGTAAATCTAGGTTTATCGAATGGGTGAAGTATGCTGTAGAAACGGATGGGAGCCGGCGATCATCAGCCGAAGCTTGTATTAGAAAAGATCTGACTCTAAAATTACAAAGAGAGAATGAAAGTAGCACCCATTTATTTACATGCAGCAATTTCACCCGACAAAGACTGAAAAACATTACTAAAAGTTAGCAGGGAGAAAAATCTCAAGGATTTTATTCAAAGATTGACTTTCATTTTTGACAAAAACATTCATCTTCTCGAATTTTAACTATTAGCAAGTAACAGAATACTTATGGGTGTTGTGTGTGCTCTCGGATTTCTGAATTCGATATATATTCTAATACTGTCGCCTTATGCAGTCGCCTTATGCAGAGATATAATATTCGTACTTGCTTTAAGTTAGGTATATCACAGAAATACTTCATAGAATATTCGCTTAAAAACACGTACATGAAAAGTTTGAATTGAAGTGAAAGAGAATAATAGCTTTTCCGTGCTTTGTAATATCTCTTTCAAAATTTCAGCAAGAAATTGTCCGATATTTGGTTTTTGGTATGCCTCAATTCGAGAACCCATCCAGAAGTTGTTTTGATTACAGTGGTACGTAAAACCAAAACATATAACATAATACTAAAGTACTTTTTTCAATTAACAATTCTCGCAGTTAAAAAACATCGTATAGCAACCAAATATTAATTCTTTATTCAGATGCTTATTCAAAGTAAAGTAAAAAGAAAAATTGATCTTTTCCTTGTTTTCATCGCTTCATCAATAACTGCCGTCCCAAAGTGGAGAAACAGGACAAGGAGGAAAAGCAAGCGCTATCCATCACAAAAACCTTATGTCACACAACGAAGATACCTGTTGTACTGCCACAAGTTGCTTTCATCTATCTATGCTGTAAAACTGCACAAGACATGACAATAGCAGCATGAAAATATACACTTCTTATCGAGGAACTATCGCATTTTGAAGAGCATGCTATTTTATCGTAATAATTTAATAAAAGCTAATAAAATGTTTACCATAATGTGAAACCTCTGGCGAGTTGAGTCTTTCCTTTAATATTTGCAAAGTCAAGTCTTCCGAAATATTTTCACCTTTGTAGAGAATTTCTTGAGCCTGATAAAATTAAAATTAAATAAAAGTAAAAAAAACATGTCTAGGCCGCTTTAAATGACGAGATATTGTGACGAAGTATCAATTGAGTTTTGGGAGAAAGATTATGAAGCTAATTGTGAATGGCTGCATTGTATTGCATGGTGCATTAAAATCTATCACGCATCAAGTATGAGAACCTGCCAATGTTAAAGCCATTTAAAAACAAATCTCCATTTGCATGTGTTTGCAGATGTACCCTTTCCCTATCCCTTATAATTCGATTGAGTTTCTTTTATAAAATGATTTTAAAACCACCATTTTATCCCTCTTTCCTCCCATTTATTGAGGGAAACATACAGTTTTCCTTGTTGACGATAACAACGAAAATACTGTAAGGCTAGAACTTCATAAAAATGTCTCTCCCAAGATTTACTTTCCTATTCCATTTAAGTCTCTTGTCATTTTGAGAAAACATTTCTAAAAACTGCGAATAGTCGTGAATCGGGAATAAAAAAACACCTCACTAATGAGCAAATACCCGCTAAAAAATTTCAATATTTTTTTAAATTTTTTTAGGGCTCACACCCATGTACCACAAAGGGGCCTTACAGGGGCACTTAAATTCAGTGTGCTAGCCTATGCCTCTATAGGTTGAGGATTTTGAACAACTCCTTTATAGCTCCTGAACAGGGGCGGATCCAGAGGACATTTTAAGGAAGGGCCGTTGATAGTGGGGGCGCTGAAAAACAAGAGTACGCAGTATACAACAATTCCAGACCTTAGTTACTGACAAAAGGCTCTCTTTTAACGTTTTAAAGGGAAATATTATAATAATTGTGCCAAACAGTCTCCAAAAAGGGCCATCAGACTTGCTTCAGCTTGGTAAGGGAGGGGCAACCCCCCTCCCTTTAAATCCGCCACTGCTCCTGAATACCCATGTCATTTCTATTAAAAGGGCTATGTTAGAATAAATGAGTTTAACCTGCTTTCCCAAGTCTGTTTGTAATTCTATTGCTTGTGCGATGCTGTTTGGTGCTATAAGACAAAAATGAATGCTCAATAATAAATTAGTTTGTTTGTTGTCTATAAAGCAATTTTATATCTAAAAAGCAATTTTAGTTAACTGATTCAAGAGGAAAATCTAAGGGTAAAAGTTAAATTTGAATGAATTGATAAATATCTAGATTAATAACAGTTTAATGTTAAAGACTTATCAACTCATGTATGCATACAGTAGTATTTTGAAGTAAGAAAGTAAAAGATTAGGGCATGTAAATTAGTCATAAGTCAACCATGTTTAGGAAATCAGTATCAGAAAGGAAAGGAGGGAAATATCTTCTTAGCTGGGCTACCCCTGGTTGAACTAGAAGTAGCTTGAAATAAATTGGGATACATCAGAAAATGCATGAATCTCAGACAGTTTGACAAATGACTGATAGGTCATTAGCACTAACATGGGCACTAACAAATTGAGAAATGGGCGAAAAGGTTGGAAGATATGAATCATCAACACAAGTTTCTGCATCTGGACCAAGCTTTGTCCTCAGGTGTACCACAAAGAGGAGTGCTAGTGAATGCACTTCAACCTCTGTTGGTCAATAAACCATTAAGGCTATCACACATGTTTCCTGTTATCTGAAAATTATGATTTATCTCTGGGCTTCAGGCTTTTTAATCAAAAATTACTGCACTGGAAGGAAATGTCACAAAGCCTCATGATCCTATATCTATGTTCTAACAAAGGAACACTAAACAATTACCCTGCTTGTATCCACTCTGTGACAGATATTGGGGTAGTTTTAGGAGCACCAGTACCCTTTGATCTGACCTATTGTCTTTGCTGGCTTAGTATAACCAGAAGTGGCAAAGCTGGAGTACCCATGATGGAACAGTGAGCTTATCACCTGCTACTTTTCTCTATGCTACATATGTATTGCATTCAAGAATTTAATGTTCTTGAAATTCAATTTATATCAAATTTGATGTACTTTATATTTAAATGCATCACCCTGAACTTTGTCCAACCAAAATGAGTCTTTATCTAAATCCCATAAAAACTAAATACATTCTAGTAAGTAAATTTTACTAGGTTTGATACTGAATAACACTAGGTAAAAACCATTTACAATTTAGTTCACTATTTCACTCACCATTAACAAACTGACATTTCCAGATTCTTGCTAAGTTTCTACAGATAGTAGTTTTTCCTGACCCCTACAAAATGTGACAGATAACTAGATTAAATGCAATCATTTTCAATAATACATTATAAAAAACATAGAGAGCTTGAGAAAAATTATGATTGGAAAAGGTGCTTCAGAAACAGGCAGTTCAGCTCATTATTTCTTTATTGCTTTTATTTCTTTTTCTATCATAATTATTGCTTTTATTTCTTGCTATTTTAGCTATACTGTATTTTTAAGTATTTTGAGATGCATTGCCCCCTTTTATAGTACTGAAATGTCATGAATTAACATGACACAGAGGTGGATCCAGACTACATTCTACATTTAAGATGCAGAAGCATAAGTCAGAATTTTATGCATCAAAACAAAAATGAAAACTATGAAAATCTTAAATCAATGGTTCAGTAACTTTTTTCCTAGGTCATACCAACAGCATGCATCAGACAGAGTATATTTTTTGCTGATTTGCTTTTGGCCTCAGCACAGAACTGTCATGTGGTGATTCTAGGCATTTATCTGGTCCGTGTTTTCTGAATCCAGTAGTTTTTTTACTTTCGAGAGCCATTCAACACTTGCTTGACCAATGCAAAAGTCTTTTAAGCCAATCAGAATGTCATTTATTCTTTTATTCTGCAATATTGGCGTGAGCAAAGGTGAGATTTGATTTATCAAATCAGACGTCATTTTTGCCTCTATTGACCAATGAAATGCAATTGTTCTATGCAATTGTCTGCTGTGACCAATGAAATGGAAGTTGACAATTGCTATTCACCCCTGCCTAGAAAGTTCCAGCTTTGAAGTGTCAACCAGGTAGAGTTTTGGTATTTCAACTATCCTCCAAAAATGGGTGGTCTTGGTAAAGATCCTACTATTGTTGGGCAGAATTTTTCCTGCAGGTGAATTCAGCCTTTCATCCATTTGTAGATTGGTCCCCTCAACTATTTTCTTAACCCCCTTTTTAATATCAGCATTCTTTTTTTATTCCAACAAATTTGGGCATTACAAATACAAAAGGACATGGTTTCTCTTTCTGACAAACTTTGCATAGGTCAGAACTCAGGCTGAATCCATGCCTTAATGAATGCAAAATTTGATTTATGTTTATTGAAACTGTTATTTCATGATGAATAATCTGTCTTTCAAAGGCACTAATCATTTTGCTGGATTAATTTAAAAAATGATTAGTTCATTAACAATTGATCAGACCCATCCATTTTTTATTCTTTCATATACATTTGAATATAAAATATTTAAACTCACAGGTTTCCCAAACACAATGAAGCATGTAGGCTTTGATAAGAGAAACTTTCTCTCTGTCTGTATGAATGAAATAGAAAACATCAAAGTAAAATTACCAAATAAAGATTAATTTGCCAAAACAAGAAACAAATCGCCTAGGCTTTGGTGAAATTGGTCTGGTGGTGTTGTGCATGGAGATAGGCTAATATTGATTAGCTCTTATTTAAAGTTTACTAAAGTTTAAATACTAACAACCATTTTTAGAAAGTAATTATTTAATCCCCTAGAAAAATTCCACGCTTAGTTTCCAACAGAACATTAAACAATTAGGGCTATCAATATACGTAATTTATTGATCAAATAAAACTACAAAAATATAAACAATAGTTTTTAATTCTTGACCTATCGGATAAATATACTCGAGAAAGTGACGTTTCAAATGGTGAAAATGTCCTACTAGGCTTAACATTTGGGGACTTTTTGAGCGAACGAAGTACCTGCTAGAAAACTCTAAATTTTCTGGATTGTGAATTTTTAGATTTATCAAAAATATCGACAGTTGCTTCCCTTATAAACTGCTAAAACTGCATGTACAGTATTTGGAAAGATTCCAATCAAATAATTGAGGAAATAGGCCAGTTGGTTACCTCGTCTTCGTCGAAAGGATCAATCTCTTCTACAGTTGATGAAATCCTTTGACTGGAAATGGCAGAAGTTGGTCGCCTGTCTTTCTTCATGTTGCTAATCCAGCATTAAGCTAACAAACCTTGTTTCTAAATTATTACATGCAGTCACTGAAAGGTCAACTTCAGATTTATCTGATCAACAACAAACATGTTGCGGTTATAGATCGAGTGCCATTTTGTGTACAGGGAAGATGTCGCTATGGTGACCAGATGTACGGCCTGCCGATCCGTTACGACAGGGATACAAGCCAAAATTTTGGATAGCAGAATTTCAAAAGTATATCTTTTTGCCATTTTGCGGTTCTTCTCTAAGAATCTGCGACGTTCTCGGCAAAGAGTTTGTAATTATCTATTCCTTGTATTTCTAATTTCACTTTTCTCATATCTGATTCGTCAGTTTTATTCAGGCCATTTTAACTGAACAGATAAATCTAGAAAATAAATGAAACATCGCCTTGAGCCTTGATGGTTTGCGGGGGTCCAAGCTCCCCCCCCCCCCTAATATTTCTGTGTTCTTCGGTAAATTCTGCTTTGATTCGGTGAAAAACTATTTTTGGTGTCAGTAGCAGCAAAATGATGCAAAAAAAACGTTTTGAAAAAAGAAAACGTTATCTTGGATCATTAGCATAGACATGCCTGTAAAAATCATGAAAAAAGCAAATTTTCCAGCTTTATAAGAAGAAAATGCTCTACCATAACAAAAATTAAACATCGCCGACGAATACACTCATTTTTTTATAAGAAACAAAGGTCGATGTTGAGTACTCCAGTTTCTTAATGGTCTGGAAATTTCAATACTCACTGTTTCTTAAGAGTTTCTTAATTATGATTTCATATAAATGATGTTATGAAATGTTCGTGACCTTTTTTGACGTCAAGAGATTCGCTTCCCTTCTGACGCTGTATTTAGACGTAGAAAGTATAGTTTTATCCCTTGTGTCTAAATTTCTAGGCCAACAGGGCAATCTTGTTCTTGGCTTTTACAAAATTTCGTTGTTCTCAGTTTTATCACGATTTAATAGTTTCTTAATTTTTTTGCTTCGAGAACTGAAGTTTCTTAATTTTTTCTGACTGTCCAGTACTCGTTTCTTATAGCCAGTTTCTTATGAAAAAATGAGTGTACTATGCTTCTCCTTGAATGTTACGCAGTTTTAAAAGTAGCTTGAATAAATGCAATAATTTAATAAAATTGTAGCGTTTTCGTTGATGAAATAAACTTTGTTTGAAGCTTAAAAGTTTGATTTTTTCGTTTCTTTTATAAATTTCTTTGTTATGCAAACGTGAAATTAGAAAGTTGAATTTGTTCAGACATCTCTAAAGTTTTGTGAAGGTCATGTGCCTTTGCCGTTATTAGGCCATACAACCCTTCTGTATATTTTGCTGTTATATTCAGGAAAATCGCAAGAATTCTATGTTTTTATTGTTATGCTTCAAAAGTTGATGTATTTCTTTAACTCCATTTTTGGGATACGTAGGCCTAGATTATTTTTGGGATGGAGAAAGACCGCCCAAATCTGAAAAAAGTTTCTGTTGCAAACCGAATCCAATGCAACGCAATAATTCGTTTATCGAGTTTTTCCCTGACACTCTTCAGAGTATACGGCGTCAGAACATAGATAAAAAATTATACGCTAGGAAATATGTATACCAAGTTGTGGATCAAAATAGTCCAATCAGAAACGCTAGCACACGACTGTCGAGATTCAGGTTCCCCAATCAGCGCCGCTAGCCTATTGGAAATATTACCAATGGAGTTTAAAGGTGAAAACGAACTCTTTCTTACTTCACAATAGTGATTTGTCCTGTTTATTTCGATAGATTTCAAAACTGCCGAGTTTTCGATCTTTTTTCTGACGTTTTATACTCTGAAGAAAGTGTCAGACAAAAAGCTTTATTACTATGTTTCAAAATGTTTGCCTTTTTCAAAATAATTCCATATCCTGTACTACAAAACGATTGTTGCAAAAGTGGATATATTTATCTTCTTGTCTTTTTTCTTTTCAAGTTTAAAAACTGAACTTCCATTGGGCGTTTTCTTCATTTTCCAGTCACCTGAAAAGAGTAGCAAAAATCCTGCCATTATCTAACATCCCCAGTCCTTGCCACTTAAATCTGTCCCTAACTTGCATCTGGTATCTTTATTTTCTTGCTTTTGCTCACATGGTCACAACTTTACCATTGTACAGTTTTTCTCATCCCTAGGAAAAAGCGCCCACCTTAAACTTGAAACTTGTTTTACGATGGCAGCAGTGTAGAATTTTGTTCATCAATACCATCCTATACTTTTTTTAAAAACATCAGATAATTTATTGAATATTTCAGAAATTTACATGAAGTAAGGACAAGAGTATTTTGTTATTTAATGCTTTACAAGCGTCCATCAACACCAGCCCCCTCCCCCACCCCTTTGCGTTCATTCTGTGGTATAACATCTTGGTTTTGTTACATAGAATCATTAAAACTGAATTGGCCTGAAGACTTTCCTTATAACTGCAAAACAATTCGCACCTAGATGTTTAAAATGTTCAAAAATACCCCGGTGCTCCCTAGAGTTAAAACTACGCTTTAGCATGTTTCCCCAGAAAAACTTCGGAAATTGAGAAGCCTCTGAATATTTCTTAGCTTTAAAAAGGTATTCGAAGACTTTCGATCACTTTCTTAAAGTCTCCGCAAATCACACCAAGCATTCCGCAATGTAGAATTTTTGTAAAGCAACAACTTCCTCAAACTTCTGGAGTTTGTCAAAATGACTTTTAGATTTATTGGAAGCACCCCATTCGAGGTGTCAAAATGGATTTGATAGGAATTTTAGTGGAATGCAAAGATCGTATACAGCCATGCACGTTTGAAAGTGGATGGAACATTTCAGGCGACTAGAAAGACATTATTGGCTGCTTGCAAGCTCACAATTCGCTATTTGAAATTTAGAACAGATTTTGGGCAATGTTGGCTATTATCACTATTTGCAACCCACTTTGAATTCACTTGGAACATCAAATAGAGATAAAGCTGGCAATAAATCTCTAACTGAGTTCCCTCAAACAGTCGCTACAAATTTTCAAATTTTCTTCTTTACAAAAAGCATCTTCATTTGAGCTGCGGGGGTAGGCAAAGGCCTTGGAGTAGTGGCCTTTTCACCGTAGTCTCCATTCACCCTCACTGCCCATCGTAGTTAATAAAAATGCTATTTTGTCCTTAAAAGTACAAACGACTGTTTACCTCAGTTTTTTTGACAAGAATATTCTAGAGAACAGGGTTAAGGGTCTGGTTACAGGCTACTACATCGCTGCATGACCTTCCTCCGGTCAACAGCCGTGGAACCATATATTTTTGGACTCTGAAAATCAGAAACAGTTACTAAACTTTAAACACAAAGCCAAAATTAGAAGAAAAAGCTTAATTTTTAAAAACCTAGAAGTCAAAAATTTTGTGAAAACTTATTACTGTGATTTTCAAGTGGGCATAGGAAACGAAAATGTCACTGACATTTTAAAACAACAGAAAATCTGAAGAGCCTCACTGTTTCTAGCTTCAAAATTCCTCCCCAACAAGTTTTGAACAGAGATTTCAACAACCGTCTGAGTTTCCAAAATTTACTTTCGATTTCCTCTCTCCTGCAGAGATATGACACTGAAGCCTGGAAAGCAAGATTGGTTTTGCAGGTTTTGGGGAAGCTTTTGAAGTTACAGGGAAAGAAAAGACAACTTTGACAAAAATCTCGAAAAGCTATTTCAAAGGGGTTCTTTCAATAACTTTAAGCCGATAAATAAAGACATCACTAACTGGTGCTAATTAACCCATTACACATATTGCGATAAAATCCCTTTCGTTTCTGCTACTTCATATTTAGGATCTTTCCCAATTAGGATATGTTGTTGGCATCAAGGTAAGCTGGTAATCAAGGCATCAAGGTAAAAGTTGCTGGACATTCATTGCATCTCTACGCAGTGGCATTTTTACGGGGGGAGGCTAGGGGCCACAGGGGCCACAGGGGCCACAGGGGCCACGCCCCCCATAAATTTTCTTTGCCCCCCAAAATTTTCAAAAGTTTTTATAAATAATTCAATGTTTTCTTCCAAAGCTGTTCATTCGATTTTGACTTTGTTAGGGTTGCTCTCTTTATTCTGCTTAATGCGATCTTTATTGCATTTATTTAACAAGCTAAATAAGCGTTTTGGTTTGTAACCGAGGTGAACATTAATGAAATTTAGGCTTCTTTCTGTAGTTACCAAGGAAAATTCATCTTGACAATCATTTAAATTCTATATTTGTTATATATTATCACGAAATTACATCTTCTTGGGGTGGGGAGTGCAGGTTATGCCCAAACCAAGATTCTCTGCATCCCATTGAAAACCCTTTTCACTATGGAACCCAGCGCAGGGAAATACCAATACAATCCCAGTATACCTTGGCAATCTACTATTGCTTATCGGAATTCTATGATTTGAAATTCTGTTTAACAGAATGATTTGCTTGATCTCATGGAGGTTGAATATAATACATAACTACTATGGAGAAATTTTACCGATCGACTTTACAAAGCCATTAGACTTTTATTTTTCGAAGGATAGTTCTTCTGTTGAAATTCTAATGTTCAAGATGCATTATTGTTAAATAGATAAAACTCAGTGGAGCAACAGAACAAAGTTACTTTTAGTCAAATAACAAAGGGTCCCGAACCTTTAGGGGCCCCCAGCCACAATTTTCTTTATTTTTTCCAAGGGGACGCAGCTGCTCCTTACGCCACTAAAATAAAACTATTTGGAATAATGATAACGGCCTTGATAGAGCTCTACCAAGAACATACTTATCTAGGGAGCGCTAAAAATCGGTGCCTCGTAGCTAATTTCGAGCCACCACGTCAATGCTCTACATTCTGCTAGTTCGCAAAGTAATCGCTAGCGTTGACCCTTATAACTTGAGTGTTTGGCCCCCAGATTTTTAAGGCTAGATTCGCCACTGTTGCCACGCTCCTTGTCTTAATGCAAACATAGTACCACACCAATATTTTAAAGAATACAAGGATCAATAAAATTCATTTTTAAGTGATTGATGGAAAGTTCGCTAGTATTTATAAGAACTCCATTTCAAGCACTTAGCCTAAAGTTTGAGGTATGTTTGCAATTCAATGCATGTTTAAAATTTTATTTGCCATGACCATGAGAGATCTGTCAAGGATATCCTACACCATTCCAGACCTTATTTGCCAACGTTGATTCTGGTAAGCTATTCTGATGATGAAAGACACCGTTTTGAAGGCGTTGTAGATATTCTATATCGTGCTTTGGAAACTTTCTTCAAATGACACTTGCACAAGCCATATGGCTTGAATAAGGGCTTTATATAACGCTGATCAGCTGGCATTTAGAAAGAAAAGTTTTCTTCTTTTTTATCCTATAAAGATCCTCTCGTATTTTCCATTTCATGCACATTAATTGCTCATTCCAGTTCGTCATTAATAATGTTTCCAAGTAACTCAATTTTGTTAACTCTCTCTGTTTCGAAATCATTCACTTTTACAGGGTTTTCTATAGATAATCTCTTTATTTTACCTTTTCCAACGATAACATATTAGTTTCTTGTGGATTCGGGTTTAATGTTTCTCATCAATGCAAAGACTTAACTTAACACCTCTTGTGCTAAGTGAAGTAGATTTACTGTCACTTGCAAACATTTTCAGACAGTACATTGCTTCAAATCCTGTTCTGCATTCATTAAATACATATTGGTTGAGCCTAACCTCACATTCGTGATGTTAGCACAATGTTTTGTTTCAAATGTTCGCAAGCATCTTTCAAAATTTTTGTATCATGTATTAATACAAATAGACCAAGGGACAATCTTTGCGGAACACCACAAGTAACTTCGTGATACTTGAAGCAGCCTATGCAGAAGGGCTTTCTATGTAAAAGATGCGACTATTGACCAGAATAAATTCTTGTGACATGTGTCTCTTGTTTCCAAGTAATATGTGGGAAACACAGAATATTGCCAAGTTTAAAGATAATGTGTCCAGCTAAAGCAAGCAGCTCTGCGGAGGTTTTCAGAAACGTGATTTTTCATGTCATCGCCCCAGCCATTACGGTCGCTCTGTTTATCTACACTGCTGCGAGGCTAGCTTTTCATGTGAGCAGTTTTGCATCTCAAGAATATTGACCAATCGTAAGCCGTTATTGCACAGCTGACCAATTTGATGTTACTTGACAAGTTGGGTATGTATACCTAATAAACGCAGTCCTTTATGCGGACACAATACCTTTAAGTTTCTTCCGTCTATATAAGTATACCACAGTTTTGGTACTATCAATTATAGATGCAAATACTATCGAGTGCCGATTGGCTTCTATGGTTTACAGAATGCTGATTGACTTGGTACTAATTATTGAATCTGAAGGAATCTTCTAAATGGCCATTAGTAATTCTCTCTAGTTTTTATGAAGAACAGAAAACTACTAAGACCGGTGTCATTTTTTGATCCAGATTTTAACATCTGAGTAGCTCTGGAAAATTTCCATGTTTTTCGCGAAAATCATCCTAGTTCATAAATTCAATAGCGTAGTTAAAATTAAAATCTCGAGAAAATCACGGAAATTAACTCGAAAAATCAGAGTCTACATTCCAAAAAGCCAAAACTTGCTGCAGCTCATTTCATTGGTTCCTCCTTACAACTAGCTGCTACTCCATTTGTTCTGTATATGCCTTCAATACATATTGGCCTTTAAAACATATTCATCAGTTCAACAAAACTACTTGACTGTTGAGAATTTCTTGCTCTTCATACTATTGTAAATTTTTAAATAACGGGAAGAGGAGCGCAAATTCCAGGAACATAAATGTGACAGGGATGATAAAAGATCTGATGGCTTTCACATATATAAAAAGAATTTATTTGTGAACATTTTATTGACAACATACGAAAATTTGAGACAGTTGCTGATTTTCCAACTCTCAACATCCATATCATCGTTAATTCTTTAGAAAATTTATAATGCTTAAACGAACAGTTCGTTACTTGGGAAAACAGGCTGATAGAATGTTAGACTTCTGAAGCAGAAATGTGATTGACATTTAAGAACTTTGACAAGGCAGCATCAAAGATGTAACGATTGAGAAATAATTCAAATCACTGACCCATGAATCCATGTAAATGATTTATTTTCACATACACCAGTCATACAAAAAAACACTTCATACACAAAACACGAATTTCTAAACATAGATCATGATAACGAACCATAAACAAAACAAACAAAAAAACAAAATTTCATTTTTTGCTTTCACTGAAATGTAATTCATTCCAAAAAATAACGTTCCTTTTAAACTGAAATCACTTTCCTTTTTGCCAGCAAGCTAAATTTGTTATTGTAATAGTTAAAATTTTATGACCACGTTGGAAGCATCTATTCAGGTAAAAGCTGAAGCAAGGCCTCTTTTGTCCTGATTGGCAAATGATTTGGGAACTGAATGTCAAATGAAATAAGCAGATCACCAATTTGCTCTGGATGCTTTGGCCTTGGGAGACCTCCACAACGAATTATCTTTGTAGATGTAGGAGTCACAATTTCATCAATAGAAACTTGAAACATTTTGCCACTTATAGTCTTTATTTCTAATTGTGTTCCAGTAAGTGCTTCTCTAAGAGAAATCCTTGCCGTATAAAGCAAATTGTTGTCTTTGTCTCTTTTAAATAATGGATGTTGCTTGTCTTTTATCACAAAAACAATATCTGCCGGGACTTTGTCCCTACTTTGATGTCCTTCCTTTGCAAAAGTGATCTTTGTTCCCTCTTTCCATCCCTTTTTAACAGTTATTTCCAATATTTTCTGTTCTTCTCTAGTTGTATACCCATCTGGATTCAACACCCTCCTTGAAACCTAACAAAACAAATATACATATTTAAAAAGCCAAAGCCAGATGACCCCAAGTCTTATACCTTCAAGGGTGAAATTGGCACATCATTTTTTCGCATCAAGTGCTTCTAATGCCTTTCATTTCTTCACAGCTACTTGCATGTGCAGGACCGAATTAGCCCAAAGGCCAACTTAGCCATGGTGGGCCTGCAGTAATTTGGGCCCTGTGCTAAATTAAACTTATCTATCGATGAAGATCGCATCACTGGAATAGAATACTGGGGCGGCATCACTGGCATCAGGTTGGAAACTTTGTGCTATGTACAGAATATGTATTTACAAAATGGGCTATGTGCACGAAGTTTAATTGTTTCAAACATTGCTCTTTCACTATTGGCCAAGACCTGTGGTGTGACTTGTTTCTCTTGGAAACAGAACCAGACTTGAGCAGTAGAGTCGCAAAATGATGACATCAAAAATATTAATATCAAAAATAATATATTTGCATCAAAAATATGCAAAGTTCTGTTTATGGCATTTGCTGCTTGCTAGTGAATTACTGTTAATTCAGCTTAGTTCAAAATTTTAAAGCTGATTCAAGCCACCCCAGGGGGGGTGCTCCCATTATGGCCTGACAGGGGGGTTCTGGTCAGGGTAAAAGAGGTCATTCTGTACGCTGAAATTTTACAAAATTACACTCAGATGGTAGTACTTTTTGAAAAAACTCCACAAATGGTAGCATAAAAACTGAAATTATTTCCTTGGTAGCATCCATTTCTTTGTGCTCTCCTGGTCCTTTTTGACAATTTTTTTCATAATTGATTGTTGTTGTTTCGGGAAAGATAAATTTTGTTCATTATCTATAACAAATCGCAAGCTAAACTGAGCAGTTAAGTTATTATTGAAAATGGGCCATTTGGTAGCCATTCGGTAAGACCCTGAAACGGACTGGACCCCCCTGTCAGGCCTTAATGGGAGTACCTTAATGGGAAAGTTACACAAAATCTAGCACACCAGACTTTTAATAAAATGTCCTTTCTTGTCTACTTAGACCTTACTATACAATAAAGACCAAAAATATAATTTGGCCTTTATCTTTTATTCTTATTTGCTTCATCATTGTATCTTTTTGCATCTTCTTTTAAAATTCTAATAAGCTTCAACAAAACCTTAAATTGTAAACTCATACAAAAAACTGACGAACCAAACACCAAAATGACATAAACAGTGCTCTTCACACTTCAGTGTCCAATAGGCAATTCTCAGTGCCTTTAACAACACCACTTTAAGTTGCTAAGATTATATAAATGTTATCTTCTAGTATTTCTTGTAGGTGTTATTATTGTAAGTAATGTTGTGGAATAAATTAAATTTAATGAAATACATTTTTAGAAACATGACCAGAGAACAGTGAAGAAAGAAAACATATACAATCTGTAACAGATCTAGCTGACTTTGCAAATTTTGAAGTTTTTAATTATGTTTTTATGATATTCTCAAGAAGACTGTTACGACATCAACTCATTGCCACCCTTCAAGGCCCTGAAAAGAATGTCTGGCCTAGGATCCCTCAGAGCCTTTATTATGACCCAGTACATATGCATGAAAAATGATGACTAAGTTAATGGAATAAATGTGAGTCAGAAAAAAGATGGCTTCAATAGTGTGGGTAAGATAAGTAATTCACTTAGAATCAGTGAGGATCTTTTAATCGCTTCTTTCAAGCAATTGAGGGTACTGAGGTGCATAGCCAGGCCTAAAACAGCCAAACCTGACTTCCCAACAAAAGAAGTCAAAATCAACCAAAAAATCAATGGACACTTTTTACACAGTCTACAGTCTACAGATAAGTACAGCCTATGTAGTACATAAGATAAAATAAAATGACAGCCCTGTGTACATAAGAAATATAAAATCAATGAAGATCACATAGATATTCACAAAGATAACTTGAAATTTATTATCCATTTTTCTACATGCAACAGGAAATAAAATAAGAATTTTGCAAGAACGATTTTAAAAGATTCAAAAAGAAAAGGTTTCCATTACCTTCATTTTCTTTTTACAGCCAGAAAACAATTCTTCATAGGTCACATTAAGGTCATACTGTATGGGTGGATCTTGCCTTGGCTTTGAAGAGGAAAATGGAACATCCTCAAACTCCATGGTATTTGTAGGATGGCCAGGCCTTCCACGACCTCTACTTCGCCCAGCATGGCTAAAACCAGGAAACCCACCAAAGCCACCAAGGTTTTCAAAGATATCTGCAATGTAAGCTTGTGTTGATTAAGATATGGACAAAAACGATCCTCAACAAGACTTCTGATTTATATTTTACCTAGGCGATCCATATTGCATGCCTTTAATTTCAAAGCAAATGCTGGCAAGTGACAGCCAGTTGATGTGTGTGTATGATCTTACTTTAATTTGAAATGCAAAAGCTTATAGTTTTTAACTAAAAAGTAAAAAGAAATTTATCTAATTTGATTAAAAAAATGATAAAAAATATTCCCATATTGAAAAATTGACAAAAATCAAAATTCATTTAAAAAAACCGATACATTCCAAACTCCTAACTGATTCCAAATATAACTGAGTACACAGACACAACTGATTATTTTTGCTAGATGAGGCTGAATTCATTTCAATTATATAATTCAAAGCTCTTCATATCTACACAAATTGCAGCTGCAACACATGCCAGACAATTGTTTTATCAGTCATTTGAGGTTAACTGTTTCTCAGGTTATAATCCTAGTTGGCAAACTATGCATCATCTTTGCACCCAAAGATCTAAGGCTGCTTGTGTCTGCAAAGTTCTTATGAAGAAAATCTTCACAGTTGATGAAAATATCCCACAAGAATTCAATGACAGGATACTGTTTGAGTGCAAAAATATAAGATATCTGTAGGACACAAAGGAAAGTGATTTCAAGATGGGAGTTTTGAACTAAACAAGTTTAATATTGCACAAAAAACAGAAGCAATTTGTGACACTGTCCTCCATTGTACATCTGACATGACACCTCAAACTGGCATTGTCTCTAACATCTCCTGATTTAAGTGTATATTTCAAGTTGCTTACTTAGTCCTTAAGCTGGCCATGCAGTTTCTTTTGTCACACAGTAGAGACCATATAAATCAGGCCTTGCAAGGAGCGGCACTCAAGCTCGCGCAAGCCCCTGTTTTAGGAGCTTGATAAATCAAACACCTAGCATATTTAAGCTCTCTGAAAAACCAAATTTCATTATTGATGATATTTGATGATGCTCAATTGAATTCCTAGAAAGTTTAAGGTGCTCAGTTTGTCAAGCGCTTGCTTTTTGCTCCTCACAAGGACTGATATAAATGCCCCTAAACTCAAAAGCAATTAAATAGGGAATGAAACCGATGAAACAATCACCATAACATGATCCCAGACTTCCCATCACTAAAAGTTACAGATGAACAAAGGTGAACACTAACTTATACTTGGGTGTAATCATTCCAATCACCAGTTCCATATTCAAAATTTGAAAAACTATTCCAAAGTTTTATTATAATTTTATTAGCTTCAGGTGGTATTTGGAAAACTACACCAATCCCACATCCCACCTGCCAAAGTTGATTTTATTTCTTATTGAATCCCAGTGGTGTAATGAGAATGTACTAAAATGGTTAGTTTGGATGCTCATTTTTGCAAATAACTCAAGCATGCAAGGTTTTAATAATTGTTTCCAAGTTTGCAGCAAGCATTGGCTGGTTTTTGTTAACATTTGATTTGGTGATGCAACTGCAAGGCGATAATTCTATAAATTGTAAAAGGGTATTAACTAATTTGTGACAGATCCACGTTAAAATTGCTATGAAAGTGACTTGAAAATAAACGAGCTTTAAAGAAAAAATAAAATTAACATATTCATACTTGCAAATGGGTCTTCATCGCCAAACACTGTCCTGAATGTTTCATTCGGGTCGATATTAAATGATGTGAAGGAAAAACCTTCTGGCATCTGGAACCCAGGACCACCACCACTGGCTCCAACATTTCCCTTCAGACCTTCCTCTCCATATCGGTCGTAAATTTCTCTTTTTTGAGGGTCACTCAGTGCCTCATAAGCTTCAGCAACTTCCTTGAATTTCTCCTCAGCCTCTTTGCTACCTTTGTTTTTGTCAGGATGATACTTCAAGGCCAACTTTCGGTAGGCCTTTTTAACTTCATCAACAGTTGCAGTTCTTGGAATATTGAGAACTTTATAGAAATCCTTCCCCATGTCTTGCGCTTTTTAACAGGCTTTACTTCAACCTGTTATGTTATCTCTGCGTTCATACACCGACTGACCTACAGAAACTTCCATGAGCTTCGAGAACGAGTGAAGAGTGGACAAAAAAGTTGCTGTTGTGTTCCTTCACAGGGGTAGAGACCAGATTATCAAAAGTAGATTACTTAGAATTTTGTCTTGTCTCATCGAGCCAGAGCCACAAATTTGAAAGTTATAAAAACGGAGGAACTGGGTAGTATAAATCGTATTTTTGAAGATTCCAAAGCCATTTGCCTTCCAAAATTATCGCGCCGAAAATGTAGTAGCAACTACTAAAAACAACTGAAGACGTATGTTGTTGTGCTACGCAGCCACTAGAAAGATCTAGTGGATCTGAGGCTGTTCCAAAATGTTCTAGATAATTCCATGGAATTTTTGCGATCAAAACAAATGATATAAAAGGAACGGCAAGAGCAGATCAATTCAAATCAAAGATATTCATCAGATGGATAGAAACTGAGACGAATAAGACAAATTTTACGCACATGTTGATGTTTGACGCTGATCAGAGCATGGGCTACGATTTTGATCCTCGATCTTTCATGAGCTGGGGCTATCCGGTGTTTGGCAACGAATGGATTCGAAACGATCCAAGGAGGCAGCCAAGAATGCGAAGGGCGAACGATTTTTTTGGTCAAGATGATGACTGCCACTGCCGTCAGTGTTCTAGAGAGCGCAAAGACCTAAGAACAGACGGGTTCAAACCCAGACTACAACGTGATATGAGCTCTGGCAAGAGTTATTGGGAAATACCTATTCAAAAAGGAGATGATGAAATACAAGCGAGCGAGACATTGCAAGGAAAGGCTAAAGATGACAAAGCAAGTTTGCCAACGAAGCCAAAAGCAAAGGCGACAAAAGAAGTTTTACAGAAGACAAGAACACGACCAGACAATGTAAATACACCATTTGATGAGCCTTCCAGCGATCAAGAAGAAACAGACTCAGTTGATGCTTTTGTAGCCTGCAAAGATACAGATATTGAAGTTAAGGAAAACGTTAAAGGATTAAAAAAGCAAGTACAGAGTGACAAAAACCACTGCACTCTACAATTAGAGCAGTCTTCAACAGAACCTGAAGTAATTTCAGATTCTAAGGCAACCAAACTTCAGTTTATAAAAGATATTGGGGAAACAGTAGCAGAACTATCAACAAGAATTGATTCATTTCAGGGAGCAAAGGGGTCAAAGGATTACCTTTATCTTGAAGAAATGCTAATGAAATCCTTGTTGAGGCTAGATGAAATATTAACTGATGGTGATGAGGAAGTACGAATAAGTAGGAGACAAATGGCACAGGATTTAAATGCAAAGTTAATGCTGCTAGAAAGAAAATACAATGATCCTGCAAATAACAACTGTATAGAAACAGAATCAAGTGAAACAAGCAGCATTTCTATCTGTTCACCTGACCAACCTGAAGTTGACAGTCACCAAATGGACATAGATGTGAATCAAATGCCTGAAAAAGCAGAGAAGCAGAGTACTAATTCACAATGTCAAAGTTTTCCAGAAGAGCAAGCTGATATATCAGAAAAGGCAAACTGCGTGGACATTCAAGCATGTGTGGCAGAATCTGAAATTGAAAGGACTTAGCTCAAAGTACATTTGACCCTTAGAAATGTGAGAATGGTTTATAAGTATTGTTGAAAATTACAAATAACTTAGTAGATAAGCAGTAGATTAGTAGAGGTAACTTAGTATTGAGTCACTTTGATATTTATTGGATAGATATTTTTTGCAATGAAGTCAATTGTTGGTTTATGTACTAAATTGGTTTCTCTTGCTTTTCTAGTGCAGATAGCTTCTTGCTATCCCAGGTTCCTTAATATACATTTCAAAATAATGCTATTTATGTAAGATTTGGTGTATTTGAGGGTGTGAAACCAGCTATAATTTTGGTCACTAAAGCAAGGAGTTTGAGAATCTAAGACAAAATACTTTCAGGGTAACAGTTTTTGCATTATACCAAGATATATGTTACAACAGTGTGGGAGAACTCAAAGCATCACAAAATTTAGACAGTCATCTCAGTATTATTGTAAAAGTTGAAGCCTAGATTCAGAGGTCTATCAGCAGAGGCCAGATTCAACAGTATTTCATGTTTTTGAAGCCCAATTTTTCCGGAAAAATTGCTGATTTGGGGGAAGGGTGTGAAGCCCCCTTTATTTTCCCCAAAGCCCTGGTCATCGCACTGCTTGAAAATATTTTGGAGGCTAAGAAAATTGTAGGCAGCTACCAAACTTTTTATAACCTAGTCTTGAAAAGCCATAACTTCTTTGGCCATCAGATATCAGGAAAGTTGCAAATATAACAAGTTGCGGACAAAACAGATTTCGGAAAATCATAGTTTTGACGAAGTTTTCTCCAAAAATTTGATCTCTCAACTTATTTTGATATAAATTTATTTCGTCTTTTTATGATTGAAATTTGAATTTATAAATAGTCACGATAGTATGCATGGTTCTTTCATTTCCAGGTTACAAAAAGTTTCTATAGCTTTCTCTGCCTGTGCAGGATTATTGCAAGGGGGCTTACGATATGGTTGTGACGCCATTGGGGTAGGGACTGTAGTAACAAAACATTGGACAGGTTCTTACGTTGTTATATTCTTTGGCTAGTCGAGCCTTGATGTTCTTATAAATCTTCTTTTATAAAGAACGAACGCTTTTCAATGACTTTGGATAGTGGCTGAATATTTTTTCTCGAAACCTTTCATCTTAAACATGTCTTAAAATTCAGTTCCAAAAACTTTAAGAAAAGCAGAGTTAACTAAGTTAACGATGTTGAGTTCAGATCACACATGCTTTGCTCGTAGCTTGATAAGGGAAAATATGAGAGCAAATATGAGAGAAAATATAAGCTTGAATCGGAAATTAGCCAATAACGGATGAGCAAAAAGCATTTTTCTCCGAAGATTTATTAGTCCGAAATCTCTAAAATAATCTAAAATATTTTTGCCTAAGTTACTGCCCAAAAGTTTTCGTCTTAAGTGCAGAGGGCAGAATCTTCAGAATGCTAACCTAAAAAAAACGTTGCACAGCTGTCAATATATTTTTTGGCCCCTATTCAAGTTCATGTTTTGGTGTTAAATACTAGGTTTGGTGGCAATACATTAAAACAATTCGCCGGCGTCAATTAGAACTGGCGTTAAAAGGGCCGACAGGAGCATTTGTGTTTGCACGAGAGAATTGTCAAAAGTCGGCCTGTTTCTCGATCCGAATTCATAAAACAGTTCAAACAACTGACAAGAATTGTTCACGACAACAGAAATTTATTGATGCCATGCTTGCCTGTAAAAATTTTCATCTTATTCCGTTAAGATGGCGCTGTTAAAGGATGAAAGTTGTATAATGAAATTGATGAAACCTCGATGCATCTACCAAAATTTTCTTCGAGCTCAAGAAAATCACCATTTTGTAGCTGCACTTTCTGATAATTATGCACTTACATAGGACCAGAGAGCGTCATTAGACAGCAAGGCTGAATAGGTTGTCAGAATAAATCTTAGTAACAAAGCATATATGTTATTTACAAGTGCTTTCAATAAATATACGTATATTTGATGTGACAAACGTGGGTGCAATGTAATACATTTACACGACTGTCTCGATGCACAATTTTTGCTTTTGTAAATGTGATTGCGTCTTAATCAAACAACTAACAGTAAGATCTTTTAAGTTAATTATTTTGTCTTAAACAATTCCTCTTAATCAAATGCTATTTTATGAAAGAAAAAAGGGATCGTGATAGGTCCTTAATGCTTTGTCGATACTCATAAGAAAACTTCGTTAACAAAACCTCATCAGAAAAAATTATCCCTTATGGAAAGAAAATCATTCTGCGAAAACTCCCTGTTAAAACAAAACATAAGGGGAGACAGGAATTCCTTTACATCAGTGAGTTTTTCAGCACGAGAGTTGCACTTGAAAACGTTGGTACCTATTCGTCATTTATAACACAGACTCAGAAGAACTTTGCAAGGGACGTTGCGTAGCAGAGTTCATGGTGTTTGAATCTAAAACTAGTTTTCTCTTTTGCATTGCTTCCGTAAGAAAATAGACTTTTGCATAGCTTTTAAATGTCTATTTGTGTCTCCGTTTGTCTAATGTTCTGGGCAGTTATGGAGATATTTCTGAGCTGCCTATGTGGAAATTGAAGTCTATAAACATCTGATTCAGAGGAATCGAGTAAAAATTTGCCTTAAAAGCAAATCAACAGTTAAAATTCAACAATAAAGATTTATCTTTATACAATTTTGAACTATACATTTACATAAATTACGAACTGTGTAATAATAAATGGATTTTTAACCCAATTCAACAAAGGGCTTACATCTAGTGGTTTTCTTTACATCTAATGTTAGGCACTGTCTCAGAATTGCTCTATTTTCAGCATTAAACGTGAATCAACGGTGATTTCGCATGAGTTACGTTTAAAATTGATGCAGTTATTTGCCCTTTTATTAGTTCTAAAGCTTCATGGTGCAGTAGGGAAGTTCTAGAGCCAGAAATATGTGGAGCATGTTAGAAAAAACGCATGTTCTACTATCACATGGTCCAAAATAAGCAAAACGGGGAACTTGAATGCCCATCAACTCTTATGGTGACGCATTGGCCCTCAATATTTGGTAGAATTATTATAAATGCAAGAGCGAATCAAGGATAAATTACGGAATGGTTCCAGGCGATGCTTTGCTCAGCATTTCTATTGTGCATTGAGTATTGTCCGAGAGGGGAGTATGAGCCACTGCTAATGTAGTCCGATGATGACTGGAGTGAATCCGCTTGTTTGTTGATCTGGTGGGTCGATTGAAGCATTGATGGATACCCTAGGTGATGTAGTGGCCAAGTTTGAGACTGAATGCAGGAATTCGACAAATATGGCGAGTCTGAATTACGGTAGTACGATGAACAGTTGCCTGAAATAAAAAAAGAGCAGAAATGAGCAACCGATGCAAGAAACCACTGCAAGAGCTGGCCAATCAGACTGAGTTACTTCATCTGAGATACCAAATCATATTGTGCGACCTCGTCTGAAATAACGAATCAGACTGCGGGAGCGTATCTGCGATATCCAATCACATGCAAGGCCTCGCTCTAAGTAGCCAATCAGATTTTCAAGATCTAAGTTATCAATAAATTGAGAGAAGCAGTCAGAATAATGAGATGTCTCTACTAGAAATAAAGTGTAATAACAGATTCTAATTCTTTTTAGCTCATTCGCCGTGCTATTTCTCAAGATTTAATTTATTTTCCATTGTAATTATTTCTGTGTTGAATTTTTGAACTTACAAAAAAGCTATGATGAAGATAAATTATGGAGGATATATCTTTAATTGAGAAAAAACACTGCGGTCTTACCTGACTGTAACATGTCTGAAGTTCTTTGATAAGGTGAAGGATACGGCGAGGCTCTGTGTGAACGCCTTTCACATGACATGGGGCCTGAGAGAGTACTTTGTGCACTTGGACACATCATTGAAGAATAGACATAGGCATCTACAAAGCAAACAATCATTTACTCGCTTATAGCCAATCATTGCCTTGTAATAATGTCATGTACCTAGCATGGATTCCATATGCTAACATATAATGCAAATCAAATCGCCCATATTTATAAAGGATCACAATGTCTATGAATCAGTCGAATGCTTCACAAATATAAACACTTACAATTTGACGCATATTGACCCATGGCATCACGCTCAACCAGCTCTTTGTGTTCAGATCTAAGAATAGAAATCAATAATTTATCAAAGTTAATTCTTGTACCAACAAATGGGTCTTTACAGATCTAAACGCCACAACGTCAAAGATTCTTCGACGCGTTCCAAGTTACCGCCTAAAACGCAAGCTTCTTTTTGCAACGTTTACGACCAGCAGCCGTGTCAAGGAATTGCCATATTTGGCCTTTGAAAACTTAACCAATGCACGCTATTCGAGGCTAGAGACAACATCGTGATAACTTTCATCATAAGAATAATATTTATGATAGCAATTCCATAATCATTACAGCAGTAATTCTATGCTTACCTTTCTTTTGCATCCAAAAAGGCTTTTGCAAATGGGTTGTGTTGGATTTTCAAAGCAGTAATCTAAGAAAGATCAAAACATTGTCAAAATTTGTAACAAAAAGAAATAGCATAAAGCAAAAGGGAAAAAGAGATGGCTTTTTAAAATAATTCTTTGTCGTTTAAGCCAGACACAATAATGAAGGAAACACGGAATGCTCTTGTGTCTCTTACGAAGAAACTAGAGAATAACAAGCCTAATAATGAAAATATAATTTTTTGGTATAAACATGGCTATGAGAGTACTTTAGCTCTGCCTTGAGCAGTGTTCATACACATAGCTAACTCACAACTAGAGAAGGATTTCATACCTCTTCATTCTGATAAGCCGTTACAGCTATGAATTGTGTTTCTGGGAAGCTGTGGGTACTAACGGTCTGTTCTCCGTCTGGGGCCCCAACACGTATTATGTGAATTCGAGGCTGGTACTTGTGAAGAGAATGAAGCATGACCTGAAAAAAGAACAGTTTCATTAGTCGGATGGAACTTGATTATTCGCAATATATTTAGGACTTCCTAGGGTTTGTTCAAGGCTCGGTTAGAAAATATCATTATAAAAGGAGTTCAGCTCATTAGCAAAGTTTTGATGCTGCATTTTGATCGATGTATGACCTTGATGCCCAAATTCCCCACGAACTTGGTTCTACGCTCAAAACCAATGTTTCTAGAATACTTAAAGTCTTTTAGAATGAGAAAAGAACCATATTTGTTAAAGGGGACTTTGGCAGCAATGATGCCAAAACGGAGAGCAATCAAACGGCATAAGAATTTCTTTTCTAAGCTGCTATCGATTGCTGCAGTAAACGGTCAAATTCCGGAAATACAAGCAAGTAGACATCCTGTTACCCCTGTTTTTAACAAGCATAAAAGTAGCCACGGCCAATTTCTGGGATAACATGAAACCGCCATAGTTTTCAAAATAGCATGTAAGTAAAATGATGAAGATTTTTAGATGCCAGTGAGTGCTAGGCAATTAGCGTCACGATGCCATATCAGTGGAAAAGAACAACAAGCAAAGGGGGAAATGAGTTTGCTTTGAGGACGGGCGGTGCCGGAAGCATAAGTCCAAACAAAACTGACAATATTGGCATTCATTTCAAGTTGGGTGCAAAAAATGTCTCTTCTTTGTCACTGGGCAAACACGTCTCCCTTCAGACCTTGATTTCAAAACTGCACTTATGAACTGAGTCATGTCATAAGCCATGAATAGTTAAGACAATTTTCCAAGAGAGAGACGATAACAATAAGGTACTTTGATGGCCGTAAGAATTCTTATAACAATAAGGCCGTAAGAATAACTGATAAGCATGATGATATTCAAACGTCCCCACGGCGCCAACTTTTCCACACAGAATATGGATGTCTGTCGCTTTTTTGCCACGATTACTTCAAAGAAGAAACCATCAAGGTTTTCACAATTCCAAAACGGATTTAAATCAAACACATTCATCAAAAGCAACGTGAAGAGGATATAGTGAAATGCTTAAAACCTTAAAAGATAAACCTTTGATTGTTTAATCCAGCCCGGCCCAGGCCCTTTGACGCTCTTATCTTAGGCCCCTAAACAGCATACCACAACCGTACCATTTTGCACAAAAATGTTTTTATTTGAGTTCCTATATGCACTTCTCAAAGTCCGTCACAGCACAGGTCTTTGAATTGCAAACATTGCGACAGCGCGTGGTACTGCATTTGTTTTCATTCTTGACATTTTAGCGGGAGCCAGCTCGTGTCCAACACAAAGCTCGTCTTGGGGCTTACGATCATGTAGGCCAACTTATGTTTTGACGGGTTTTATAATTCAGAAGATCTGCTCGCTGGCTCCGTAATAGCAAATAAGCTAAGCGTATCTTTCAGATATTTTCCGCCGGTACCAACTCAAATCTTTTTCAAGCTTTAGAAGCCTTGGAAATCAGGAAAAGGTTAAACCGAGCTTTTATCGAAAGAATGATGTTTGAAACAAGATGGAAGGCCGCTTGAAACCCGTAATGACTTCATACATGCAATCATTGAACTAGGGAAAAATTGCAAACAGGCACGCGCAGTTGCCGAAAGGGGAACTTTCCTATTAAAATGAGCAGTCTTAAAACAGGCTCATCCAATAAACAAATACGACTTTTCTAGATTTCGATCGTGACGGCGAGATCTGACAGTTGTCTTTTTCTAAGACTTCAATTCAAGTTAAGGACGATGTGATCTCCCTACTAAATGTTTATTTGCCCTCCTCCCTAATTCTCTATCATGTGAATTCGCCGATCAATACGTTCATGTCAAACATCACTAACAATAAACTAACAGTCATAAAATGCATTATATGGTTGCTTTATGATCCTGGGAAAATGCGCTAGTCAAAATGATGCCTATTTTCTTAAAGTTTGTTTTGGCTTGAAGTTTCGACTCAAACCAAATCAGTTAATAGATTTGTCTTGGGTCGGAAAGCCATAAATAAAGAGTACAAAGAGGTTATAATTTAATGAACTGTGTGTAATGAATATTCACTCCTTTAAAAATGAGGATGCGAAATTAGAAATATCGATGCTTGGCCTAAAGCAATTTTGTGCAATCAAGGAAACTGAGAGAAAATTACCGCTGTTCATCTATAAAGCAGAAGAAAGAGAGCGACGGTTCTACATTTCATAGAAGTGGCAACACAATTTCTGAATATTTCTGATTAAATAATTTCTTGGAAAAAGTCTTGTAGTTGTATGGTTGTATGAATCAAGGAATCAAGAATTGTTTCCTGAATACCCTTGCTTGACAACCCGTTCCAAAAAATTGAACCATGCTGTCCATGTGGCCATATGTAAACATTGGCAATAACCACTGCTGCTAGAAATACCACCTTAATTTGATTTTAGAAATACATGCTTGTTATCAAGATCATACCTGGCCTTCTCCGTTCATTTTGTTCGTGAGTTTCACCTTTGTGAATGCAACGGGGTTTTTCATCCAATGAGAGCCGAAGTTCGGTGAGTCCGGGTGAATATAAACCGAGCTGGTTGAAGCCGGCTCCGGTTTTCCACCAGGAACCCATTCACCGTTAACGTACTTCCAGCGATGATCTTCTACGGCAACAAAGTCAAGGAGAAATGAGTACATCGCTTGTGGTTCTAAACCTTTTACAGCCATCTTCAAAACTGGAAACATTCGTCTGCAAATAAAAATACAAAAAATTAGGGCGATTCAAACGAAAAAGTAGACATACTAAATTTCTTAGAACAAAGCTGAAAACAAGTATTGATAAACATTTTTGATTTTTTGAATCATTTTTGGGCTTCTGTTCTGTAAAAGCAACTATTCTCTCTCTCATACTTTATCTATTCTAGACCAATAGAAACTAAAAATGGTGTGTAACAATTATCAGATCAGGGACCACGCTTTGAATTTCAGACTTGACAGGGGAAAAATTTTATTTACAACTGTTTAAAAGTATCTTCTCAAAAGGTGCAATGATTTTGCTTGTCTAAGTAAAGCCCCAACATAATTGCCCTACAAGCGACTATGGCTGCAAAAGTCCTAGAGCCTTCTCCATGGGTCTCTGCGGAGCCTTACCGCCATTGCTATATATTGCTGGCATTCGCCCATTTTTTTGTTAGAGAATACCATACCCCTTTTTAAGTCCAATTATCCTTTAATTGTTCAAGTTTTCCTCCGGAAAAATGGCACGCGTGCGTTGACCACTGAAAGAGCTTTGTTTCGGAAAAAATGGTTTCTCAATAAGAAAAGTTGAGTCGAGTAGTTCATTGATACTAGAAATAGATTTGTTGCCAATTGCTAAATGTCGGTGTAAATGTTGGAAGGTTGAAAGCAAGTCGTCAAAACTGGCGTATGGGAAATTTGAAGGGAAATGGTGATCTCTGTGATAATGTGTCAGAATGCCAGTAGGAACCACTCAATAATATAATATTGGAAAAGGAAACCCAGTTAAGAATTGTCCTTAGAGTTAGGTGCGGTTGAAAATCTCTTTATAAGACAAAAGTCTTATGAAGAGACTACAAAATAAAGTTATTTTCAAACACTGCAGTCGAAGTGCCTTACAAAGTCTGACCCAGGGCGAAAACATTTTTAGAGGCACCAGATAATACACGACCCTTGGCTGACTTTGATAATAAAAATCACACCCAGTCTCTGAATTTTCCGAAATATTATCATCAAAAGCCACGCATGTTTCTGATTCTTTTAAGCATGAAACAATCGGATTTTTTAGACAAGAAACGTGGATTTCCGAAGGAATGACACGGTCAAGAACTAGCAACATAAAAAGGCCAAATGCATTCGCTTAACAAAGAGACAATAAATCTTAAAGAAATAAAGTCAACAGTAAGGAATATTTTTAAAAGGTCATATATCAGGAATTTATCTTAGTTTTATTGGTTTTTGAAGTCGGTCAGATATTACAAACAAAATCCGCGATACTTTTTGAATAAAACTGATAGCACATACAAACAAAATAAATTCATGAAGCAGTCAATGGGTTCCTTTATCGAAATAATTGATGAACAAACTGCAACCCGTAAAAACAATTGCAAATTCTAGTAAGCTGCACTTGCGATTTTTAATTCCTTTATTCAATGGAGACAAAACGGGACTAACTAGTGCAGCAAACACAAAATTGAATCTGCTCTGGGTCATCTTTTTGTATTCAGCTATCTTTGACCATTTGGTCAGGTGTACGAGAAATTCCCACTATTTTCATTCATATTACATGTTTTTATTGCACGTGGATAGAGGCGACATTACAAGCTTGAATTAGATACATAAGCGTAGGCGATTCGCGCTGTCAATAGCAAAGGTGTAGCCCGCCCTAATCAGCTGATGAATACAGGGCTACTCCCTGATTTCAGCTGAAACCCACAGACCTTTTTACACACAAAAAATACTCAATCGTGAAACATAATGAAATATCAAAGCCGAAAAACAAAAAGGAGAATCAATATACAAGCAATTTCAAGCAAAATTTCTCATCCCACTAGCACAAAACACCCGAACCACACATCAATGATTTAATCTTCAGGAAATTTTCTAAAGACGAAGTTTTTGCTCAATCTGCTTATTTCGTTGAAATTATCAGTACTGGTAATAAACTCCAATTGATGAAGGATGAACTGAAAAATTTTTATTACTTGTAAATGCAGTATAGATTAGAAATCGTGCCTCCCGATCAGCATATTGAACGTTGTGCAATTTCAGTTTTTTTTGCATGTTGATTTCTCATTACCAAATTCCTTTAAAAACCAATCAACTGTTGCTCAAGCCCTTCGCATTACGATTTTTAAAAACCTAATGTCAAAAATACACCAAATTTACTATCTTAACCTGATTGAATACAATTCTGTGTATGAGAAGTTTTGTATAAGAGCAGGAAGCATTCGCTGCTGAAATAAAATATTCTCTTCAAACCCGTGAGAAAAGGTGATTTTTAACAGGGCATAACAAAATCATACTGTCTTTATTGAGCAACAATGACAATTAGATCTGCAAGTGTTCAGACTTCGAATCTGCCAGGTGTTCACCTTGGCTTTTCAAGATATCAAAATAAGAGAATCGATTTAATTCGTTGGAATCATGCACTTCTAGATTATCTTTTTATAAAAGATTGTAAATGCATACAAAAATATTTATGAGTGAATGTAATTAGTATGGGAACAACCAGCCTCTGATGTTCATCGCAAAGCTCACATTTTTCATTTAAAAATAATATCAGCGGGAAGCATAATTATACCAATGTTCATCGATTTTTGTATTGATTTTATTTCTTAATGGTTTTAGAAAAATTAAAGTATATTTTGGAGTATTATGACTAGTGGAAAATCAAAGAAATTGTTATGTCGCTATGCGCAATCAGTACCAATGGGTAAGACTTGGGATCAACTCACAACTGTTACATCGTTTGCATTTATGGTATCAGGGATGATAGTTAGCTGTTTTGATTTGGAGGCATAGGTGAAGCGGATACTAAACGTTTAGGGGGCTTGATATTGATCCTGCTCGAATATTACTGAGTCAATGAGCAAGAACTGCAAGAATGAAGCTGTGGATGCAACAAAACTGGCCTGATTAGGGGGCTGCAGCCCTCCAAGCCCATATGCCTAGGGAGGGGAGGGGTGAAGTGAACTATAGGGTATTTTAATCTAACTCAAACTCTGGTGTTTGAAAACCTATGACCCTCGTTAAGAGAAAAGTTGGTCAATGCTGGCCACTGAGCAACCCCGAGTATAGGCTACGGTTTCGCTCCTCTTTCAAAACTTGCTTCCCGCACATCAGAAATTGTCATTAATTGTTTCTATGATAAACAGGAAATGATCCAAAAACAACAGCAATTTTGTCGCAATTAATTTGAAAAAACAGCTAGTCCCATGATATACCCCTTTGTGTAATGAGACATAAGCTAATTAATAAGAGACACCCTCTGTTTCATCAACAGTCTCATGAGAGCATGGGGCTTCATTAATTGCACAATTACCATTAAAAAGGGACAGTGGACTTTTAGATTACCCGCCCTAAAGAACATCCCTGATGATGTGTACCATTAAAGCCGAAAAATATTCTAACCGTGAGAATTTCTTGATAAATCCACCTGATTTTTCATTGCTAAAAAATGACCAACGTGAACAATGTCTCCTGACGAAGAAGCGTACTAGAACCTAATGTTTTCCTTTTCGCTTTTCATTATGCTACAAAGTGGACTTAATTTCATGGGTCGCTCAAAATATTGGCACTCCTAAACATGTTTGATGTTACAGTCTGTATTATTTTCTGTCCTGACTGCCGTCTTTGGCAGTTCACCAGAATCTTATATTGAAACCCGGTGTGTTGCATATTGAAAGCCATGGCAATTCGATGGACTTCAAAACTAGAAATGTTCTCATGGCACACTATACGAATATTCAGTTGATTGACAGCAATTCACTTACGGTATACTGTTTAGGGTATACAGATTTCTATCCTGAGTCAAATTCTCTATTATCTTTTATGATAGATAATAGAGAATTTTATAATAAACTGTACAAGACTCAAAAAAGCACATTGTAAATTAATGGTTTTGTCATCGGGACATCCACTTACAAAGTATACACACACATTTCTTCGTCATTCTTTCTCCACGTCATCAATCCATTTCTGTGAAGTGGACTCGGTAGATCATTCACCTTCTCGTGTGATCTTTATCGTTTAAGCAATAGTGTACTAACAAGATATGATTTTAACAGATACCAGACTACACAGAAGAAGAGATCCTTTAAGGTACATACAAATCTTACGGCATAAACAACAACTTATATTTTCAATACAAACCTTCCGTTTTTCGTCACAATCATTTCATTTGTAAGTTTCTCGAACTTCGACCACAACTCTGAGTCATCAAGCACTACCTCAACACCAGCCCCTTCTGTTGTTCGATTTTCTCCGCCATTTTCTTGAGGCTTCTCCTCCTTCTGGTCCGCCTCTCCAGCCCGCTCTTTCTTTCCTTTAAGATAAAAAAGGTTGACAAATTTTTTCATGAGACATTCATGAAACCTTGATTCTTTGAATACTGAGTAGAGTATATGGTTGGTTATATAAAAAAGATCAAACATCGTTTAAACTAGGTTTGACTTGCATTTTATTACCATCACTGAATAATACATTCAAAAGCTCTGACACACAGTTTATTGCATTCGCCATTAAATCATCATCTTTCTAAATTTTACTTATTCACCAAACTACACTTTTCTTTCCAAACAACACGGCCTCTAAAGACATTTGCATAAAGCATCAAAACCAGACTAGGTTTTAGAGATGGAGTTTCGTTTTCAAATTTTCTTCGTGATGAAGACATATAGAAACAAAGAATTGAACTTTCTTTATAAGAATGAATTGCTAGTAATTTTTGGTTCAGAATCCAAGCAAAAACCAAAGTATTGTAATAAAAAGTGTGCACGGGGCTAATTGAAAGATGACAATGTGCAATGACGATATGATAACTCTCAAATCATTATAATTTTACGAAATATTTTTAGCATCTTAGTGTGTACAAGTTCCTTTTTAAAAATACTCTTTGCAGTTATTCACGCGACTGGTGCGAAATTTTTAAACAGGTCCTACAAAGGATAAGAGATAACGAGCCTAAGTCTAGGTCTACGGTACTGGACAAGAGTAAGATTTTCATTATATCAGCTCCATGAAACTAGAAGATTTTTCCAAGTTAACCTAGTTCCTAAAATGTAGCAATGATTTAGTGTAGCAAAATTAATAGCAAAGGTTTAGTCTTTTGAAGATTTTACCAGGAAACAGTATATCTCTCTCTTGATGTGGCCTAGAGACATTGTTTTAAGATGAAACAAAAAGGGGCTTCGTCAAATCTTCAAGGTTTATAGTATAAAAGGTTTATCTAGATATTAGTTGAAATAGCACAGTGTTTTCTTTTTAAAGGAGGCTCTGACCAAATTAAGACCATGGGAAATTGTTTGATTGGGGCAATAGGAATAGGATCATGATATCACGACAAAAAATTGAAAAACCGAGATCCTTTTAAAAGCTAAAGGTCAGAGCTGAGGATGAAAAGATGGCGCATTTTTTATATTTGACCGTTAAACCACTTTAGCTGTTGAAGAGTTCAACTGGTTTTGAGAGAAAAGGTTATTTTTATTGCTGTTTCGCTAGTATTGTCTGGGAAGAGACAAGCGTTAGATTGTAGAAAAAAATGATCTTGAAAGGAAGAGAGATATGCGACTTGCCTTCATAACAAACAAAACCCTGATTTGGGCAAACATTGTTAGGGTAACAAATACGCGCAAGTTTACCTTAAGATACCAACTATTAGCACACAAATCTAAGGAGATGAAGATAAGCAGGACAGCAAAAGAGCGAAAAAGAACCAACGGCTAAGTGAGCGGCCTCTTCTTACTTTAATATGTGTCTAGCCAATAATCATAAGCTTTTCATAAAAATTTATTATGTTTTAACTTTGATTTCAGTTACGAGCTATGACTAATCATTAGCCGGGGAAAATGTTCAAGAAGAAAAAGATGTTCGGCTATAGTGGGCGGAATAGTGATCAGACCTAAAGTCAGGGTCTGTGAAAAAATACCAGCTTGCATTCTGACGAGGCAAATATAAAATAGATAAGCTCCATTTTTATCTTTCAGGAAAATTGAAAGCTTTTTTAACGACAATAACAAAAAATTGCTTAATAAAGTGCTTCGAGTATTAGGGCCGAAAATGATATAAATAATAGCATATTTAGAAGACAGGTCGTTAAACCAGGCAAATTTCTTTTGTATTATTTTTCTAGGCAGCAAAAACGGCAAGATTAACAAATATCGCCAAAAAATCCTTACCGTCTGATAACAGCTTCTTCATTGAGAATGTATTCTGTGTCATAACAATGAAACTTGTTGAATATATGGGAGTAGAAGATTACCAATATCTTCTCGTCACAACGTTGATGTCTCTTCTAATGAGTTGCCAACTTTAATACTTTTGCTGATGACAAAGAGAGACACCGAATGATGGCCCAGTGACACTCCTTCTCGGTTTTTATATGTAGCCGTGATCTTTCGGTTGAGGGGTGTCGCCGAATCTTGACAAGCGCAGACAGCAATTAAGACCAATTAAATTCTTGTTCCCTCAGGAGCTTCCTGAAAATGAGCAACTCCATTACTGCAACTATTATTGTGCATAATTGATACTAGTTAAAAACGAAGAAATGTGTAAAAAGAAAACTCCATAAAATGAAAATATTTTGCAGTAATATATCTATACCGATGTTTCTAACTGCTAACAAGTACACAGTCAGCCTTCACTCTTCATACAAGTTTGTAAAATAACGCAACACAATTCTACACCTTCCCGTCTATGTCTTTTATGTTCACCGGAAAGAGGCAGAGAGGCGGTGCGTCTTTTAAAAGGAAAGTTTTGTTTCCAGCACCGCTCGTTTTATTGATTTCGTTTGCTGAAAATCTGTCAGCTTGTCCGTCTGTTTGCGTAAGGGAAGTGAAACGCAGTCTATTGTTGCCTATTCATGACATTGTGTTTGGTTGTGTTCAGATCTCGCCGCTAAAATGCACAATCACTGCTGATGAGCGCTGAAGATCGATTCTAAATAGTGACTGAAGTCCCAGTAAATTGCAACTTAGCGATGGCTGGCGCTGAGAATAGCCCATCGAGTGAATGAAATTTGCTATCTAACCATTTGAATTGTGGCGGCCTCCGTCAATCAACTTGATTAATAAACAACACGAGGGAGCAAGGATAATTGATTGATTGATCGATTCTGCTATCAATGCATTGCAATATTGATAACCGAATTAATTTGATATCTACGTTCAGATCTTATAGATTAACCAAGAATGCTACTTAGATGAAATCAGAATTCCTTTATCCTGCATCATAAACAGTTATCTTTTTCTGGGTCAGGTAACTTGCAAGTCAACTTAAGGTCACTTAACCCCGCAAAAACATGCCTCGTTGAAATCAAGCTGCATTCAGTCAGTTAAAATTTTTAACAGCACCCGATCCATTTAAACAAGTAAATTATATTTCATATACTCCGTTTTAATGCTTTAGAACCCTTTGCCATGACTATCAAAAGACAACGTTGATATTGGTAAAGTCTTAAGAGAAATGGGATCACGCCCACTGGCGAAGGAGGGGCAAAAGACGGAAAGGGATTGTGTTGCATTTAGGGGTTGCCTCGGGAGAGCAGTAGAATACGCCCAGTACCCTCTCGATAAGGAAAAAAACTAATGAGCTAGTTGGACGAAGTTTATCGATAAATTAGTTGGCAGCAAAGATTAAGAAGGCTTGTCCAAGGCCGAATCAATTACAAATTGATTCGTATATATTTTCCGCGGGAACAGATCGTTAACAAAAGTTTGGACTACTGTTCAAAATATCATGAATTTGAGCATAGCATACATTAATCTGAATATATTCAGTCCATTGGATATCAACGTCGCAGGGGCTAGGAGGCTCGAGCCCTCCTCGGGAAACATTTTGAGAGGGTTTCTTTGTGCATTTCAGGAAAATCACAATAAAGGTGGTTTATTTTCTCAGTTTATGTAAAGAAAAATCACTAGAGATGCTTTAAGCACTAAAGAGCTTCCACTTACTATCAATGCAGTATGAATTAATTTTACCCAACGATGTTGAAATTGAACTCAAGTCAACTTTTTATTTGCACCACTGAGAACTTATAAACTCCTTCATCAATATCCTCTTTTTGGTGTTAATAATGAGCAATAGAAACACAAATCAGCCAATCTGTGCGCGCTTAGGACGGGCCCCACCCCTTTTCTGTGGAATCGCTGTATGGCCGGCCCCTTTGGCACGAGTCAATATGTTCTTAATTGTTCTACCAAGAAAAAGGATGAACAAACTCACCGGAATGAAAGGGAGACGAGCCCCTATCTGAAGCTTGCTGTTTTCATCATCATTGTCAAGTTCCTATCGAAAAAATGACCATTGTAAAATAAGCCTAAAATGGCATTATGCATTATGTTTGAGGTTTGGTGTTTTTCCCAGGCAAGAATAATTAGGGGCTAGGAGGACCATGCCAGCAATTACGCGCGTGTGGTAATCTAAGTATGGCTGAGAGAATCGACCAGTATGCCACGCGAATCTCTTAAAGGATGATCCATTCTGTTCAAAAGTATTTATTGCAACAACACAAGGCTATACGCTAAGATAGCGTTTGTTCTCAGGATAATAAGAATTTCAGCCGTAAGCCGTGAAAGCTGTAGTGGGATATATACATTGTTTAAAAGGCAATGACTCTTCTACAAGGAAGCATTTACAGACCTCTTCAACAATTTTTACAGAGAAAATAATGTTAAGGCATTCCAATTCGCGAGAGTGTAATTGTAATATGAGATTGTAGAAGTTTGAAATTCTTTAAAGAAAAGATATAACGATATAACGTGGATTTATCACACTAAAAATCATTATTAGCCAGTACTTTTTAATCCTAACACAACTGTTTGTGGCGGTGAAAACTATCGAGATGTAAGACCAGGTGATTATAATTATGATGATGATTATTATAGTTGTGATAATTTCTCCTCAGTAATAGCCACTGCTCTAGTTAAACAATGTGGAAATGTCACCAAACAATAGCCTGTTACGTCATACTCAAAACTGTCAATCAAGGCAATCAGGACAAGTCAAATGAACATTCTGTTTTCGACCGTGCAATAAGTGGCTACCATCTTAATCATGTTTGTTTGATGAGTAATAATTTGCTATCCTCTTTGTCCTGATTAAATTTGCCCACTTAGAAAAAATAAATACAGATCAGTAAGCATACCAAAATAAATGTTTACAAGGAAACTCAATTCAAGGACCTGTCGGAAGCTTAAGTACAAACACAAGTCTATTGTCTATTCAACCAATCAAATTTGGTTTGCATTGGATTAGCAATTTGCTAAAGAATAGCGGCTTTTTCAGAGAAGAAATGAAATATCTTAGGTATATAAACCCTAGCTAATGAAAACACTTTCCCCGCCTGTCCATACAGCTCTCGCCTCTGGCCTATGACCGAAAGTAATATGAACACGTACATTAAGTCCTATGCAACGGAGATGCCTCCAGGAGAAGGTGAAACCATATTGTCTTGGCTGCAATTGTGTAACAAAGCCTTTTATATGTAAATCTAAAGTAAGACTCCCAAATTTGAAAAAGTATTCATTATTTCAAAAAAATTGGAATTCTTACAGAAAATTGGAGGAAAATCTAAAACACAGCGTATCCTAATTATCCTGAAAAGGAAAGCATAGAAAATAGGTTTCTTTTGATTAAGTACCATTGATACATTACCAAGAAATCTTGAAATCCAACAGTTGCTGTTCAAACGCTAAATCAATCATAAACAGATATAAAGAAATAAAAAGAATATATGAAACATAAACGATCAATTTTTGATGGGCGAAATAACATGCCAGTGAGATTACTAGAAAATATTAACTTGTTGAGAAAGGAAACTAAAGTTGTTTATTGCTCACATAGGCTGCATTGCATTAATCATACAAGATACCAATTATACATTTAAAGATCGAATACTAATGGCAAGAATACTCCTAAATATGTTTTGCCTCTAAGCAGACATGTTACTGACTGAAGCTCGAAGCATGATAATTACAAAATATGGGTTGTAATCAGGAATCGTGTTATTCTGCGCAGTTATAAGTAGTTGAAAAACAGAAGTAAACTAGAATATTATTGTACCTGCCAAAAAAGTAATTATGATAATGATTCAAATCTCGATATCTGGAGAGCAGAAGTGTGTACAAGGTAGATATAGAAGAAAATGGAAGATGCAACTGAGAAGAATCGTTACTATATATTTCTAGTGCTTAAAACCCAGGATATGTCAGAAAATCAGAGATACCTGAAAGCCGGCAAGCATCATAGGAAAGTATGCTTTCACAGAAACATGAGAATGCAAAGTCGCAGCATCGTGGGAAGGAGATTATCAGAAACACGTACACTATAGCTATTTTGACACGGAGAGCAACTGACCTTGAAAATGTAGGGATGCAGCAGAGATCAATGCTACAGCTGCAAGGCTCTCAGTTAGCCTCTGACGTAAGCAGTTTATCTCGAGCTTTAAACAGATGAATAAGTTACTACTCAGTACTAGCCTACTTCGAAGAGAATTTGTGTTTAGCAATCGTTAGAATAACAAAAAAGATTCAAGAAAAAGTTTCAGAAAAGCATATCTCAGAAGAAAATAGTAAGAGGATGCCTATACAACGGCGCTGCATCCGTAGATATAAACTCTACTGAATCACCGATAGAAAGTGTTGTGTTTCGTTCCATGTTATCATATTCAGGATTTTTGGCGATATATATAGAATTTTTATATACATGTATAAACAGCTGCTGCATATGATATAGACGACAGCATATATCTTTCAAATTTCCCTCTGTTCCATCAAATACATAACAGATAGATATATAAAAAATATCTACATTCATTATTAAGATGCTATCTGAGTAGATTTGCAGAAGAGGTTCCTGGAATACATGTAGGAAGCCAATCATTTTTAATCTCTTTAGCGAATGAGCCGAGTACTGTGACTAAATTCTATTTACAATTTGTGTAATGCAGTTATTCTAAACTAGCCCTGCTGCTTCCTTGGTCAATATTTTAAGGAAAAGATTTTGAAAAATCTTTTAATTTACAATATTCACATTGGCAAACGTCAAAAAACCATAACGAAAGTAGTGAAATTATAAAAGGTGGAACAGTAACATATATGCATACTTTTGTGACTTTTCGGTTCATCTTAGGGTATTGATCACAATCGTTCATAAAAGCAGATATTCCTGGTACGTTTAATGTCTTTGTTTAAAATGTTTACTTCGAAAGGCTTATAAGACTTTCTTGGTTGTATCTTTTTGTCACAAATCATGTGACAGGAAATCAACCTCCAAGTTTTATAAAAGATGCTTGTAATGCGAGAAAAAGTGTATATAGTTAAAAACGTGAATAACACACAACAAAAGCTGACGTTTCAAGCAGGCACAGATGGTTTGGCCGGCTTATTTTCGCCGTGCATTTCAAGAATCAGATTAAAAAACAGTTCATATATATAGACTAACATTGAAGCAATATTATAAACTTATCAGAATACACTAATCCTATAATTGTCTGATAAGTAAATTGTGATTAATAACGAGGGATGGCAGATGAAACTTTACAAAATTGATTTTGATATCACTTCAAATGAGCATTGGGTAATTAATCAAGAGCGTCAGCAAATGTAGCCTGTTGCCATAGCCTCGTTTCCTAGTCGTAAAAATGATCGAACTATCAAGATAACACTGGACATTGTAAATTCCATTTTATACTTGATGAAATTTTTAGCACTGGTCCTGTCAAATGGGAACAAGTTCCACAGAAGGAGTTTTGCACCAAACAACACTGTCCACTTAGAAGAATAACTTTCAGAGGCATTAAATGAATAAATCGTGGTTGTAATCCTTTTTATATTCAAATTTCATTTCTTTTTTCTGTTGATTCTTCTGCAGCCTAAACGATAGGTATTCAAAATCTATTTTTCAGTCTGGGAATCTGGTCTGTACTATGCCTGTACTCGGAATTATTATTTCAAAGCTTCTTGATAAGGTACAAAATAATAGAGCTTTCGATGTTTCGCACGTACC